ACAAAAAATATCAAGTAATTCCTGAAAACCATCGTGTTTTTTATCAGACGTCCTAACGTTATTTTGTTCATCCGTGGCTATAGACCTATAGGGCCTATCAATAATTATGATCATTCCCAGAACATAAAAGGTCGGCCCGTCATTTACGGTAGTTTCCGGTCGTGCAAACTGACATTTTTTTGCCAGTGTTTTCACATCACTGTTTAGTACTATACTGCACTTCAGTGTCGTCTGCTGACTGTTGCAGATTGTGCGTAGGATGACGTTCATAGTGTCCGATTACACACTTGTAGATTGTGATGAGTGCATTACAATGAAGGCGGGAAAAATACAAGCCACGATTCATTGAAACGAACGGTGTGCGTGGTAGATTCCACGAACCGCACTTTTGCCACGTGCCACGCGTGTTGTGTTGTGCTTTTTCACCAGGGAAGCGATTTTCACGCGATTGTATTAATGTCAAGAAAACAGCCAAACTTGTTGATATTTATGTCCCTTCCTCCACGCGATATTTAAGACAATGAGGCTTGTATCAGTGGGCAGGCTGACTTCGGGGAAGGGGTTCGGTGGGCGATGAAAAAGGGGTCATGCAACAAATGTGGATTGGAATTTTATATACCTAGTCGAGGTACTTCTTGATAAAACCAATGCCCTAAGGGTTTAAGGATGCGAGATTAATGCAGATTTCGATTTCTTTATTTTCACAAAACAGAAAAATAAAACTCCTACTTTCATCAAGTATGCGTGGACGCAATATCTGAGATTAAAAAGATGTTGACTTGTAAGTAGAAAGGTGGGATGGTTGATATTTTATTCTTTTTATGGTTTGGCGTCGTCTTAGGTCCTCGAAAACTCTTAGACTTTTGGGAACCAACGGGGTGGATGGTTGACCGATGACCGATAGAGTGGGGTATTAGTGGGAGTCCTTTAGCGGTTCCACGGTTAAGCTTGTAACCAGAATGATATCGAAACGCGCGGACAGAATTAAAGCGAAACTCCACATGAAAAACAAGTTGGAGAACAAGGGGGCGAAACGAGCTTGAACAACCTGGGGGATGGGAAAAGGTTCTTGAAATTTCCAATTTTGGGGGGAAAATACTCCCACATTTGTACAGGTGAAACAAACTTTCATCAAGGCGTTGCCCACGTGAATTTCCAAGTTTTGCACTTTTTTGGTGAAGGAAAGAAAAGAGCTGAACAAGTTGGCCGAACCCAATATAGAGCGGGTACAGAGGCGGCATAAACCACTTATATATGAGTGGGTTTGCTACTACTTGCAGCATCTCTCCCGCAACACTCAGTGTGTAGGCCTATACTATTTGGTGCAGTTTGAGGTTTTAATTGCAAGTGGGCGCTTTGAGATAGCAAGCAAGTTGTGGCACCCTGGATCACAGAAAATGTTAGGAGTACAAACTTCACCCGAAATTCTCATATCTAATCCGTAGACCTTTTTGCGTTGCATGTATACCTCGGAGGGATTTCTTTGTTATGTCAATCGAGTATCAATGAATGCAGAAAGAGGTTCTCTCATGTCTACCCAAGCGATACAAAACCACTGCCCTCTGACTCCGCCTTAACGCATAAGGTCTATAGCTATGCAGGTGCGAGTTACTAGCAGCCAAGTTGGGTAAAGTGTTTTTTGTTTGTTTGGTTTATGGTGGTATAAGCTACCAATACTGATTTTTTTCCTTCATATTTCCTTTGAGAAAAAAACCAAATCCGGAATAAATAAAAGGAAAGGTGGTACGAATAGGCACTGTCTAGCACTGTCTTTCAATGGTAATATTTATTTTGTTTCAGTTTTGCTGGGATTTTGTTCTACCCAATATTGTCCAACGATCTTGAAGCCACGAAAATACAAATTCAACGATTCGTTTTACCACAAGCGAAAACTAGCTGTAACTTTTAAAAGAAATCTGTACGTTTTATTGCCACGGCGGATAGGGGAAACGGGGCCATGCCCCCCTCCAAAAACTCGATTTAAAAAACAACCAATAATTAAACTAGAGAAGTAGTGAAGAAAACATGTTTTTGAATCGAGACTGTAGGCTACTCATCCTCTTTCCCTCCATGGATTCGTGAAATATGAATAGAAAGAAACAAAGCCGTGTCCGAATCACTTGGCAACGGCCGGACATGACGTCACGGGTTTAGGCCTATGCAGGGTTTTATATGGGAAATGCGCGGGCTAGTAATTCGGACGCGGCCTTGAAAAGAAAAAGGGGGAACGAGCGCCCCCTAGCGTCAAACGAGGTTCCCCTTTCTCGATTGGTCAGCCGAACCCTATGGGTATACGCCCAAGTAAATAGGCCAAAAATCCGTCCGCCGAGCTCATGAATAAAAGTTTTACATTCAAATTGTTCTAAATAAGGTAGTTCTGGGGGCCATGAAATTGGGATATTGAAGAGATATGGCAATACAACTCTGGCCCAGACTTGGGGCTTCTAATTCTGTAATCAGTGCATTTTGGGTGCGATCGGGCCCGAAAACGGCGCTATTTAGCCATGTTGTGGAGGAATTTTTTTTTCAAGCTGGCTACTTTTCCACTGTGGGAAACATCACTCGTTTCAGGGGTCGTCTTCTTTGGGTGAGAATTTCTCGAAACGTCATTCGTCAACCCATACCAAATTGAAAAGAAAAGGAAAGATGACATGCTGATCATCATGTTTCTGTGCAGCCTGAATACCTGTGAGAGCTCTGCGTATTTAAAAAAAAAAATTGAAGTATGGGCATTATTTTGTCACTGTTGTCTATGGGAATTTGTGTACTTTGGTGCACCCTATAATCATTCTTAGTGCACCACATGTCAGTCTTTTGCTCCCTCCCCCCCCCCCCCAAAAAAAACACCTTTGATTCTGGATACATAATATTTATTGATCAACAACATAGCCCATTAGTTTTCACAAGTCGTCGAGTTCACCTCAGTATTAAAGTTGACTACCGTCTAAAGGGTACCACGAACCCTAGCAGGACGCGCAGCGGAAACCCGTGGGGTGCCAGGGGTCTGCACCGGAAAATCACGCTCTACCGACCCGGAAGTTGTGATGAACCAAACAACCCTCCTAGTCCTAGCGACTCAAATGTTGTCTGTAGATACCTGTCAGTATTTTGATGCTCCGAGCAGGCGGAAGTTCACTTTGTTGTCGCCCAAATTCGGAAGGAAGTGAAGCCTTGCCGTCACAGATGTAAGGAAATCACACTGCCAATGGTAACACTTTACCGTGAAGCCATGCAAGGTTATACAAATTATGAAAGTGGGTTTCAGTTGAACTTAATGCTTTCAACTGCATCTGATAAAGAATAATGTGACAAAGGTGACTGGAAATTAAAGGGGGACTGAGGTGTTTTTTTTGATGAATGAAACATCAAAAAATGGAACTCCAGGAACGCAGGGAGGGGTCACTGCCAAGGCTGAAAGAGAAATGAGATTGTGCAAAGGCATTTGATTTGTCGCATTTGTAAACTTCGTGCGAATGGCTCATCATAGAGATGGAGGTGGGCGAGTGGGAGGAGCTTACTTTTGTATGGGTAATTAAGAAGATGGCTCACTCATGCCCCAAATTTTTTTTGTGGGCGTGATTTTAATTCGGGAGGGTGACTAAGCTGGCTTCACAAGCTTCGAGCCGACAAGGTATAGGCCTACGCGTACAAAACTTAGTGTTTTCTCCATATCTGGGCACAACATGGATACTTCCCTTTAAGATGCACGCAAATGTGCTTTGTTGTTACCTGAAGCCATTTTATGTCCAGAATATTGTCCATACTGTACTCTGTGTGGCTCCCGTCGTTTGTTCTTGTCCACTTAAGCTGAAGATTGACAGAAAACCTCTACTTCAAGGTGTTTGCACTTTTGGCAGTCCATTAATGTTGGATGCAACATATTGTAAACAAGGGGCACTAAACCATTTGAAATTCTTTTTGGAAAGAATGTACCATCCAGACGCCATTTCTTTGGTTGTGTACAAAGTATTTTTAACAAAATTGGAAATGTTTCTCAGTGCCAGAACGGTCTTTTTAACATATTTGTAATAACTGACCTTCATTGAGACAAAAAAAGTGGCATCAAGATGCAACATTATTTCCTTAGTTTTTTTTTCTATGAGCATAAAAATAAATTAGTCAAAACCATTGAAAAACGTCAAAATGTAAAACAGTCCTTTATGGATCTTTTTTTTATGCCCAACATTAATATATTCCAAAATCACTCTCCTGCGAAAACATTAAATAAGGCAGCAACAATGAACTGGATATTTATTTTCTAATCAGCAACATTTCATTACACTGTATTTTTACAGTCATCAACTTTGGCGAAATTCCGCACGTGCAGCTGATGTTTCATGACGTCAAATTCGCTTTTGTATATCCGCGTGAACTGGGGTTTTCCTGTAATGAAAAATCCACGTAATGAACAAAACAAATTGCAAACATCATCTCAGTGACTATCCGAACTAAACCATTTAATAATTGGAGCATATTCTGGTAAATTCCATACTTCAAATTTTAGTTTCCGAAAGCGGCTGGCTATGCACGTAGCATTTTCTGTTAAGTTAAATATTAGATTATCTGCATTAAATGAAATTTTACATGTATTACCAAATTGTGTGCTTCTATATTGCTTAAATTTCCTGTAATATCTTGCTGCAAATAGATAATTTGCAATATTATACGTGACTGCACATTAACAAATGTGTACATGTAGCTAACATGTTACATATGCATATACATGTACGTGTACATACATTGTACATGTACTTCCTAACGGACGCTGCGCGTTGTACAAGTACACGTGTACATTGTACATGTAAATGTACATGTACAGTACCGATTAACCTGCCGAGGACACGACCCAGTCATTCATAAATTTCCACCGGAAGCACGCACGCTGGCTTATTCATAAGTAGGCGGGCCTTACAGCTTGATCGACACTCTCACCACGCCCCCACACATAGCGCACACATACAAAACAGTCAATGAACAATTGCCTCATCACAACAGAGTTCATTCACACTACGTGACTCACGGCACATCCCGTAGTCGAAATTGCGTGGAGCGCTAGCTAAAATCGCATCGATAAAACTGGACGTGGCTACGATCGCTTCGCAATTTGATGACGCAGTATGCGTGATGTCTTCATTCCGCTTCAAACCATCACCGCTGGAGGACTGAAATTGTTCGATCTACTCGCGATATAAAAGTGAGATTTTGTTCTTAGACGCTTCAAAGTCCGATCGGTGTTTGTAAACTCGACATCGTCTTGATAAACTTTTTCTGAACTGTTTAGCTACCAGTATTACCGCAAGTGTGTAGTGGATCACCGCCGCTCATTGAGTATTCTGCGCGGGTTGTTTTATGTGGTTTACAGTGAGGTGTGGTTTGAATATCAATTCAGCAGCGTCTGGCGTATAGAGGAGCTTCCGTCAAGCGGTCGCCAGTCAATTTTTTTTCGGGGTTGGCATTCTTGTTCATAATTATCCCCAACGTGTGGAGGGAAAAAAATACCGTACCCATGCCGTGCCAAATGCATATCATGCAGGAAGACCGCCATCTCTCACCGCTGAGTGGTCCGCTGATCAGCAAGGACAATCACAGAGATCGTAACAACCATTATTACAACCCCCTCAAAATGGCCGACTCGGTCGGCGGCGGCAGAAAGCCGGTCTTGAAGGGACCGAGCGGGGAGCGGTCCCTCTCCGAAGCCCTGGCCGATTTCCCCGGCGAGCTGGTCCGGACCGAGAGCCCCAACTTCGTCTGCTCCGTGCTGCCGTCCCACTGGAGATGTAACAAGAGTTTACCCGTGGCTTTCAAAGTGGTGTCTCTGGGAGAAATTAAAGACGGGACCATGGTGTCCATCGCGGCCGGCAACGACGAAAATCATTGCGCCGAGCTTCGGAATGCCTCCGCCGTCATGAAAAACAACGTGGCTAGATTCAACGATCTACGATTTGTCGGCCGATCTGGTAGAGGTATGTTCATTTTCAATATTTTTTGTTTAAAAACACTCAATTTGTAGAATATTTACATAATTAATATATTATTCAGGTCAAGCTCACGGGTAACGGTTTATCTTGAGAGTGCGGTTTTGTTCCCGCGGTCAAAACCGCCGCTTGCACCACGTGGTCGTTTTAGCCTAGGCGTGAAGATGACAATAGAACCACGTGCGCGAGTAAAAAAAATGTACTGCATCATTCATTGAGGACAAAAAGAAAAGAACCTGGCATTTTCATTGTGTGAACTGTGAAAGAACGTGGCTCCTTAGAAAGTCTCTTGCGTCTGTTCGCCGTGCTCTTTGGTATAACAATCGCGATAAAGCATTTAACAACAAACTCACGGCTTTTCAGTTTATCTTGATTGTGTTTATGGTGCTAATGATAAAATACTTAATGGCTACAAGAATTTGTTATCTGATGCTGCATCATCGAGATAGTAGATGATTCATCAAGCGCTCTGTCACGATTTACCTTACGGCTTCTGACTCCAACTTAATGTTTACAAAGGGACATTCCATTTTGAACAATGGGCTGGCATAAGTGACATGACTGGAATATCTCTCCATTATCACACACTTCCGACTATGTATAATCTTCAGATAATTACTGATTGTTCTTTTGTTACGCCGTATGGATAGCGATATGCAGGCGTGTGTGGGGAGCGTCTTTTGATGACGCCCCCGCATCGCAATGTCATCCGCCGTAAGTGGAGATTTCTCGGAAATCGCCGGGCATGTGACTCAAGAGGTACGGCCGGCCGGCCCAGTTCCGGTCGGTAGTAGTCGGCGGATGTTCGCTGCGTGCCACGGTTGCGAGGTGACGGTGGACACGGAGGTATAACGACCCCCCGTCCTCCTAGGCTAATGAACCCAGTGGGCGTCCCGTGAACAAAAAGACCGACACTGAAGAATCGGAAATCTACTTGTCTGTTGGAATCCTCAACCCATTTCTTCAATCACATTGTATGTGATGATACCTTGATATCACCTAACGAGTAATAGGTTCAGTCACGATCCACACACACCCCGCCATAGCCAACCCCTTGGTCGCTGGGAACTGTTTTGTGTTGGAGTAATTTCATTCATTCACGCGTTCGCGATTGTGTGATTCATTCATAAAAATCGGCTCCAGCTGATTCACTTACTACGAACTCCACGCTATACGCATTCTAATGATGGCCTTGGGTTTAATACTACAATGCACTATACAACGTGTGCTGTTTGATGAACACGTAGGCAACCTACCACGTACCGGTGATTGCGTGCGTTTCCCGGTATTTCGCGCCCACGCTTTGTAACACTTTTAAGTTCATATATCCAAGGCCACCAAATAACACTTGCTATGGTTTCATTGCAGACCGTTAAATTAACGATCGCCGGATAAACGCATGTAAAAAGTACATTTTAAAATTCTTTATTCATATTCAATTCAAATTCTCATTTTTGTTTTCCTTTTAACCAATTGAAAGACTGAGAAAGTAGAATTTACAATCTCATTACGAAATGTTGTACATTTTTTTTTTTTGTATTAAGAGCATCAGAAAATAATTCTTTTTATACAGTAAATGGTGAAAGAAAGTAGTTGATTTATAATTTTTAGTTTACAAACTACAGTTCTATGGAAATTTCAACTATAACTGTAAACAGTGAAATAAATATTCTCAGCAGAATAAATTCAGCGTATAGGCCTTCGGGGGCGGATATGAAAATGCAGTAATACTTCCAATCGATGTTAGACTGTTAAATCGTCACTAAATGGCGTCAACAAAAGGGCTTGGTGTGCGTTGGTCACGCATTAACACACTGCGTTGGTCATGTCATAAACATTTTGAAAAGAATCGGCTACATCGTACATGATCGTACACAGAATTAAAATGCACCCAAACTAACGTGGGGGGCTTTTTTGTGAAAAGATTTAGGGGAAAGTTTGTTGGACCCGAACTGGTTTTTGAAGAGACAAAAGGGCAAGGTATCCTGACGTGCGTAGGTTGGTAACATTGTAGCGTGTCCTTGACAGGAGGTCTACCGAGAAATGTACCATTCTTCCCCGTACATTGTTGAGTTCCAACACGGTAGCAAGTTAGGCTGGGCCTTGTCCAACTTTGATGTACATTGTACTAAAGCGGATTGGGTGTGCGAACGGTATTGCATCGGCAACAAAAACGTACCAAAGGTTTTTGTACTGTTATCTTGGTACAAATAAAGTTTGTTCGAATTTCGGACGAAAAAGAGATTTTAAAAGACTAACTGGATGAATAAAATAGCACCAAAATGAGGAATTTTGATGTGGACAATATTGATGAAACAATGAAGGGAACACCAGATACTGGGAAATCAAAATCTTCAAATCTACAATCTTCTACTCGGATATGTTTTTACCAAAAACTTTAAAATTGAAAAAAACAAACCAACACCATAATTTGATAAATTATCTGACCATTGACGGAATTATTTTGGAAACAAAGAAAAGTTCAAAGCACTCTGAAAAATCGGCAGCATTTCCTATGTAACCAAGAATGGGAAATCCCACAAAGCGTTATACGATCGTATTGATTGATTTTTGTTGTGACCACAGTCATTTTCAGTTTTCTTTTAATTTTCCGAGAAAAGAAAGCGTAGAGAAACAGTGAAACCGAATGCAGTAAAAATCAATGTTTTTAACTTCTAGATTTGTAAAAATATTGATGTAATTGTTTAGTTATATAGTATCAACTTGAAAAGTTTTTCTTTAAGACGCAAAAGAAACTAATGCAATTACTGTATACAAAACCTCACTGCACGAAAACAAGTTTGTATTAAACTTACACTTTAGTTCATTATTACAAGCAAGTCTGAAAGAACAAAGGACATTTTGTGTCGAAAGCCGGGATTTCAGCGAACTTATGGCCTCCCGGAGTCGGTCTAGACGGAGACCAGTCGCGACACCACGGTGTGGGTGGTGAGTCTCCTTCACACCGCCAGGAATCGGCACTTCTTATACCGGCCGGGAGGTCTGAGACAGCACCCCCACGACATCCCGCCGCGCGCCCGCTGAAGTATGACGTCGCTAGTCGGAGACACGCGACTTTCGCCTAGATTTTGGTTGAATTCGGAAGAAATATTTTAAGTTCTTAAACATATTCGAACTTTTCTAGCATGTTGTGAGAGATTTGAGGTTACTGTGAAGTCAAAACGTAGGTTTTCGATCAACTTTTAAACTACAATCGTTTAACGTCCAGAAGATGCCAGAACTTTGGGAATTTCGCAAAAATGTTGCCGCGGAGTTGAAGAAAAAATAGCAGAATCTATATTTAAAAAGCTGTGATTAGTCATGGTGACTGCTGGATCCTTTTCGTGGACTACAATTCACTCTGAAACAAGTCTTTAAAATCCATAGTTATTTTGTTCCACTTGATTTCACAAAGACTTGTCGGCAAAAGACCGCCGAGCGATGTTGCACTTGGAGTGCTGTGCGTACGCTTTGTTCTATTTTAACCGAAAACTAGACAAAAAGGTTTTGATTTTCAATTGATTCATGAGCCCTTGAACAACAACAACAAAAAAAACGAGAAAAAAAGTCGTTGGCAATTAAGAATCTTGGGTGGGGATATAGTCATTCACCACTTTATGCCCGCTTCATTGACAAATTAACCAAACCACTCGCGTGCCGATTGTATCAAGTCAAAAAATGCTGGCATGCGCTGCGGTTAGTTCTAAATTAATTCCCGTGAATTAATCCACCCAAAACCGAATGATTAACACGGCCAAGTCCAGCGCAGTCAATTCTTTGAACCGCCTCCAACTTTTGTTAGCATAGAACAAAGTAAAAATTGGCAGGTGCCTCCATCGTTAATTGTACAAGTTCGAGGCGTGCAGTACGTGTGGTTAGCGGGGCGAGACCGGCTGGGTTCGACCGTTCAGAGCGTCTATCGCCTAGGCCAAGGTCTTCGCGACTCACTCGCTGCTATCGACTTCTTCCACACTCCTTGAAGTATTTTTTTATCAAGTTTTGTTTATTTCACAAAGAATCCTTGAAGAAAACAAACCGTGTCTTTGTGTGTGGCAGTCTTGACACGGTAGCCCCATTATTGACGAAGCTTTTGTCAAGTGTGGCCGATTTACTTGAGATTATCCTTGAACCACGGTGTTGCAAACGAGTGATCGGCAACCTCTCTCGGCCGGGCCAATCGCCCCTTTGTCAGGGGACACCCGATCGAAATGGCCCGCTCGCTGAGGTGTATGTTTTCGCGCTTTCTTAATTGGCAGACCCATTTAACAAATCAACGGAGGGAGATCCTTGAACTGAGTTTGGTTGTTTATGTTACAACAAGGTATAGTGCACTCTTCTGTTGAAGGAAAAACACAATTTTACTTTTAGAAAATTTACAACTTACAAGCAACAATAATGGGAGGGAAAAAACGGCGGTAAAAAGTTGATACTCTTCGAAAACAAAAACACAATATGATCTACTTTGATCTGAGAAGTTGTCCACTGAAAAACAAAAGTTTGTAAAACCAAGAACGATTATGGTTAAACCTGTACAGTTTTCTGTCGCAAAATTTCGTTCTTGAGCTAACTTTACCAATTTGTCACTACAACTTTCAGCAGCCACTTTTCGATACCTTGTGTAGCGGGAAATCCTCTCGGGCTTACAAATTAATCATTATGGGAGGTTAAACCTCGAGCTAGACATTACTAATTACATCTTGTGGGTTGTTTTGGCGTGGTTTCTTAATTTAAGCACTCGTGGAGGAGTTTGGTATAAACGACGCGCCGTGCAGCGGGCAAGACAAATTCTTTTCCCCCGCACGCAGCACGTTGTCTAGACTTTTCAAATGAGGTCGCACGACCGTCGTAGTCATCCCCACCCATCGATCGTTCTCAGAACCACGGCAAAAACACCCAGGAATACTCCCATTTACTCAAATTTAAGACCCCATCCTCTCGGAAGTTATGCATTTTTAAAACGAGAATACATATTTTGTTCAATAATGAGTAAAACGGGTACGATTAATTGCCTGGTATATACAAAAAAAATCTTTACGTTGGCGTGGATGTTTTTGTGGAAAAGTTGAAAATTGTGCTGGGTGTTAGCGATACCATCTGGACTTCGTATTGATATAATTTTTTGGAAGAAGTAATATTGTTACAAACCGCATTCAAACCCAGTCGACTGGAACTTAATTTTGTTTTATTGCGAATGGCAGGTTTTCGGGCAGGGAGTGGGGGAAATTAATCCAAACTTGTTGGCAAGACAGAAATGATATGTGAGAAAATGCCGACGACATTAGCTTGCGCTGCGCGGATGTTACTTTTGCGGCAAAATGAGTTCTACCCGAACTGAAGTTGGGAAAAGAACTGACTTGAAAGGTGTATCATTGCATTAGTGGTAATAAAACCTTGTGAAATTATTCCGTCTGGCTTGCCCTGTCATTTGGAAGAAATCAAGAAATGTAGGTGATTTCAAACGATCGGTTATTGATTGATCGTTGGATATAAAGAGTTATTCTGACGAAATGTATTTCGTGATCAAAAGCTTGTGCGTTGTTTTCACTTTTTCTCGAAAAGTGTAATATTCACTGAGATGAAACTTCAACAAATTAAGTTTTGAACATTCTTCTTTTGGATTTTGAGTGGTGTTATAACTTATTATTGGAAACGAACAACATGCATGAAGTGCAAATGATCCTATATGCCTTTAAGAAATCACAAAAGTAGCCTGCTGTGATCATATAATTCCTTGCTGCAGTGACTTACGATGGTCAATGTCTTTGTTCTAGAAAACTGTCAATCACGACCAAGGCTGTACAAACTACTGTTGCATTTTCGTCACCCTTTCGTCCATCAGTTTTTATGGACAAACCCGGGGCTATTTTTCCACATCTTGTATTACTTCTGCATATAAAGCCTCAACATCCTCAAGTTCCTCTAATTATTTTGGTCAACTTGTTTGACCGATCACGGCGAGTTAGTTTTTTTTCGCCACGAGGAACGGCCTTTGGACTTGAACAATCGTTTATCAGAGGATTTTACGGTACACACCTGTGCATCCTGTGTTTTGTGTTGACATTTTTTTTGGTACACATTTTTACGAGGTTGTGTGATCGCTGGCTATTTGCGGGATTAGAATAGATTGCGTTGATTGTTGCTGTAAAAAGTTCGAAGGCCTCATGGACTTAGCTGTTTACAAACATTGCTCCGCATGGCCAGGTGTTTTAAAGGGCAAGGAAGTAGGCAGCGCTGATAATTATCTGTAACTCCACTTAAAACAGTTGGAGTCCGATTTGGCAAATGGGCAGACGATAGGAAAATTACACAAAGGATTTTGCCCAGTTTTCCTAATTGTCGTGATGAGTTTGTAGAGGGGACAAGTGGATTTTAAGATGGTGAAGATATTGAAGGCATACACATCATTTGCATTTATCCAAAAAGTAACCAACGGAGTTATTATGAGAAAGCTTACTTGGCTAAATATCGCACAGGTACTAAACACCTAACGGAATTATTCCGTCTGGCTTGTTGTTATTTAGAAGGTATCAAGAAATGCATAGGTGATTTCCAACGATATTATTCAATAGACTGATTTTTGAAATAGTGCTGTTGACGAAATTGTGTTTCGTGATCAAAAAGTCGTCCATGATTTTTCACTTTTTTTCTTGAAAAGTGTAATATCCACTGAGCTGAAACATCAACAGGTTAGGTTTTGAACATTCTTGTTTGGATTTTGCGTGTTGTTATTCGAAACGGACAAAATTCATGAAAAGCAAATGATTCTATGCCTTTAAGCATTCAGAGTGGCCTAACGATCATCAATAAAATGATTTGACTGGGCTGAATTGAATCTGCAATGCATTGTGGTAAAAAGTGTGACAAAAATGGTTGTAAAAAGTGTGACAAAAATGGTCTAAAAAGTCTCATTTCTGCTTCAGTCACACTCCATGTACACTTTAAAGTTCCAAAGATCATTTAGAAAAGTTCCACTTGGTCGGATTATGAAATCCAGAATCATCTTTCATAATGCTGGCATTTTGGTACAATGCCAAGTTCTCTTGCGTAGACTTAATTTTTTTTGGTTTATCAGTAAATAAATACTGATAAGTTCATGAAAAATTGCATTTCAGATAATCGCTGTTGATAGAAAAGCTAGAGATATTCTCGGACTTGAAGTTAATTTTAGGCTTTTCCGTTATTATCTGAATTTGACATAACACATCCATAATGTCAATATTGTTTAACAATATTATATATTGCATAAGGAAATCAAGTTTTCAGCTCATTTTTTTTTTAGAAAACAGTGAAAACTCTTTCATAAGTTGTTTTACCAAGAAACAGGAAATGAAATTGTTGAACAAGTTACAACCATTGCCAATTAAATACTTTGATTGAAGGATTTGACTTTTTTGGACATTTGTTCAATTTTTTCTTCAAATTTCCACAAATGACGTCCACAACATCTTCAAGTATTCAATTTTTGGTTAATATTTCAGCAAATTGACTTGTAAAACATTCCACCAGCCTTTAATATACCTAAAAGTTGACCTCAAACATCTAGCCAGTGGTCACTTCAACCTTTTATTGATAACAACACACCATGCATGTCCACTATGTACATAAGGTCAGTTGGGGGCTTGTTACCAGGTGAACTTGACCGGTCCTGCTTGACCAATCAGCTGCTACGATTGACCCTTTTGTTTTGGGCCGGTCTGGTGGCCGGGCTTGACCACAAGACCACAAATGTGGCCATCTTGGCTAATGAAGTGTTGGGGTTGGTCAAGCATTTGTAAAGTGCCCGTAATTACTACTGGAAACAACTAAGTGTAAATATAGCGTGGTGTGGATGGACAAAAGTGGCTTTCTAAAACGAAATATCCCGAAATTAAAAATTGTCTGTTTATTTGTGACATGAAATTAATTTTCTGGGAGAAAATAGATTCCTTTCTTGAACATCTAAATGCCCAGCTAGGCATTGTTTTCTAATTGTTCTTAATTAGACAGGTAATTTTAGAAAAATTGGAAGAAAATTTTGCCACTGAAAATTAGCAGCCAATTATAATTATATTTTTTCCTTATTGTTTAACAGAAACATCTCACTGAATTTATTATTGAGAACAAGACTGTATTTAGGGCCATGTGTAGACAAAAAAATTTGCTGTGAAGTCATGTTTTTAACCTTGCGTTTTTGTTTGTAACAACTGTAATATCAAGCACCAAAAATCATTGCCAACAGGTGAAGTTTTCTAAATTACAAGAAATTACCCGTTTTCACTACAAACCAACTCGGTACCTGTGTACCGACTCTCAATTTACTCAAAGTCTGCCGGGGAGTGCTAGTACATGCATCAATGTCGCTGGAGCGAGGAAAAAAAAGACACCCTCGCAGTGCATGCAGTGGGTCCAAAGGCTATTTACTAATGTACATGTAGTTGTCTGGGAATTGTGATATGTGGCTCATTACAGAAGAAAGAGAAGAAGCAATCAAACTAGAGTTTTGTCCAGAAGAAATGTAAGGAGGTGTTATGAGGGGGGGGGGAGTGGGGCTGTAGTTTCTCAGTCTCAGCTTGGTGACAGACAGACACAGAGACCCATAGATGGAGCCTGTGGGGACACACCTTCACAACCACTCCTACTGTCCACAGACCTAGAGGCTGGGCCTGGTGGCATACCTACTGTGACCCTGTGTAACATTGCAAGGGTGCAGGGGGTGTATTAATGGAGTAAGGAAGCAATGGGATTTCTGACGTTCACTTGGCAGAAATTGAGCAAGTTTGGTGTTTGAATGAAAGGTTCTTGTCTATAACATTTTTTTGTGCAAATAAGTCTTGTTTATGGCATTTCCAATGTCAATATTCACACCACTAAAATTGTATTTGTAAATTCCTCTAAACTGCAACCTTGAAGTAAACTTTGGAAAAAAAGAAAGACTTTTAGTTAAGAATTAGTCAAATTAACCAATAAATATCAGAAATTAAGTAATAATATGTCCAACCTTCAATTTTTCACAAATACCATTAGATTAAATACTACACAGCAAAGTCCGCAATAAGTCTGCATTCGCAAAGATACTACTAAATCTATAGAAATGTTGTTTAGTTTTAGTCTTAGTTTTGATTTTTTTTTTTTTTACAATTTTGCTCAGTCAGAATGACTTGTAATTTAGAGGATGAAATTTATTGCGTCACAAATAAATGTCTTTGTTGAGTAACCTCTTGCAACATTCCAGTGTGCTCGTGTTACAAAAGGCAACAACAAAGCGAACAGGAAAACATCACTTGCAGTTGATGTAATGCTTCATAAAGGGATTTTTCATGCGGGGAAACTATACCCCGAAACGACCAGGAACTGAACTTGTTTAACAACGTTAATAAATGAAGTGACCTATGGCAGCGTCCTTTTTGAAAACTTGCAGGTAATTCGGAGGGGGAACCCCAAATCCTTTGTACAGATAGCAGAGTTCAAAGGGCCGCGAAAGATTTCCTTAATACTCTTTGTGATAACCGCCGTCTGTATATTTCCTTTTTCTGTGGTTAAATTATCTACAAAAAAAAATTACAAAAATTAAAAACCAAACAAATAACAACATTACTAGATATACAAAATATACAAACTGGCATTAAAAAAAAATGTGTACAGACCTGTTGTGAACATTTGTGCTCGAACGATGCTGAGTGTTTTGAGAACTATGCACATTTTCCTATTTGGCCTTAAAATTTAGTGGATCCTGTAGCATTTTTCTGCAGTTTTATTGGTGAATAAAATAATATTCTAAAACCCAAACCTTTAGTTACACCAACTCATACTATGTTTGCAAATTCCTACCTCTAGGAATGTTTAAAATCTCTATTTTTCAACAAAAATACAGCTTCAATTTATACCTCACATGTAATGAGTAATCTGTACATATACATTCATACTGTACATATATATGTGTAAACTTAGACAGTATTTCTGACTAACATTCTTGTACGCAAAGCTTTTCCGTAATTTCTTTTAAAAATATTCACCCAAAGAAACCGCTTTTAAATTTAATAGTCGCCAGTCCAGTCAGGACTTTTATCCCTCTTTGATAAAATAGAGTAATTATTCCCGGTCCACAGCCCACAAAAGCCCAACCTTCAGCCACGGACAAGCAACCCTCCGATTGGTCAGCCCAAAATGCAGGTCACGGCTGCCTTTCCGAGAAAAAGGGCCCAAAATATGCATAGAATTTCTTACTTGTTTCATTGGGAGTTGGAGGGGGTCGGCATGCCCTGGGGGCTCGTTTCAGGGGCCCTGCTGCTTAAATGTTTGCGGTGAAAAGTGATTCTAGCTCCGGAAGTTTACTCGAGCTGGCCCCTCTCTGCATAATGGATTGGGCAGTGATGGCCTGCAACACAGACATATAAGGAAAGAATGAAAATTAGAATAAAGTACCCAAAAAATGTAAAAAAAATGTGTGTAATACAAGACTTTTTTTCTGACAAAGTACACAACTTGGCACTGGTACTCTAGTTCGGTATTTTCTTTTTCTTTTTCGCTGGGCAATTATTTTCAGCTTGTAATCTCCATGATTTTGGTTCTATTGGGTAAATGTGGAAATCGTTCAACGCTAACCTTCCCAACTCCATCAAAATCCATCCCCCCATTTTGGGGATTTTGGTAGGCAAGCCCCGAGGATCAAGTCCATCAAAATCCACCTATACTAGTAGTGGTAGTCTTGTGGTGGATTTCAGCGGATTTTGTCCTAAAGCATTATTTGAAGCAGGCTAAATGATGGATTTTGGTGGACTTGGTCCAGTACTTTAATTAATAGTAAAAGACACTAGGGAGGTAGGTTTAAGACTTAAAAAAACAGAGGCCACATGAAAAGTTGTGATGATTAATTCAATTTTGTAATGTTATCATAAAATGCTCTGACAATCTTTTTTAAAGGTTAGCATGGCAATTAACTTTTTGCCGAGTGCTTTTTTCATCATGTCGCAGGAATATAGTAATGGTGGTTTCCATGGAAAACCTAAGCTGCTATTAGATTTTTTAACATTTTTTGTCCGTATACAGTAGATCACCCAGACAGACCACAAACTTTTCAAGAATGCGGAGTCTGCACCCCAGCAAGGGGGCTTTATGAGCTCCGGAACTTAAAAAAAAAAAAAGAGCTATATTTAGCCAATTTTGACAGCTTGAAAAGAAGAAATATTTGATGTTTTCTCTTCAAATGACATTGTCATGGTGAAGTGGGATAAATTTGAACAGCATTAGGCGTGGGATATTATTTTAATATAAAAAGCAAAATGGAAAATTTGAAAAACAGAAAGATTAACCAAAATATTGTTGGCAATATGCTGGAAACTATCCTGATTCTAATAAATTCCAACACTACGCTGAAAAACTGGCAGGACTGTGTCATACAAAATCCATCAAATTCTTGCAAAAATCTGATGTTAGATTGCTGGGGTTTAGTGTCAACAGGCCAAGTTAAAAAAGGAAAATTGGGTTTCGTGTCCGGCTTTTTCAGTTAGTGACCATTTGTGTCCAAAGCCGTCGCTCTTTTTATCAGATTTTTGAACTTGCATACGCAGATACCATTTTGCTAGAAGCAAATAAGAAGACAAAATATCTTGGAAACGTATAATTTAAAAAAACAACCAAGAAGCCAGCAGGAAAAGAAGCGGCCGAGACAAGAAACTGGTTAATTTTTTTTTTACTTGGCCTGATATAAACTTACCTAAACTGTTTATGAACAACTCCTAAATATGAAACCTGCAGTAACAAAACACACAGAATAAACACAGAACAAGTTATTTAATTGCTGTTTATCGATACTTTCAGTTTTTATTACTGACATTGTTTTTTCTCTTGTTGCAGGGAAGAGTCTGACGTTATCCATTATCATAGCGACCAACCCACCTCAGGTTGCTACCTACAACCGTGCAATAAAAGTTACCGTCGATGGACCCAGAGAACCAAGAAGTAAGTACATCTACATTTTTTTCAGCAAAGAATGACAGAGAACCAAATAAAGTAATAAATATTTTACTCCACATGTTTCTTAAGGCTGCGCCGAATTTGGTTACACCTCTGTGTTCCGACACCCCTATGTTCCGACACCCTATGTTCGGACTGCACATATTCCTAACCCTAACCCTAACCCTAAATATGTTCTTTCTATTCTACGCTTGGCAGATAACCATATTAACTACAAAACTTTGAAGCAAGTTGGAAATCCCTGGGAGATATTTCCATGAAAACAATTTCCAGTTTTGTTTCTGCAAATCGGATATCGGGTCTGGAGTACAGAAAGCGAACATTATGAATGGAGCCTTGCACAAATTGCTCAATTTTCATCTCAATGATTGACTTCCGGATTGCGCCTTGGCACCTGTGGGTTTTACAGGAATTTTTGCACTATAGGTACAAAGCCCTGCAGTTCTAAATATAAAGACCAAGGGGATTCCTAACATTCGTGAATTTGAACTTGTGAAATTAGACCAGTCATAAAGAAAACCACAAACTTTGTAGCTTTTTGTATTTCCACTTAATAGTCGTAAGGAAAGTACCCTACTGTGCGATTATTCAAAGCGGGCGGTAGCGAAGACAACTGATAAGCAATACCAACTTGCACAAAATACTTTCACTTTCCATTCAACAGCCCGAAAAAATTAGCAGTGCAAGTAGAATGACAGGAAGGCCGTTGGCTGTTGTTCCAATGCATTTTTTGCCCCCCCCCCCCCAAGGAAAATCCCTGGTAGGAGTTTAACTCGGAAGTGTAGTGAATTAAAGACGTGGGTTTTTGGGTTAGTTTGCTGGAGTTGTAAGAAATGACATAAATAAAGACAACTCTAATTTAGGAATCACAAAGTTGCAGGTAAAATATTAAAGATGTATTCCGCATGGTATTTTCGAGTTCACATCGAAAAATACATTTGTTTTTCAAGTGCTTTTTTCCAAGAGACATAAAAGTTATGCACTTTTTAACAAGACATGGAATGAAAAATATCCACCGACGTTTAGTTATTGAATTATTTTTTTCCACAAATTTTTTTTTTTTTTATATTGGCTGCCAGGCGTATAATTCAGCTCTCGCAGGGAGGGTTTATTTGTGAGCAAAATGAAAGCCCTTTTTAGAGGGTTGCAGGCACCCAGATTCTAAATAAAGTACTTTTTCTTTTCATTAAAACAAAACATACAAATTGAAAATATATTTGGAGAAAAAAAAATCAATTGTTTGAAGTGCGCGGGGAATACATCTTTAAAGGGAGAATGCATCTTTAAATTAGCTTTGTTTCAAAAATAACACATTTTCCTTTATTCTGAATGAAAAAGTACTTAAGTTACACAAAATTATCCAACTGGGTGAATTTTTTTCCTCTTTTTTCCCCACAAAACCACAAGTAATGCTGAAGGACAACTGTGGTCTGTGTTGTGACAAAAAAAAGGGTGACTAGCCGGTCTGGTCTAGTTGTTTTCCCGCCATTTTTCAGGGTGATTCATCTCATTGGTGCATATTTAAGAGATTTGTCACCTGGTGTGCATTGCGACATAACCATCTCAAGTTTTAACATATCATCTATCAACCCTGAATTAAATAAAGCAGGGCAGAGCAGTGGCTGGTTTGGAGATTATTGAGATTATCATTAAAATTGATTACTGCTCATTTAGATACATATGAACTGGAATGGGGCTGAATTATGACTAGGATTGTAAGTGAATGATTATTAATGTCATCCAAATGTATACATAGTCATAAAACCTGAATTGGCAGAATTTTTTGAAATCAAAAATGGAGTCGATTTTTTAAAAGTTTGTTGAACAGTGTTTTGCATACATGTACTTAAAAAACCCAAGTAGGACAACCAAAGTGGGGGTAGATGGAGACATGAATTATGAAAGACAGAAAAAGGAAAGACAATCACGTTAACTAACTCTCTAGTGTCTTTTACTAAGAACCGGACCAAGTCCATCAAAATCCATCAATCACTGCGCTTCCAATATAAAAATGTACATAACTTAATGGAATCCACCACTGATGCACTGGTTGACATTGATGGACTTTATAGCTTAGGCCAAAAAAAAAAAAGTCTCCGGTTTCTGGTGTGGAGCTTGCCCAAAAAGTGGTGCGGCGACGCAGCTTCTTTTTTTTTTTTTTACCTGATTTTTTTGCTTCAAATGTCGGCTGATGACTGCAAATGGTGCCCGACTAAACTTAGTGCAAATATATGGGAGTCCAGAGAGGCCACATAAAGCTTTTTCTCGACCATAACCCAATCTAAAAACACAATAAAATTGTGCAGCAGCAGGATTCCAGTCAAACCAGTGAGTTTGGCGGTTTTGAGACATCATCTTTCATTGAAAAAAAACTTTTTCATTTTGCCGACGCGGATGGCTACGGCGACGCGCGCGCATACCAGAAACCGGAGACTTTTTTGTGTGCCTTATTTGACAAAAGCAGTACAGGAAGCTAGGCAAAATCAGTCTGGATACCCCTAGCACTGCTTCAGGCCATTAGGATGACCAGAAGACCATTTTGATGGAGTTGGTGTGGTTAGGGTTACAAGTTCGTTTTGTATCAGAAAAATCTAGGTCTTTATAGAAAGAAAAGAAATTGTTGGTGGGCTGTGGTTGAAACTGACTGCTTAAAAAAAAGAAGGACATTCTGTGATTCTCAAGAATTCCTCCAAAATACTCTTCACCGCAAAGTCATATATTTGTTTAGAACACTCACACTGCTCATTGTGACATTCACATCTATAAAATATTCTACAAAATGAGCATAAAGGGGTTTACTTATTGCAGTGCAGTTTTATTAGGGTAAGCCACGTCTGCCCTGGGGGAACCACTCCCCTAAAATTACACATAAAATCAGCCGGGATATAGCCACTACAAATAACCCAATTCACTGTAACTCCCTGAATGATTGATTTTTATTCCATATGCCCCTCGATCCGTGCCCGTACACCCGATGGTGAGCAATGGTGATTCACACTTCGCGGTTCGTCGTACAGTTTTCTATTTCAGTAGCTGGACGGTCTAAATTTACCGGGGGGGGGGGGGGTGATGATGATGCTATAAATGACACTGGGCGATGTATAAGGGGCACCCCCGTGATTGTGAGTCACTATGTGAATGTTACTCATTCACGTGTCGGAATGCTCGGCCCTACTGCACTCTCTAGTGAACCAGGGCGGTTCAGCTTTTTAACTTGTTTTTTTTTTATGAGGGGAGAGGGGTTGAAAGCAAATTCAATTTCAAAATGTCGCCAACATTCCTAATGGTTTTGGAGAGGATTATCTTCATGTGCGCAAAAATTCCACAAAAAAAGAAACTCTTTGGAATTCACAGAATTGATGGTCATTAGTGATTGAAAATGTCAACATTTTGAAGAAAGAATATTGTCTGGAGCGGGGTTTGAACCTTCAACCTCCAGAATACCGTAACAGTGCTCTACCAACTGAGCTATCCAGTCCAAATTTGTCAGTGACTTCATTTTGGGAAGTTGTACACTACAATAATGGCAAATAAACTGTCACTGCAGCGATTAACTCGTGGCCTAAATAAAGTAATGAACTTTCACGGCGTGTGCAGTTTGAAGAATTTTCTGAATTAGGTTGACTTATATAAGTGCTTTCCTTTATCTGTTGGATACGCACACTATAAACATCCCCAATCCGTGAACTTAGGCGTATTATATCAATACAAGGTGTGGTTTGTGTTGACAACAAAAAGTCGCGATTGGAAAATAAAAAACGACCAAAGTTCGACCAAAAAACAGTTGGTGGAGGGCTGTTGAAATTAGGTTAAACATACCCAGGTTGGAGATTGGGGGGCAAAGGCAATTTCCGCTAGTGTTGAAGTATTTAGCAAACATTCGAAGCAATTGTGATCAAACAAAAAAGCTGATTCCCCGTGAGTTGTGCAAGTTTAGATTTTGCAGCCTTATCGCAACGTTGATTTCCGGCGAAGATAATTAGGATAAACATTCAGACACATTATGTGGGGCTCAAGTTCAAAGCAACCGAAAATGTGTGAACTGTTAGAGTATGTCTTTTTAGAATACAGTGCTTTGGGAAATTGTAATCATAAGTGATGAAAAGAGAAAGAATGTACTTTTGTTTGAGTTTCATTATTAAAGTTACACTTGTTCATAACGATAGTCAGAAGGCGAGTGTGAGTTAAAAATGTTACCTTTTATAATAACAACCTAAAACCCTCACTAAAGTACAAAACATCGAATACGTGAGTATACGATCATTATCTGAATAGCATTTATTTTTTTGATTCAAATATAGGAAAATTTGAGCAGTCTCAAGGAAATGATGAAAAATGTCCTCCCCACGGTGTTCTTTTTTTTGCGTGTTTTTTTTGTTTGCAAACGTTTGTCAAAAGCCACTTTTGTACATTATTTGCGAGATTCCATGAGAAATATCAACTCAGATTTCTTTGTAAAATCGGTCAAATATCAGACAGTCCGCTACCTGTTCTTTAAATTATTATAATAAGCTCTTCTTCAATTCTTAACAAGCGCAGGCACGCGCAAATCCCGATGGGCGGCCAGCTTAGGGTGATCAAGTTAAACTTGACCATCGCGTTTCGAATATTCGATATGCACAGCCCTAGTACAGGATGGATAAATTGGTTTAACTGGTATCCACTTATGGTTCACCGGTGTCCAAATGGGTAGTGTTAAGATGACAAATTCTTAGTTAGATTACTTAGAGAGCCTAGACTGTGATTTTGGTACTTGAGATGAGTCGAAGTCGTGATTTCAGGAAAGGAGGAGGTGAGATGCTGAAACTAGGCCTACACCATGCTTGACCTCCTTCATGACTAGAATGGGTAATAAGTCTTGCGAAAAAAGAAAGAAAGCGTGTCACGTTGATGCCTCCTCCTGCATCAGCAGGGGAAGAAAGTTTGTCGACCTGGTGATGATGCGATCCCAACCGCAATCGTTGATGGAGGAAAAAAAATGGGGGTATGATGAGTGTCAGTTTCATTGATGCCTGGGGACGGATGACTAAAAAGCGTCTTAGAAGAGAACATGAGAGAGTTCAATGGATTTTCTAGGGCTATTTCTGCAGTGATAGACTTGAGAGCTCATCTTCAGGAAATTTGTGAAAATGTTCTAGGGCCTACGGGTTTATCTTTTGTTTCCCGTGGGAACATCTTTCATGGGTGGTGGGATGAAAAGTTGTGGCTCATTGAAGGAATATTTGCATATTTATTGAGCATCGCTTAATAAATAATTCTACATGTTTTAATTTTGGTTTCGAAAATATATTTGATTTCATTTGTACAAAAAACAGCGTATTTTGTATTCAGCTGGAAAATGAGTGAAAATTTGGCGTTACGAAATGACTCAATTTTTGATTGAATTTCCACATTTTCAAAATCCATCCCAACTTATTTCATCCAAGGTTACACAAATGATTGATAAACTAGATGCAGAAAAAAAAAATAACCACAAGTGTGGAGAAAAGCATTTGCACCCTGGAGACATATTGGGAAATCGAGACCGGAATAAAATACAACAATATCCATTATTCCATCACATCTTACTTCCTGTGAGTCATGGGTCATTATCTCAACTCCAACAAGTACTACAAATAAATTAAGGGTTCAGTCCTGGTCAAATGATGTAACTCTCATCACCGACTACCCATGTTAGCCAATCAAAGTCAAGATTCAATCAGTCCCAACCAATTAGGTGCAGCCTTACATACCCACATCCAGTGAGTAATCCTCTGGCCAATTGGAGCGCGGCTTGCATGGTGCTTGACCAATCGGATGGCATGTCTCATGTGGGTTTGGATCTCATTTGCATAGCCTGACCTCCTTTCGTGGGTTGGTTTTTCCAAGAAGTGATCAATGGGACAGGAACTTGGCCATCCATATGTGTGCATTTGGTTTGTGTGATTAAGTCTCACAAAAGAAAAAGAGTTGTGAAAGGCAGATAATTTACTTGAGGGATTTAAAAGATAAGTTGGGAAGTCCATGATGTGAAATTGGCCAATGATTGGATGTGTTGTTACAAATGACAGGAAAACAAATTACGCAACACAGATTGACTCAGATAAAACCTTTACAACAGTCAAAACACACAATCGCTGTCAATGTCTTGTTCCCTTGTCCCTCGTGGCACTGAGCAACACAAATAGAATCGCCGGAGTGGCGGCACCAGCCCATGATGATCACATTTGGGAATTCATGCGAAATGATTCAATCTATTAATAACTTAGGGACAGAAGACATTGGTATATTTGTTTGGGTTAAGATGAATAATAGAAAGAGCAGTTTCCGTTGACAGAGCTAGAATCATCTGTGCGACCAATGACAGATGCTTAATTATTTGTTTCACCTTGAGTCTTATCACGAGATTCTAAGAAAAACCCTCTGACTCATCATCCTAAACACAAGACATTATTATGTGATTGATTACTGCCACTTTAACCCCTGAATGTCCTGATACTGAATAGAAACAAGGACAGTTTGATTTGAGAAGAGGATGTGTGTGGACAAGTTCGTTCAACCCATGCACTTAAAGGAGCAGACTGATCGGTCAAAAAAGTTTCAAGAAGCAACATGAAAAATCAATTAGGATAATGATTCAAATACAGCAGAGGTATTTTGTGCATTCAAGAGTTCAGTTTGTACGCATTGATATTTTCCCTGAAAACAGCAAGATTATGTAATCGGGAATTAAGAGCGGCTTTTAAAAAAAGATTTCACCTGAAAAGGTGAAGTGCCTGACTGACCACAGGAAGTTTGTGGTCAGGAACAATCTAGGGGGCTTATTAGCTAAACAAAGCCCTGGCCAGACTAGAAAAGAAACAAGAAAAAGGCTTGGGCTTTGAGATTAACACTGGTCTCCCCAACACATGACTGAAAATGATCAATGAGATAACACACAAAAAGTGATAGCGGCCCTAATTTGATTGAAAAGGATGGGCCAGGGTGGGGGATAGTTTTCTTGGAAGTTGTTGCTCCAGAGGGTTGGGTTAATTGTGCTGGAGGCCAATGCACTCTGGCAGATTATGCAGACAGACAGTGGTTCAAGAACAACTACTCATACTTAACGACTTTCTCAGAAATGATTCCCATTTAGGTTGGTTTTTGGACTGATTGTTCCTCTTTTGACATAACATGTTGATTTCTGCCTCCAATGTCGACTGGGAGCTGATTTTTAATTCATGTACAATTTCTGAGCATTTGATTGAAATTTGACTTATTTTCATAATCATTGCTCTTTTGAAATTATTTTATCAATGGAAAGCTTTGATGTGCTATTAATGTTATTTTTTATAACTGTTGATTAAATTTAAGCCACATTTGTTTAGATCTCCAAACCACTGTTAATAGATATAAATTTAACAATAATATTTAATATTTACTTGATATCTTTAATCAAAGATTTTTAATAATTAGCCTTTAATTGACCAGCTTCTAATGGTATTTCCACTCATATTTCATAATGTGCCTGAATGTGCTTTGATTTAGCTATTATCAAAATATTGCCACCATCAAAACAAACCCACGTTTTTACCCTTAGTATCTAAATGCTATTATTTCATTACCAACAGCGCGTGTAACAGTAAGTTGACCTAAAAAAACTGCAATATTTGACGAGAATACAGCACCTCCGGTCACCATGTATAGGATCTACAACGTGTGAAACGTCCAATTTTTAGGCGTTTATTTTGTGTCCTGACTGGGCCCATCCAATCAAGGGCAATAAATGGGTATTTCAAAAGAAAAGAAAGCATTACAATTTAATACAACATGTTGAAAATTTTGCGAATTGATGACTATTATAAAATTCAAATGGTTGACCTCAAGTTCCGTTCAGTCGATCATGCAGATAACAATTGGGTAAGGTCAAAACATGGGAGTCAGTGACTAGACTAGTCACTGTTTGGTACCAAGACGTTCATAAAAAAGTGAACGTGGACCTGCTAGAATTTACACGCTCTATTCCTGGAAATTTTTCAGCCCACGTCTAATTTTTCAGTTTCCGTTCTCTTTCTCTGCCAGGACACAGACCTAAGCTCGAGGAGCCTCGCATGCCTCAGCATCTCCACAACCCCAGTCTGCCTTTCCCCAACCGCATCGGTGAGCTGTCCGGTTTCTCCCCGGCCAAGAGCCAGCCCATGCCCCAGCCTCAGGTCCGAAACATCCGACCGCAGGTCCTGAACTCCACAAACAACTATCTGACAGCGGTTACGCAAGGTTGGTCATTAATTCCATTAAAAAAATACCAAATGTTTCAGTTGGATAAAGAAATTTCACTGAAGGGGGAATTCAAACTTGTGGTTCAAGCACGCTTTTGGTTGGTGTTCTGTTTTGATGAAAATCATCATTTTTCTGAAAAGTTTTAATGTCTGGTACACAGATTTACTACTTGAGTACTTTTGTGCACTTTCAAAACGTGATATCCCCCTTCCCCGCCCCAGTGTGCATTAGATGTTCACAAAATGCCTGTGAATGCAAGACACGTTCAGACTTGCTCTAACTAAGAACTGATTTCTGTTTTTATATTTTAATGGAGAACTGTCCAAGGTAATGAATATCAGTTTTGAGGCCTTTGGTAAACTATGAAACTTGAGATGACTTTACACATCCGCATACTTCTGTGCTAAATTGAACTCAAGAGAGTCGCACACACATCTGAGAAATTGGTATGCATGGCCACATTGTGCACTATGCATTCAGTTGTATGGCAGATAAAGTTTCATAACACCAAACCCCATGGGTACATGGCTACAAGTAGTTGCGTTTTGATCAGAATAGCTTGGAAAGTACAGCTTTTGACCTTGGACGAGACGGTATCAAAATATGCCATTACAAGAAATTGCAAGGCTGAAAAAAAATTGAAGATTTGATTTTTGGAAATTTGATTTTCACTGGTGAGATTTGAAATAAGTCCAAATTGACAGGAACTATGTGATTGGACAGTTTTTGTTAAACCACCTGACAGTATTTGGCTGTCAGTATGACCATGTGACTTTGTTGAAGATCACATGACACTGAATTCTAGTTCTCACTAGAATTACTTTAGAATTGAAGTCATCTTCAATTCGTCAATGTAATGTTATCAAGTTATGCGATTCGAAATAAAAGGGGAAGTGCATGCACAGGAAACGGCAGTCTGAATTTCTCGGCAATGGAACCGGTACCCGTGCATTGGCTGGTACCCGGTATGTGAACTTCCTGAGCTGAGACGGAGGTCCTTGTTGCATTCAGGTCATTATGAGGTCACATGTTTCGATTAAAATTTCACATGGGGAGATCGTTGGATTGTACCAGGATCTTGTATACAGGAACTCACTGGCACCGTTCACAAGAAAACCGGCAACATAAAAACATGAATTTCGAAATTGTTCTTCTTGTTTGTTTAGTTTGTTTCCTCAAATAATAATTCAGGTACACGTTGGTACCATCTACAACTGTTGCATGTAGTCATAATCTGGTAATGTAAATAACACACTGACAAATAAAATTTTCATTAAAACCAAAAAATGGCAGGTGCAGAAAATGACATATAAAGGTCAGTGTTCAACATTTACACAAGTTCAAAACATTGTTGTTGTTTTTCCCCAGCATTTTTATAAACTGCAAACTAATTTCAAGCTCAACTTTTCCACGAATTACTGTTATCACAAAAGCATTACGGTGAAAAAGTAGCATAAAGAAGTATATTCTTCAATGCTAGTCAATTCAAACATAGAGTTCCCTGGATGTTTTCAACATTCACGAAAATACAAGAAGCAGTTAAAAAAAAAAACCTGTTTACAAAGTTCCGAAGCATTTCGAAAATAACTCTACTCTACCCACAAATCCCATGGGCAAGTATTAATATAACAGAAAGGCCCCAAAATACACCTACACGCTTGTTTTCAATCAATCCGAAGCATAATGTGTAAAAAAACCACAATAAACCACCAGAAATTCCCCAATGAGCAACTTGGCCAACACAAGATGAACAGAATTTCCATGTACCAAAATCGAGGACTGCCGTTTCATGAGCCACGTACATCCCATAAACATGTAATTAACACAACAGGAAATTGCCACAACAAGCTAGCCCTAAGCCCCAGTTTTATCGGAGTCTGGTCATAGCAGGCCTTGATTCCTACAGGACAAACAAGGCTACAGGATATCCTACTTCCTGAAGTCATGAATATCTTCCGAACTCTCATCACCTCTCCACATTACAAGAGATAAAAACAACATTTCCTGGAATTGTTTGGGGTTTTTTGTCGGTGATTAGGCAATGACATTCTCTCAGATTTAAAAATCATGCAATTTTGGCCGGGGTAAATTTAGTTTGTTTGTTAGATTAGAAACTGTCATTTAGGCCTGGGCGAGTAGTGGATTTTCCTACTCTATTACTCGCAGAGAAATTACTCACGAGTAGTCGAGTTACTCATGAGTAGTTTACTAAATTCCCATAAAAACAGGGACAAAATGGCATAAACATTATTCAGAAGGAAGTTACTACTATGAATTAACCGTGCAAGACACACCACATGCTTCAGCACTGTTATATTCTTACTAGGCAAAAGTTTGGCTGATTTTAATTGAGCATTTATTTGTTGAGAGTGCTAGTGGAATCCCAATGAAACAGGTAGAGGTAGTGATTCCTTTATTGCGGGGGATGTATTAAGACAACAGACAAGTTTGGCATAGAAACCGCAAAGTGGTTACTTTTTTCTAAGTCAGCACTTGTAAAAAAAAATTGCTACTCGCGAGTACCTACTTCTACTCGCGCCAGGACGAGTACTCGAGTAGATGAAAAATCATGAGTAGAATAACAAGTAGCAACCACTACTCCCGAGTACTCGGGATACTCGCCCAGCACTACTCTCATTACAATATATACTATTCCTAGAATAATTTAGTTGGACAAAATTTGTCAATCATATGTACTGGGGAGACACGGTAGATTAAGGAGACATTTCAATGTCTCTCTGATGTCACAACTCATATTTAGAGGCAAAATGTTACCGTCGCAAATTGGCTAAATCGATTGCCCGGGGTCCAAAAACATAAATATACCAACATTTGTGGTGGTAGGATAAGGTAAAATGGGGGTTAGGGGTTATGAACATTTGAAAATGTTTGTGCACGACCCTATGGAAACGTCTACCGAAGGTCCATTCTCGGTAAAAATAATTATTGTAATTTTTTTTTTAATTCATGGTGCATCCTTTGCATGACAGAGCTACCACAATCCACTTTTTTGGAAGACAGACACGAAATTTCCAATGAGATGATTCCATTTAGTTTGGTTATCATGCAATCACGCATTTTCACCAAATTGTTAAAAAATAATAATATGCTGCTGACCTCCAAGATGGAAATCTGACCTCTCAAAATGGTTTAGCATGAAACATGTAAAAATAACAAATTAATTTCAACATGGATTAAAAAAATTGAAGATAATTTTGCAGTCCTTCTGCATGATCAACCTTTACAAATTCTCAAATATTTGTTATTCCATTTGAATGAATGCAATACGATGAATCTGTTTACTAGGCTTTCATTTTGTAAGATAGAAATAAACAAGTGCATTCCTACGTAACACGATCGGCACTAAATGAGCAATAAAAAACTATTTTCAGACTGCCACGATCCTGCATCAGCAGCATAATGTGTTTGTTTGTGAATTATCCGGATAACTATGAACAAGCCTCGCAATAACTCTGTGGTTTCCTTGTCGTGTCGGGCAACCAAAACAGGATCAATGAATACTGAGCATGGTGCACGTACCGGTACAACGCTGGCCGATAGTATTTAGGAAATGAAGTTTAAGATAAGTGTTTGTTGGTCTGAGTAATATCCTTAAATTAGTAGCAGTTACGGTGCTTGTTTTGTTTACTTACTGACTGCCAGATGGGTCATTGTTGCCTTATATGTATATGAATTTGGGAACTGTTGATGTAAGGGGGAAATCCCTACATTCATGCACCCCAAAATATAAAATGGAACAAAAATGTAGCCATGGGCGTGAAAGGAATTTCTACGTTCCTATGATTGTAGCTTAAAAATTAACTATTGTGTTTTTTAATTTCAACTTTTCACGGTTAAATATTTGTATAAGACTTCATTAAATTAGGGTGGATTTTTTTTTGGGGGGGGGTGTGAAATTCAATATTTAATAAGGTCACAGAACTTTGTGCTGGCAAAGTTCAACCAACTTTACTGAAAAATCTGCAATATTATTAGGTCAGTCTTTTTAGTTTCATTGCCTTCAATTTGGGAAAGATTTGTTTTATCCAATTTTTTTTTCTCCCATAATTGGATTAATCTTTGCAAAGGTTTACAGTGAAAAAAAAAAATCCCCATATTTTCTTCAAGATCTCATTTTGAAATTTTTACAAATCACTTCAAAAATTAATTTCTTGTGGAGAGTGAGATTGTACTCATGCGAGTTCATCTAGAGGACAGGCATTACGCCCTAATGAGGGAACAAAATGTCAGAGACGGGCATTTAGCCTCGTCTAGGAAAATCAGGATAAATCTCATTATTTCCGCAATTGACTTGGCCGCACTTCGGAGTAATTCAATCTGCCTTCTTCAAAACGGCCGTGCACAATTAACTGGCGTCATCTCGGCAAAAGCTGCATTGCTGTATTGTTTGATTTGCTACTTAGATGAACCGTTTTCAGTTCTAAAATTAATTTCCTTTTTTGGCGAGAAATTTTCAGCTCTGTTTAAAAACCTCTCTGATCCGGACTGTTGTTAATAACAGAATTTGCCTTGAAGCATTATCTTGGCCATCATTGTCCGGGCTCAATCGTCAGTTTATAATAAATCTGACAGGCCAGGGCTATTCGCTTGGACAATTCAAGGTCAGGTCAAATCCTCCGCTCGCTGACCGACCCAGTTTTCAAGCCCTATGTCCAGAATCTTCTGAACTTCTGACCCTGAAAATGACCATAGGTTTTTTCCTTCTTCTTATGAATGGTCAGACGCTCATGGCTGGTCAGTTGTATGACACACTGTCGTCGCCTCTAGAAAACACCCTCATTATAGGGAAGGGTTGAATAGGGCTAATGTATGCGGGAAATGCCAGCAATTTGGGGACAGGATGTATTCAAAGTAGACACAAAAGCAAGTTGTTATTTTAGCCATTTCAATTGCTTTCCCTATCTATTTTTTCCCTGCAGTAAATCTTAAATAATAAATAATAATTTATACATTGTACATTTATATTGAGCAAATTCCATATGAATATGATCAAATGCGCATCACAATTACTATCCCTGTTCAACAGGAATGAGACCATTTTTTCGGCAGCAGCTCGCGATCACCGCAATTTGGTCTTTACCTTCACAGGTACCCATATATACTCCTGGGTGGAAAGAGGTAATCAAAGTAAAGTGCCTTGCCCAAGAGCACAAGCACCATGTTCCCTGTCAGGGTTTGAACCCATGTACCATGGCACATGAGGCGAACACCATAACCATTGGACCACAGTACCCAACTGATTAAATCTTAAGTAGTACATTTCTTTTTTAGTGATTTTTTTTTAATTTTTAATTTGTAAGTTTTTTAAAGCAAAGATTTAGCAGGTTTTTGATGCAAAAACACAAATGGACAATATATTTGGATATTACTTCAGGGGGAGGGGGGTATTTCTGAATAAGAAACATTACTGGGGGGGGGCTGCTCTGATTAAGAAACATATTTCCCCCTCTGATTAAGAAACATATTTCTCCCTCTAGAATTTCAATATCTGTTTCAAATTAAATTCTGGAAGGGTATTGGACTGATGTTGACATGGCCCCTCAGGCTGTTGCCATTCCACAGGGTGGGCCGAGGCCAAGGTTATGCTGACAACATAAAACTATGCAAAGGAGTAATTCAGGATATCACACCTTCTGTACCCTCTGAGAAAAAAAAACGGCCATATTTGGAAGGCTAATGGTTGAATAGAGAATCTTGGTAATTGGCCCTTCTTTTTAAGGAGGGGGTGTTTGATAAATGCAATTATTTACTATTGCTGGCCCGTTTGCAATACTTCATTTAAGTATTTTTATATGGATGGTCAAATGAGTTAAAATATTCTGTCAAGAATGAAAGTATTTGTGAGTCATGAAATTAAGCTCGAATACAAAGAAAAAAATTGCCAAAATAGAGATGAAAAAGAAAACACAAACCGTAAACTGTCCTCACCACAAACAAGAAAATTCCAAAACCCCAAAACAATAACCCAACAATTGCAAAACCCTAGCTTTGCGACACAAAGGATAAGTTATGACTAGGCTTCAAGGCTTATACTGTGTACGGCCCCAAGGCAATGAAGTAAATTGCCTGTAATTGACAAAAACAGGTGAAATCCATTCACAGTATCTTGCACTGTATTTATATTTTTCAAAATGAAAGTGTTTTGCTCCCCACGTATGACTTCCTATACACACATGCACACGGTTGTTTATATTTCTTGGAGATTGGCCAGAAAAAGAAACTGTTAAAGTTTGTGCACCTACCAATTTTTGATTTTGGTGTAATTGCATCAGGCCTTGCTGTAAACGAACAGTCATTCAGTCATGCAGAAAATCTATTGTAATTTTTTTCCTCACAAACTGCAACAAGTATAGAATTTTTGAACTTGTATCTGGCTTTGCGCATCATAATTTAATCACAATTTGACAAAAAGGACAAGCAGATGTCATATCCATTTTTATCCGTTAGGTATATAAAAGAACATGTGACAATGCCGTCTCCAGAATTTTTTTTCTGCGTCAGTGAAAAAGAAAAAAATGAGAACAATAACCTATTGTAAACCGAGAGGATATGTTGAAATCGTTCAAGCCGTGGTCAGTCAGTCATACGCTGGTGACTCACTCAATTTTTTTTTTTTTTTGGTGTGGGGTTTATTATGTCATGCCATTCCGATGAAGTTTATACTTGTCATAATTTTATTGGGATACAGCAAGGTCATACTCGATCAGCTGCTATGGTAATTTACTTGGCAGCTGACGACAAGCAAAAGGTCATATTCCCTCACTGGGTGGTCGCATTAACATTTTTTTTACTATACAAAAATGACCCAAATTGACGTTGGCGAAGGGCAAAACCTAATATTGATTAGACCCAAATTGACTTGAACACACCAATGCAAATAATACCATTTCACGAAATGTCTACAAAATACATATTATTGACAAACATATCTTAAAAAACAAATTTACAAATGTCTTACATTCACTCACAATCATGTACATGTAGTTCATGTCCACTAGCCTTCTTATAAAGCCAGCTTTATGTACCCGTCATAAAGGCTCACGCCAACTACACGAAGCATTGTTTGGAGCCACACATTTCTGTTTTACAAAACGTCTTAGATTAACTCACAATCTGAATTTAACACATGTAGTTCGTGTCCACCAGCCTTCTTATCAAGCCAGCTTTATGTACCCATCATAAAGGCTCACGCCAACTACACGAAGCATTGTTTGGAGCCAAACATTTCTGTTTTGGCAGAGAATGAAAGTTGGCAGCTATAGTTCTGAACGTTGAGCTGACAAACTTTGGCCATTGTATGCAAAACGTCCAGCCGGCCTGCCCCAGCCCAGACTGTTTGCCACGCACGTCTTTCAAATCCAGCTTTTTCCGAGCCAAGTTTTTTGGCCATCGACTAATATATGTTTGTATAAAACTTGAAAACAATTTGTATGTCAACAAAAGCGCCAGTCATGATCACCGTGCCGTGCAAACCCCCCCCCCCCCCCCCCAGTTTTTAGGAAGATTGCCAGTTCTTTTGTAACATAAATTGCAGTTGGTGATTTCACAATCACAATAGTGAAGGGCAGAGTCCATAAAGGCACAATGCTGACCCGATTTTTTTTGGTAAATAAAGGGATTTTATAACCCTCTTTCATTTTCAACCTCATGCAATGTTTGCAGAGAAACTTGAGATGCTTTAGAAGTAATGATCTTTTTTTTTGTGACTTGTGATGTTGCAAGAACTTCACAAAATTGCACACAGGAGCCAGTCAGTCGCACTGCCAAATTTGGATGAAGCCCATTGTGTTTGTGTGTGGGTGTGTATGTGAAGGGGGGGGGGGGGGAGTGGAGCTACATTTACGCTCCAAGAAGTCCAGGTTTTAGTAAACACTTACCTACAAATTAAAAGTCTTTCCTTTAATATTTATATGCAACTACTTTTTTGCAATTTGCCTGCGAATAGGATAATTGAATTTTGCTTACTTTGTTATACTTGCTTTAAATACATGTTTACTTTGAGTTGTAACATGATGATTGACGTTATTGCCTTTTCTTTGTCTAATCCACAGATAACCAGCAGCAGCAGCAACAGCAGCAGGATGCCATAGCATTGAATCGTCCCTCCTCCACTTCATGGCCCTACTCCTACCAGACCGCAGGGTTCTTCACCCCTCAGCCCCAAGCCACTACGGCCCTCCCGGCCATCAGCCCGACCCGGACCACCGCGGCCGACCTGAAGATGGACACCATGGACGGCATGGGGCAGCTCACACAGCTCACCTCGGTCACCAGCGCCGAGAACTCCCTGAGCCACATGCTGGGGGTATCGGCTAACCCGCGCAGTGCGAGCAACGACCCACGGTTCATCTACCCAAACTGCGTGACGTCGGGGTTCCCTTCCTCGTCCGTTCTCTCGCCCAGCATCGATTCCACCCGATTCCTCCCCATGACACCCAGCGCGTTCCCTCTCCCGTCCCCCGATCTGTTCGGCGGCGGTCCCTCCACCCCTGTCACGCTGACCTCCCCACCGTATCTGCCAAGCTCCCCGCCCTACCAGTTGTACCCCCACCTGTACATGAGCTCGCCGTCTCACCAGCCCGTGCAAAACTTCTTCGAGAGCACGCCTCATGTGCTCCCGCCCAGCACCACTAGATCCGAGAGCAAGTCGGAAGACATCAAGCCCAGAGACATGCCGTCGCAGACGATATCGCACCACCCAGGAGGTCACGACATGTCCACGCTCATGACCTATGACCCCACGCGGACCGATGTTGCCGCAGGTAACATTGTTTCTCTTGAAGCAGCTCCTGGGATGCCCATCCCGTTGTCCTTACACCACGCCCCAGACCCATCTGGGATGCATCCTCTGCCAGTAGACGAAGACCGAAAAGAGGACGTCTGGAGACCTTACTGACTGCATCAAGCAAATTATCTTTCCTTAATGATTTAATTAATTAAAGGTTGCAACCTTAATATTTATACAATATCTGTGAATCTAAAACAGTGATAATCTTATTAAACACCAAGCATTTGGTAACGAGGTGCAAGATTTGCTTGTAGAATCCAGCCCAATATCAACATCAAAGTCGAAATCTAGGACCAAATAATGACCAAATTATCTCAATTCAAGTACAATTTACAAATACTAAAAACGATTGTTTTTTCACAGTTGCGTATGGATTGTTACAGCAATTGCCACAAGTGATCCTACTTCTTTTCACGTGAAATAGAAGCTGTGGTCTTCATAAAGAAAATAATAGCCTGTCAAAAAGTGCAGTTGTCTTCTGCCGATCGTTTTAACAAAATATTTACACAATGAAGGTTTAAAAAGAAATAACAAGGCACTGAACGTACAACAAAACTAAATAATGAAAGTTGACACAAAGTCACATTCTTCAAAGAATCGCGAAGATTGCCTCAAGAGTGAAAGAGTTGCTGCCGGTATCATTTTCTCCTTGTTCATCGAGAAGGAATGCCGCAGCCTATTTGCAGGCCGCGGTTTGTTTCTCTTTCTAAAAGTAGACGTGTGACAACCTTGTTCCCTTGGAATGGAATGAAGACTTGACTTTTATACACTGGTACATGTCTTGTGCATGGTTGATCAGATGTGTTTTAATTATGCGGCGGCCATCTTGTTTTGTCCCATTGATAGCTGGTGCCCTAAATACAATTTCACAATATTGTTATGGATGGGCTGCGGATACCTGACCAAGAATGGCTGTCGAAATTCATTTAGATTCTACAGGCTAATCTCTGCACTAAAACAAACTTGTATTTGCTAGTATTTTAAAACTGCCTTGCCCACGATTTTGTTATCATATTGTAAACAAGTAATTTATAACGCTACAGTAGATTTAGACGCCTTTTTGCGAAGCGTAGATTTAGAAATAGGTTGTAGATAAAAGAAATAATATATTCCTATTTATTAATATTTAATGGCAAAAAAAATTAATTGAAATCTGTATGGAATTTCCTGAAAGACATTCCAAAGAATTCAACAAAAAGCGACCAAGAAGTGACTTTCAAGATGAAGTAGTGTTAGTCCCTTTAAAATATTCCTCCCTGAAGTGTTGGTTTGCCTTGTGAGTTCAGTATGTCAATTAAAGGGCCAGGCCAGTCGTAGCGTTGCACCAGCAACTCTGTGTCATTTAAGCAGTAAATGGCGTAGTTGCTCTGACAACCACCTAAGATTGTTTGTAAGTCTTATGTGACTGGTAGGTATACTTTTAACCCTTGTGCACAAACAAGATCCTAATTCAGATTTACACATAGTGTGAATTCGTGTGACGTTCAAGCAAAGTGCCAGCTTTGTGCACTGTAGAAATTTGGGCAATCATTGTATTTTGGTAAGTTACAAGAAAGTTTTTAGTTAAATAGATTCCTGGTGATTGCACTAATAAATTATAGCATGCAGGCATGATTATTTTGAAATCCATAAAAAATGCCAGACTATGGGCATCAGAAAAAAAAACTCTTCATTATAAAAAAAAGAAGAAGCCGAAAAATGATCGTAGATATGTTGTACACAAGGGCGTAAGAGTATTTTAATCGCCATTTTTTTTCTTGTAATTGTAAATTGATGTATCATAATTTGATTGTTTTAAAAGGAAAAAGAAAGACTCCCAGAGGGAGTTTTGTAAATGTACAATTCACGTTATTACAAAGTAAATATTTTTTATGAAACAAGATGGAAAAACGATGTTTAAAAAAAAAAAAAAAGAGGAAAAGTTGTAGGCGTTTGGAAGAAAAGTGAAATTTGAAAATCAAACAAATGTTTTTCATGCTATGAGCTAAGTTACAATTCATTGTTGTTTCAAACCACCGGGCTTTTTTTTTTACAAGAGATAAAAACTGGTGGTTTCTTACTTTTGAGGATGTGTTCACCGTTTGGTTTAAAGCAAAAATGTTAAGGAACTCCAAAAAAGAACACACACATATCAGTTTTAACGTTTTATAATGTTAGGTGACATTAAATGAAAACGACATATTTCATATTCCAAGGAAGGATTTTGTCAACTAGAACAGAGAAAATCAAAGGATAAACAGAAAGTTGACTTTGCCAATTTCAGTAACAAGTTTCTGAGAAGCTGTAAGCTAACGAAAAAAATAATATTTATAAACGTTTGGTTTGGAAAGCAGGGATATGAAGTTTGTAAGCCTTGCATTGTACAGAGATGTACATAAACAAAACTGTTATTTAAGAAAAGACTTGATTCAGATATGAAATATTTAGAATGAACAAGAATGCAAATGTAATACTTAAAAAATAAGATTACCTAACTTGTGTTGTTTTTTCTGATGTACGTAATCAAGAAATTGAAACTGTAATAACGTCCGCGTGTTTGTATCAATATTTAATAGCAGCGTGAAAGTGTCATTGCGAATAGTGTGAAATTGCATAAATAACAGAAATGCGTGCTGAAAACTGTAATTTTGTATGCTTTACCGTAATCTAAATAAATTTAATTTAATTAGCCATTTTCAAAAACTGTTTCAAACATGTTTTGTGTTATTCTGTTAACTTTGTGTTTTTTTTATAATAGTAATAAAAACCTTTCACAAAAAATGTCCTTGTAATTCAGAGTGTGACTTTTTTTCTGAAGAGACTAAGAACAGCACTGATTGGACAATCAAAGCATTTGAACCCTTTAAGACAAGTTGTGTGATTGGTCAAATAAGGCTACCAAATGCCTTTAAAAAAAACCACTGTGATTGGATACTAGAAGTTCTGCCAAGTAAACAAAACTTATCCCAGGTTGTATTGTCAAGGCTGAAAATAAATATTTAGAGGAAAATCATAGGCTGCTCTTTTCTGAGAGAGTAAAGACTTCTTCATTTTTATGAGGCTTGGTCTCGTTCGGAGAATGACTTCCCACAAATTGGACTAGTTTCAGTGTTAACATTTAGTGGACGTTTTATTAACTGTTTGCAACTCTACAAAACGTGTACCTTCGTTGCTAAACCTTTGCTTATCAACACAATTTTGTGGTTGCTAAATAGAAGCTTTTTCCCAAGAAACTGAAAGGCTTCAGTTTGGAAAGTAGTTTATAATGATTAAATCTTATTCTGGAATTGCAATGCAATGCCTATCAATGCACCTTTTGGCAAAAGTCATTCAACCAGTTCTCCTGAGAATGCTTGTATCGAAATTGGTTGATAAAATGGCAACAAAGTTGACAAGTTTTACAGCAGTGCAGGCTGGGACAGCTCCCATCATGCATTGTACCAACAGTCCATATTTGGCGAATAAATATGCCACTGCAAGAGTCGAAGTAAGTGACTTAACGACCTAATTCAAATTAAAATTCAAATCGTCCGTTCAAAAACCAACCACAGATAACAGACGCCCTCACGAGATCTGGCGCATGACTTTTGTCAACTTTTATAATAGTCGTATAAAGATATTCTATATCAGAAAGTATGTGTAGCAACTGTACATAGGATCTGTTTGAGACTCTGGACATGTGCTGAGAGAATTGGCCAAGTCTTACGATGTATATAGTATATGTAGGTCTATTTCGTTCTGAGCTGGATTTTTTTTTCGGGGGGGGGGGGGGGAACTTGGTCATCTGGTATCGGGAAAAGTCTGGTCGAGTTAAGAATTGCCACCCTGACCAATTTGGATGATTCCTGATTTCAACTAGGAATTTTTAATTAAAGAGGACAAAATCAACAAGAAAAACATTTCATTCACTAAAACCAAAATGATTGTTTCCACAGAGGCTTTTACACTTACATTTAAGCAACGTGTACAAGTGTTCCAATCTGGCTGCAGGCTTTCTGACTTATGAGAATTTTTCCAAAGTTTGATTTGCCCACGTAATGTGTAAACTGATGTTGTTTTTCATGAGTACATTCAACAAACATTTGTGTTTTTCTTTTTCAAAAAGCCAGATGGAAATGGAGAGCTTTATTCACACTCGTTCCACCTTCGGTTGGCTTCAAAATTTTATAGAACAAAATGGTGTCTTGAAGTTTTCTACAAAGGCAAAACCTTAAGTTGTTGATGGGTAGATCGAGATGTTGTTCAAGTTATTTATTTGTAAGACTTCTTTCGAGCCACAGATGGCCTTCAGTGGATGTTTATTCAAAGCAGTTTTGAGCAGCCAACCGCAGCGATTGCTATGTGTTCATTTAGAAAGCATGGAACATGTTTTTAAGCCAAAGAGACTGTAGTGCTTCCAAGTTACATGTACATAAAACTGAAAATTGTATAAATGTCCCCATGTGGCTCTGTGAATTAATTTTTAAGTTTCAAAATGTGGATTTTGTTTTTGTTTCTGGGGTTCGTGTTTATATGGGACTGTTTGACAGTCACAAAGTATTGGTCTGTTTGCTTGTGTGTTTGACAGAAAATGTTAATAAAATACCAGAAAAAGGAAAGAAATAAAGAGCTTTTGTACTGCTTTGTTATTTTTGTTTGAAATTGACAAAATTGGCCGTCTCCAACTTTCGTTTGCCCCCCCCCCCTTTCCCCCCATAGATATGAACACAATAAAATGTCCAGGGAGTACGGTCTGATGTTTTTAGGTCTAGAATTTTCTGTTAAAGATCTAGAAGTTTCTGTAAAGGAATCTGTAAAATGCAGACTTTGGCAATTTCAGTGTTACAGAAGAAAATGTAATGTCCGTTACTAAGCCAATTAACCAGGATATCTAATCAATGATTCAGAGAAATGATCCAAAACTCCAAGTCTGTAATCTCCTTGACCATTACTCGATGTAGTCTGAGTATCACCCGTTATTCACGGAGCCCTGTCTCCTGTATAATGTCTGATATGTCAAAGTATGCAGATTAATGCGATCTCGCGCCTCAGCGAGTCGACTTAACTAAATCGTGACATCATTTCATTCCCAAATCAGGACTAAAACTATGATTGGTCATTCGAATGCAGTGTTCGCGTAACATATTACAGAGCGCGTGACCACAGCCTTTGTTGCTGGTCTAGGTTTTTTTTTATCCATGGCTATGACGCGACAACAGTGAATGACCGAAGACCCGATATAGAAAGCACCCGCAGATTGGTCAAAATCTAGAGGTCAAGATGCGATTGTCTTGCGTAATTAATCAGCGAATCTGCTGAAATGTTATAGACCATGGCAAAACTATTACATACCCTATTTTAGATGATGGATATATAAGAATTGAAATAACAAACTTTCAGGTTTATTCACCGATTTCGTTAAGTACAAACAAACTTGTCTGATTTATACTGTCTCTGGCACTGGCATCACCCACTCAAAATCTCCCAGAGAGTAGAAAAACAAGTCTAACTCAGTGACTGAACCTGAAGCTCATACACTTTGCACACCATCCTGTGTACTTGTTTGGCAATTATTCCACAAAAGGCGAAATTTGTCTGAAGAGAACAAGTGAAGGACAGCATGTGGACATATTGCAACACACAAATCTATCACAAAGGACTCTGCATTTCACCCAAAGTACCAAATTTGTTCATATGTTTATCTACCACTGTTCAAGCAATTGGCCAATACCAATACCAATAGCAGGTGTCCTGTGACAGATTACGCAATCCTGCGCCAAAATTGAAAGTACTGTCTCGAACCCAAATCCAATGTTATCCTTATATGTACACAAAAGGGTAGTCGGACCCTCTGAAAGTCGAACAAAGGAGGAACATGCAGCCCACGTGGATTGTGTTCTTTCTAACCTTGAGTTTTTCAGCTTGAGAATACAGGTACTGAGGATTATCAAAAATGGAAGTTATTTCCGATGCATTCTTTTCACTGTGAGATCATATTGAATGTCAACAGTGCATAAGAAGAAAGGAATTTGGAAATTTCCAGAGTTGCTTTTCTTCCAGAATTCAGGGCCGTGTTGATTGAGCTGTGACTGCTTCACAACAAAGCAAGCTATTTTTAGAGACAATTACAAATGCCAGGGTTTCGAAATGATCATTTGATCCTATAGCATTTATTGAGAATTTGGGGAACACAATTCAAGAAAACAAGCCAAATCTATGTTTTTTGTTCTGCAAACAGTAAAATTTATCACTTTAGAGAGTCTAATAATACCTTAAAACAGTACAATTGAAACTAAAATGTCACAATGACAACAAAATAAACTATACCGAGCTCGGTACTAATGAAGCAGGAGAAGCAAGGTTGCCCTAGATATGTCTAATGAGGGCGCTATTTCAATTCACTGTAACTTCACAGCAAGAAGAATGAACTAAATCAAGTTAGGTTTTGCCCTTCACCGATGTTTAAACACTGTATGCTAAGTGTGTTACCTCCCGAGTGAAAGTTGGAAAAAATCACTTGGGTGGGACTCAAACCCACGACCTCCTGCTTTCTAGTGCAGACATCTTACCACTCGACCACCGAGCTAACGGGATCAGTTGGCTATTTCGAATCTGATGTACATAGCAGCGGGTACCGCATAAACTATTATAAGATATTAATAATTATTAGTTTATGCGGTACCCGCTGCTATGTACATCAGATTCGAACCAGCCAACCGATCCCGTTAGCTCGGTGGTCGAGTGGTAAGACATCTGCACTAGAAAGCAAGAGGTCGTGGGTTCGAGTCCACCCGATTGATTTTTTTTCCAACTTTCACTCTGGAGGTAACACACTGAGTATACAGTGTTTAAATGTCGATGAAGGGCAAAACCTAACTTGATTTATACCACCCCGATGCAAAATTCCATCTTAAGAATGAACTACATTTTTTGTAATTTGTTAATAGTTTACCAACACAACATTTTTCATTTTGAAAAGACAAGCATAGGAAGACTGATGAGAGAAAAAAAATCACGTATGATTGAGAGGTAACAACAGATCTACTGAAAATATGGAGCTTGACTGTTCACCAGTTCAGTCACGAAGTCTTCAGCATGTACATGTATATTTATATCCAACAGGGCAATCAAAAATGTATTTACAGCAGATTACATGATATTTCTTGTACAAACAATATTATATTAACGGTATATAGGATCATTCAATTTTGCTATATTTTTTGTTTAAAGCAACAAACTTTCTCAAAATCTTAAGTAGCGTGACTAACAACTAACCTGTCGAAGTATCAGCTAAGTTGATACTATACATTTTGAGAAAACAGAGAAAATATATGCACAATTTTTGGGTCTTGTAACTAGATTCCGTTGTATACACACACAAAAAAGTCTGCTGTGGGTACCCGGCTGTGTATGGAACCAGGTGCCCAAGTACCCGACCACTGATGTCAGGAACCGGTTCCAGATTACGGGATCGAGTACCCGTAACCAACTTGACAAATTACTTAGTAACTCCTCCGAAAAATGAAAAAGAAAGGATTTGAATGCCATTTGTTGGGAAATTTCAAAATGAAAACCAGGCTACATTGAATATATCAAAACAGATTTTGAACGTCGGTGAAGGGCAAAACCTAATTTGATTTATATCAACCTGACGCAAAATTCCATCTTATAATAAACAGATTTTACATTTTTACGTGCAATTTTTTTTTGTACATCGTCAGCCCTTTTTGGAAGACTGGGGCAAACTGGTCAACATGCGAAAAAGTTAAAGGGAATGTACAGCATTTGCTTTTGCTGCAATTTTCAGAAATAAATGGATTTGGGGGATTAGTATGTAACAGCAAATATTGTTAAACTGACTTGTTTCACTTTTCGGGCTTGTAGATGCTGGAGAAACCAAGAAAACCAATCATGTTCTTGTAATCTGGTTCCCTGATCCCAGTTAAGATGAAACGGAGCAATTTATAGACTTTGGGGAATTGTAAGGTCAGAGAATCAGTCTAGCGGGCTTGTACTCCTTCACAGGTAAATATGAAACAAATAGGAGCAGTTTTTGAACTCCAACGCTGGTCGGCCGACCAGCGTTGGCAAAATACAATTTTGCTTGAAAATGTCAGCACACCAGGAGCCACAATTTTACAGGATGCTTTAGACTGTCCTTCCCTAACAATCCAGTAAGGTATTACGTGATAATTTGATCATTTCATTTTTTTTTTTGATGTTTGCAAATGTTGTATCTTCCCTTTAATGCATGGTGTAATGGGGATGAGCTATCCAGTCAATAATAGAGATCAGTGGATATAGCCAGTGGTCACAAAACGCCACCTCTGTGCATGGACAGAGCCAATAAACTCTTTCTTAATAATTGAAATGAGAAACCTGCCTTTTTTGTGTGCGTTCAGTGTCGATACAGCAGTATCCTTCCTGCACACTTCTTGCCCACAAACTGAGCGTACTCCGACACCTCTTCGTCATCGTTGGCGTTGGGCGCGAAGCCTCGATAGTCGGAGTACCTCATGGCCATCTGCATGTATAGTATCCTGACTTCTGGCAGGTTGACGGGTGCATCGACTGCGTGTTAACAACAGAGTGCAGAATTGTTAGAAAATATTACAGAAAAGATACGCAAAAGCCGTTCAAAAAGGCACACACAACACATTGGTTAACGATACTTTTGTACAGAACATGCACAAGAAGAAAAAATACTTGGGGGGAAAAAGACATACACAAATAACACATGATTTTTTTAAGTTACAATCCAATCTATTTTTATATTGAGTTCTACCCTTTGCTGGCGTATTTTATAAACACTGTACAGGGTGGTGCAAAAAGAAGGAAACCCACTTTTGACAGGAATTTTAACCTACGTCCTTAACTTATTTGAACTGTGTTTTTTTATAATGTAGTGAAGTATGGCTCTTCAACCATACGTAGTGAACAAATCTTTAAAAAATTGCAAGAAAAGTGTTATAATACAAGTCCCTAAAATCACTGTTGTCCACGTGTAAGTCTAGCTTAGTGTTGTTTATCTTCAAACCAAGCTCCGGAGCTCAGTCAAGCGGATGGAATAAAGCCGTATGTGTACAAAGCAGGTTTGGCACATGAATTTTTTAAACTACCATATCTCAGAGACTAAATATGCATTTGCAATAATTTTTTCGTCACGTCTGTTTAACGATCAATATTTTAATACCATTAAATCTAACTTTTGAAATATGCTCAACAAGTAAATTGCCGTCAAAAGTGGGTTTCCTTTTTTTGCACCACCCTGTATACTCCATGCTCTCTGCGGGCTTGCGAGAAAAAAGTCATAAGTTTACTCGGGTGGATTCGAACCCACCACCTCCTGCTTACTAGTGCAGACGTCTTACCACTCAACCACCGAGCTTGCCGGAGTAATTAGGACTAAAATCTGAATTAAAAAAAAACCCAAGAACCCTCATATGAAGGACATACCTGCGTCTGTTTCGTCCAATCTGGAGTATTTGCTAGCCTCTAGTTTAGGACGACAGCACTCAATAGGACACCAGGTGTACGCCTCTGGGCACAGGAGAAATGATGGATGATACTGACCCTGTCAATGCAAAGAAATATCAAAACATTGTTTTATTGGCTTTCTGGTATCTCAAGAGCAGCATGTCCAGTGAGAGATGTCAGTTATAACTGCCTTACAGATTGTTGTCATTTTATTGGTGGAACTCACATCACGCGACATTCATTATTGCTCCCATTCACGCCGGGGCTCAAAAAGTCCCATTCGCCCATGGGGAATGGGAAATACTATTCCACAGTTAGGATCATCCTTGTTGCATGGCACAGTGTTGGTGTGCAAATGCATCTGGTGTGCGCATTGAGCGTTGCGCGTATTGTTCCCAAGAGCTAGTGGCTACAGAGTTGGGTTCAAACATTTTTGTGAAGGGGTGGTTTGGAAGAGAGAAATACATTTCCCACCAATTTTGTATTGAAATAGAAGTTCATTTTCACTGTAAATCAAATGACAAGGATCTATAATTATGTCAGTTATATAAAATAAATGTTGAGTGGCTTTAAATTGTGAAAGGAAAGGACTATTATCGCTCGGTAAAATCTGGACTTTTCCATTTCACGAGGCGAAAAAAGTCCAGATTTTACCTTATTGCTATAATATTCCTCCCATACCACTCTGAGCCACTCCATATTTGTACTGACGTCTCTCAGCCTATACTTAAAGGTGCACTTTCGTCCACAGGTCGCTAAAACTCAGCGTTTAATATTGTTTACTAGCCATATTTCAAGGTCTTGTCCGCAAAATGTCTTACATTTTATAGAGAACACGTTGAAAAAAAACCCTGTTTGCATCTTACATGGCAGCCATATTCTGCCTTGGCTCTACATAATTCCAGTTTCGAATCAAGTCATCGTTTTTTTAAAGCCAATTTCGCCAAACAGTCGAAATAAGACATGCGCCGTATAAAATGCATGTCACTTAAGTGACAATTCCCTGTGTGATATCAGATCCCATGCTAAGTTCAGACTTACACGTATTTGAAGATACTTTTATAAAAGTAAATAATGTAAGACAACCATTTCGGCCACAAAAAAAACATGAAAAGAGTACAACCGAATGTTTATATTCCAGTGTTTATTTTGTTGTCCTTACCTTGTATCTCATCTTGTCACATGAGTGGATGTAGAAGCCCATGTAATAGTGGTCTATCTTGGGTGATTCTTGATGTACAAGTCTAAGAAACTCAAGCTCCCTGTCAAAAAACATGAAATCGGGAAAAAAATTACCAGGGAAAACGCAAGCAGAGTACAGAAGCAAGTTTCCTCACTGACTGACTTGCTGACTGACTGGCTCCCCGCCCCTTGTGATATAGATTGGTTGTTGGCTGGTGAAGAGAACCGGGCAGTGCTATTGTATAGGAATGCCCTGCAATGGGCTGAATCCGACCCATTGCGTGCAACAGATGCGTGAAAGGACTTCCAGTGAATAGCCTTTCTGAATCAATTGAAAATCATAATGTGCGCTCATGGGCTGGATTGGGCCCATTCATTGGTGTCCTACATGATAGCACTGCCCAGCTCTGTCACAAGTGAAAGTCGGTCAGTTTATCAGTCAGTCAGTTAAGATAGGTGCAAAGTGAACACTAGGCCGGCCCTCTGGGACCAGCAGTGCAATGGTGAGAATTGTTCATGAGTTGAAAGATGGAATGTTCCATTCAACGAGGCGAAACAATTGCAAAACAATTTATTATTAGTTCTTTATAACAGCCAAGTAGATTTTTTGTCATTCAATTGGAGGATAAAACTATAAAAAAACAAAATTTACAACATGGTATTCTGGCATCCACTTTTTTCCCCAGCTTGTTCAAAGTTAGCAAAGGTTTAAAAGTCAAAACATTTACAATATGAAAATTAATGCCATAAAGCCCGGTTCGGCGGGAAAGCGAACGGGAATTTGTGACGTCAGGGCAAGTTTTTCTAGCTGCGAATTTGTAAAAGTTGAACATATTTTGACTCGGGCGAATTTCGCAGCAAATGTTTCACGATGTCAAATTCACTTCGCATTCGCATGAAGTATGAACCGGGCTTAAGTTCTTAAATTAATGCAAAAGAATCTACAAGGCAAGTTCAGTTTGTAACTGCACCCGCTTCAAAGGCAAGTTTTGTACTGCTGTATAAAACGCATGATGTGGTTTAGCGCAAAGATTGCATGCGCGGCGCTATACGATCTTTGGTCTAGCGTGCTCGAGCAATAGATCAAAAGGGATGGAACGAAAAATGCACGGTGAATGGAACCAAAAATGCACGGTTTATGACCTAGGCCATGCAGTGGTTTGATTAAAGAATGACGCGTGACCTACAATCCTCCAATCAAATGACAAGGATTTACTTGGGTGTTATATAATAAGGGAATAAATGTGTGCTCCAGAGGTTTTTATCACTCTGTTTAAGACCACTTAGAGTCTGGGTGCTGATAATTACCCGAGCCGGAGGCGAGAGTAATTATCAGCACCCAGACTCTAAGTGGTCTTAAACAGAGTGATAAATACCGACAGAGCACATATTTATTCCCATTCATAAATACCTTTTCGGTAAAAAAAAAATCATATAATTCGTTCAAAACATCCCGATTTTGTTCAACAAATTCACTTTATGCTTTTTGAAACATCCCTCTTGCAAAATAATGGAGCGTTCAGCTGGCGAGTAAGATGTAAGCAACCCTTTTATGGAGATTGACGCGCGCGTATCATGTTCTGCGCAATGTCGCGCAGAACGCACCTGGCGCGTTGCGTTTTGAATTTAGAACTATAAAATTCTGACTCCCTGGTAGTGTTGCGCATGCCTACGTGAGGATTGTGAACGTTCAACCAATGAAACGATAAGAGGCACTGGATTTTTAGGAGTCCACATTTTATTGTGACACTGGAAAAGTGTTTAAGACCAGCTAGCCATGTCTTTATCGTCCGTTTAAGACCGGCCACGTGACAGGCTCTCGACCAATAGGAATGCGTAAACCGTCTTAGGTATTTATGAATGCCCAATAACAGCAGATTCAAGAGCACATTTAAGAGCGCCCTCTAATTTAAACATACCTGAGTGCGGAGTATGTACCCAGCGAGAGGAAACTATAGTCTGGATCGTAGTAGAAGTACACCGACGAGACACAGTTAGGTAAGATATCCAAGACACCGACAGCAATGATTTTACCATCCAGGAGAAAATGCTCATGGAAGGAACCGTATCCACATTCCGGGGCCCCAGGTAGATTCTCCTCTCGTAATGGGGAATCAACCAGAAATCTCTTGAACTGGAGAAAATAGTAAGGACAATGGATAAAAACGTCAGGCTTTGAGGGATCTTTCATGAATTCGGGTGATTCACAATGCAGTGCGCCACCAAGAGTTTGCCACGGAGAGTCCATTTTTCAACTTTATGGTCGACAAAGCACGGCCCACTTGAACGAATATCAGTATGCAAGTTGAGCTAATTTGTTATAGATTTGGGCATGACATTCTGCTGCCTAACAAAAAAACACCACATTGATAAAAAGAAAGAAACGGGCAAACAGATACTCAATCATACGCTTACGAAACTACTGACCGGAAAAACTAACAATTTCAAATGTACCGCACTGCATTTTGTCGACCATCTCCCACAATGTACTGGGAAAAATGAACTCTCCCTGGTAAACTCTTGGTGGCGCACTGCATTGTGAAACGCCAAATTGAGGCAATGCTTAAAACAAATGCATTTTGCATCTCAAAGCTAGTTCGATCAAGAATTGGGGTTTATAATAGTCGGACAAACTCAGACAATTGTGTATTTGCCTGCAATCGGGGACCCCCTTTTGTCCCTCTTTTATTTGTAACTTTTTAGGAAGACCTCCCATATGTTTTGTACGCATCGCCAAATTGAGGACCTTCTGGAATTGGGGACCCTATTGTCCTCTATTGTTCAAAGTCCCCTATTGAATGCAGAAACAAACTCATGTACACTGACTGTAGACTTGTCAAGATTGTTGAACTAGCATAAATGTAAGGCAACCCTTTTTTATTCTCTGGTCTCTGGTCCTCATTTGACCAACCCTATTTTGGGCTCCAGACCCAAGAAATAAAGAACAACCTTTTTTATTATTGCCGCCCCCGTCTGGGACCCCCACTAACAAAAATGTTTATTAATGAACAAATTTAAAAAGAATATCAAATTACTTGAAGCTCAGCGTATAGCAACCAATGTATATCAACCAATGCAATCCTATAAGATGCCAGGGTGCTGGCTATCACATGCATCATATCAGGGGTCTATAGTTGACCTTTAGTGTTAAGTCATGGCTGCCACTACAGGTGAGTCAAAAAACACGAAAACCCAAATGTCGGGACTATTATTTTATTGAAGTTCTGCTTCTAGCACTTTCAAAAATCTAGGATATGAAAGCCATATTCATAAGCTTTCTTTTAGTAAAAGAATCATTCAAATCACTTACGTACTTTTCAAGTTAACGAATTTTAAATACAACCACCGTTTTAAAGTTCTGTCCACCGATCACACAAAATGTGTGCGTTCTTTCAGCAAACCGAAAACAATTCACACACATCCCTCTGTGATTTGTTTTCGTTTTGCTGAAAGAAGACTTTAATACCCTTTTGTGATCCGTGGATAGAACTTTAAAACGGTGGTTGTGTTTAAACGTCCGTAACTTGAAAAGTACATGAGTGATTTGAATGATTCTTGTACTAAAAGCAAGCTTATCAATTGGGCTTTCATATATTTTGAAAGTGCTACATGCAGAACTTCACTACAATAATGGTACCGACATTTGGGTTTCGTTGTTTTTTACTCACCCTGCGCAGCCAAAATGTTTAAAGTGAGCTGCACGGTGCAGATACATGGCGAGTCAAAAAAAGCGGAACCCAAACCCCAAAAATTGTATTTCATATTTACAAAATATGTAGCACCAAACATAATAATGACTGGAAAGCCAATTTCATAAGCTACTTTTAGATGAAAAAAATACTGAAATTAATACGTTCAAATAATATCACCATTTAAACACAATGACCCTAAAACCTGTTTCGTCCAAAAATGCGATTTCACGAATCGTCGTCACAATTGTCTTCAAAAATATTCAACAAAGTCCTTTTGAAGGCCTGTCTTTTAAAAAAAAAGTGGATTTTATAAATCTATTGTTTGCCTAACCAGGGCTGTTTAAGATATTGTGTACTACAGTTGTTGACATTTGTTGAAACAAGTATTGTGTCATTTTCTTTGTTGTTCCAAACAGTCAGAATACACACTTAACTGCTAATTTGCTGACGAAACAGGTTTTAGGGTCATTGCGTTTAAATGGTGAAATTCTTTGAACGGATTGAGCAATTTCAGTATTTTTTTCATCTAAAAGTAGCATATAAAATTGGCTTTCCAGTCATTATTATGTTTGGTGCTACATATTGATTAAATATGAAAATATATTTTTTTGGCTTTGGGTTCTGCTTGTTTTGACTCACCCTGTATAATGACGTCAACTAGACCTTGCAAAAGATGGCTTAATCATTTTGTTCAGTTATATAAAATCACGATAATTTCATTGCAGTAAACAAAACTAGAGACAAAATGCACTTGGCATCATTTAATTTAACCATCCATATTGGTGCTACTTAATTCTGCTTTCTTCATATTTTCCCGATTTCAGAGGCAAAATAATACGAGAACCACAGACATAAATAAGAATGCCCTAATCATCTTTCCACTTAATTACAAAGTTGACAATCAAAAGCCCTGTGCATTGCTAAGTACGTCAAGATGCCACTACTGCGTGCTTTTGTGATAACGTCTTATCATACTTAGACTAGAACCTGTTTTCATATTCTGTTTTCAGTATTCTTTCCACTGAGAATTTAGAATAAATTTATCCTCCATTTTCTAGGAGGTCTGGATGATTTTTTTTTTTAAACTTACATCCTCTTCTTGACATTCATCGTCAGGTTCATTGTGTATCTTCTTTTGGTACTTGGCAAAAACTTGATGAGATTCTCGAAACGTGTCCTTGAATTGCCTGCTCTCTGGGCTTGAACGGACCAGTTTAACCTGGTCTCCAGTACAGACAAGGGGGTAGAGGTGACAGATGACAAACACGGACATACATGGGTGGTCGGACATTGACACACAGATCACAAAAATAGGATGGAAAAAGTTGCAGATGATAGCAAGGGAAAAAAGTATGTGCAGATTTGGAAAGAAAGAAACGAAGTGTGCAGAACGAAAGGATGAAAGATTAAATAATAAAATAAAACAAACAAAACAAACCAACAAAAAAGAACAAAATGAAAAAACACAAATTAGGGATAATAAAGGGGTAGGAAAAGAGGAGAAAATGGTCAAAAAGCCAAGGTCAGTATTCCATCAATCATCTGGCAAGATTTTGGTGAAACATTATAATTTGGGGACTTTTTGTTTTGGAAATTTGGCCAGGGAACACAATGTGAAGGTGGTTGAACGTTTATCGACTCAGATTTTGCAAAGACATTACGAGAAAAATCCTCGCACAATGAAACCAAGCATGAGAAAGTCAGCGTTGAAGTTCTTCAAAGCAGACGTTTCTGTTTTGAAATTTGTTTTAATTTCATCTTGTTTTCCCATTACCCCCCAAAAAAACTTCACCATTAATGACATGCCCCTTTAATTTCAAAATGACTTGACCTGTGACCTTTGCTTTTTGACCTCTTCCCCTGAAACAAAGCAGAACAGATGCAAGAAAAGAGGATAGCCAGAGACAAACAGAAATCTGAAACAAGTCTGGAGTCCAACCACTTTAACACATTATGTTACCTGTTTCTCGGACAGTTTACTGGGCGGGTCTTTGTGGATAGTGACTTGGTATCTGTGGTACACGGCGTAGCTTTCCTTGAAGGTTTGCTCAAATTGAGGGTTCATGGGACTGGATCTCACGTATCTCATCTGGTCATTCACACAAAAACAAAGAGCCGACTGTGACTCAAAGGCAGATTTCATGGAGTTGCCAAACAACTTAAAGTTGTGCTGAATATGGCTGAAAAAAAGTTAGTTGTTGCACCACTCTTGTTGCATTGGGCGGCTTGAAGCGGGCGACTCACCCGCAAAGTGGTGCACCTCTCGCCCGCTTAGCGGGCAACAGGCAGAAAAGCAATCTCCCTGCATAGTGGGCGAGGCAAAACCTCATTTTTTTCTACGCAAAGTATTATCGGACAAACAACAAAGGGAAACTGACAAAGTGAATTGTTATACCTTGGTAATAGATCGTGATGTTTTATTGGTCGAGAACCGAGCAAGTGATGTGCCACAAACACGTATGTATGGTGTCAGGGTACACCCCGTGGTACATGAGTGATGTACCCCACGGGGGACATTACCTTGATCGTCCCCACTGTTGAAAGTGTTGTTTCTATCGCCTTGTATAATAGAAATAGCCCGGGTAAGAGGCTTCAGACAGCGCGCACACGCGCATACGCATGTCGGACGGACGCGTGTGCATAGAACATGGTCGCAGCTGTGATTGGCTCGTAACGGGGCAGGGATTAATGGATTGGTCTATTCAGTGAAAAGGGAAATTAATTTGTGTTCATGTGCAATGAATAAAAAATTTGTGCGAATATTCACGGTGCAGTAATCGCGGATCTTTAAATAATACTTCCGCTATTACTGCACGGCAACTGGAGGAAATCCACAATTTCAGACGCTTGGAATATTACCATGGTATAACAAAACAGTTGTTGCCTGCCGTGATTGGGGTCCATGGGTTTTGTACACCCTCGGGTGCAAATGGCACCCTCAGCATTCTCGGGTGTACAAAACACCATGGACCCCATCACAACAGGCAACAATTGTATATTGTTTTAATCTTTTTAGAGTTGAACAAAGAAATTGAGGGGGTGGGATTTGAACCTGCGTTCTCCGAATTGCCGTTCCAGTATTCTAGCCACTGAGCTATCCAGCCTTATGTTGGCGGTCCCCCAACTAGTCAATGTCTTTGTTTAAGGGGCGCTAGTCAGAAGCCATAAACACGTATATGCCATGTAGCCAGGGATCACGCCCAAAAGCATAATGCTGGCAACATTAGCAATGCTGCAAACCTGGGAAATAGCAAACGTTTTTGAAAATCTACTTACTATGACAGTAACGTACCTCTAGTTTATGCTTACAGCCATGTGATGCCTTCTCCACTTCTTGGATTAATTCTTCCAGCGATTTGGGTTCATTTGACTTTTTTCTGTCGTCTAGTGGTACCTCGGTACCCGTCTGTGATAGGCGTTCTAGTCTTTGTTGGTGTCTGAGCTCCTTGGCCTTCTTGCACGGTGGTTTCGATGGGTCTGCCCCATGTCCTTACAAAAAAAAATGACAACACATGGAAAGGTGAAACCAGTTTACAGTGTACATCAGATTCGAACTAGCCAACCGATCCCGTAAGCTCGGTGGTTGAGTGGTAAGACGTCTGCACTAGAAAGCAGGAGGTCTGGGTTCGAGTCCCACCCGAGTGAATTTTTACCAACTTTCACTTGGGAGGTAACACACTGAGTATACAGTGTTTATACATCTGTGAAGGGCAAAACCTAATATTGATTTACATCACCCCGATGCAAATTCCATCTTATGAATAGTTTACATCTAACCGGAGTTCCATCAAGGGCTTAAGAAATTGCACGAAGCTGATGATGACGCATTTAAAGTCTGGTTCGGGGATAGTAGTTTGTGCTCTTCATTACAAAACCACGAGGTGGGAGTCTGTGAAACTGCATATATTTGTCCGCGATAAGTGGCTACAACTTGATGGTAATGCGAAGTGCTTGGACATAAATAGCTGTGTACTGTAAGTCACCGCAAAGATATTTTCGCAATGTTTTGGGACTCGAGTGCTATTAGCCTTGGACTCGAGTCGCGTCACGTCTTCTGATGAGGGACTCGAGCCGAGTCGAGTCAGTTGCTGGCAAAGACTTGAGTCAAGTCGAGTCAGTTACCCATTGTGACGAGTTGAGTCGAGTCACCAAAAATTGTGACTCGAGTCGGACTCGAGTCGAATCACTGACTCGAGTCAATACAACTCTGGCTTACAGTGGACCCATGGTGATTTCAACACAGGTCGTGTGAAAAAAAAACTTTAGGCACGTGGCTTCATTCTTCCTACCTGGTTTTGGATGTTTCTTCATTGATGCTGCTGCTGCTGGTTGGTCATGCACTTCGTTCTCAGTCTCGCCAGTTCTCGAGTCTGAATTCTGATCACTCTCAGAAGTTTCTGCTGCCGTCTTTGGATTTGCAGCATCAGCAGGGCCTTGTCTTACGATCCTTGAGGCCTCTGTCATCTTTTTTCTCAGTTCTTTTTCCTGAGCTGGATGCTCGGACGTTCCTGGGCACGCATCACCATCTTCATCTGTTGCGGCATCTTCTGACAGTTTGGGGTTGCAACTCGGCCTTTCCCCAGTTCTCAGGAACCTACTCAATCACAGCAAAATAAAGGGATTAACATTTTAAAATAGAATTCTATGTTGCAAAATATGAAATATTTATTGTGTAGGTTTGGAGCTCTAACACAAGTGCTCAGAGTTGTATTAACGAGTCACTGATTTTTCTAATTCGATTTGAGTCAAGTCATTTAAACAAAATTGACTCGAGTCGAGGCGACTCATTAGGTCAAAAAGGTCGAGTCGAGTCAAACACTTAGCTCGAGTCCCTTGGAGTCACGTATATTTAAACACTTTATAACAAATAAAGACAAGAGAGAAACTCATTTGTATCTCTAACAGTTAACAAGAAGTGAAACTTTGGTCTTATCTAGTTTGGCTTCAGATCTAGAATTCTTTTTGCTGATCGCTGACAACATCAAAACCAAATTGCTTTATACAAAACTTTTTCCGATTATTTAAAAGTGGGCATGTATCTATTTAATTTATAAAAGGAGGGCATAAATTTACCAGGCGTTCGAATCCAAGATGTTTTTTAAGAAATCGCCCCAAGCCAAAGATGAAACAATGAATTGGAAAATGTGTTTAAAATCCGGTTCCTGGATAGTATTTGTGCGTTCCAGAACCGTGAGGTGGGAGTCTGTGACACGTTGTATGTTTGTACACGACAAGCGGCCGCAGTACTGTATTCACAAAGTGACACGAACATAAATTTTGCATGGTAAGTCAATGCAGATATTTTTCGCAAAGTTTAGCTTTTATTTTTGGGATTGAGTCTTATTAGCCTTCGCTCGTGTTGAGTCAAGTCTTCTGATGAGGGACTCGAGTCGAGTCAAGTCATTTGCTCGCAGTGACTCGATTTGAGTCGAAGTCATTCACCCTTAGGAACTTGAGTCGAGTCGAGTCACCAAAAATTGTGACTGGAGTAGGACTCAAATCGAGTCATGGCCTCGAGTCATTACAACTCTGTTAGTGTTTCACTTTCTTAGTTTGTTTGTCTGTCCGTCTGTCAGCCTGTCTGTTTGTTTGGTTCTCATGTACCGTATCATTTTCTTGATGACTTTCCTCTGTGACTTGCTCGGTTTGAACTCCAGCGCAGCACATTTGATGGTGTAGCATGGGCAACACATCTTGTCCATCAAGGGCTTGTATAGGTAACGTCCACTCCTGAAGAGGTTAACATCAAATCTCAATTAAAACAAAGATTTTTTTTTCTTTTTGGGGCAGTTTCATGTTTCGCTAGTCCTCTGTATTCTATCAGTTAAAATTATAATCAAGCTTGTATAAAATACATGAAACTGTTTTGAAATCATCAGAAAGGAATTCAGGAAAATTTCCTTCTCTTCAATCAAAGATCTTTTTACTGTGATTGACATAAATACAGGTATCATTAGAGGGGCACATCGTCCTAAATAGCCAATTTTTTTATCTTTACGATTGTGTGTACATAATTATAAGTTGTTTCGTGCACGTCCCCAGCATGTGATGCATTGCTGGAACATGTGTGGCAGGAGTCATGACTAGCATCCAACAGCTGTATTTTTGCGAGTCAAAATTTTGACCCTTGAAATACCCTTTAAGAGCTTGGATCTAGAAAGGATATTGCACTTTTTTCATCATATATTATCTCAATGAAGGTCAGTCACTGCAAAAATGTTGAAAAGACTTGAATCTTGGACTGAAAAACATTTCCAAATTTGTCAGAAAAATAATTTCAAAATGCACTCGACTCTCCATAGACTTTGTACACAACCAAAGAAGTGGCGTCTGTTTACTAAATTCTTTTCCTTAGGGAAAAAACAAATTTACAGTGAAATGGGTTGCCTAACGAACCTATATAAAATACATAAAGGGGAATCATGTAGTGAGGTACCTTAGTGAAAAAATCGTGACACAGTGGACAAAAGCACCATTTTTTCACCAAAGCATCTCCATGGTATACCTTTTCGAAAAAAAGACGGACGCAAAAAATTGGATGATGGGAAGAGCATGTATGACGTCATTATGACGTCATCAGCTAATAATTACATGAAAAAAATATAAATTAATAATAATCTTCAGAACTACAAGCATTACAACAACAGATGTGGTATCAAATTAAAGGGGACAGCAAGCTCTTTCATTTGAGTGGTGTGTCATGGGGGTGGAATATAGTTGAGGGTGATTTTGTGGGTCAAAAAAAAACTTTTTTGGTCAAAAGACATGTTTTTAGGCTAAAATCATGGATTTTGGGTAGTCACATTGACACTTTGTTTAAACATGCAAACAGTATGTGGTATTGTGAGATGTTGTTTTTAAGTTAGAGAGAAAAGTTCAAATTCTATGCCAGAGTTTTTGTAATTGATTATTAGTATCATAAATATGTTTAAACTTGTTCCAAAGATAAGCGGAAAAGTGAGGCATCTTATAGCGAACTACATTTGTAACAAAAATGCTAAGGATCGTTACATGGTATTTAAAAGCACCATTTTTTCACCAATGCTTTGGCAATGTGTTACGATCAAAAATAGGGTAGGATGTAAAAAATCAGATGACAGGAAGGGTACTTTATGACGTAGTAATGACGTCACAATATACTACCAAGTTCGTACAGTAATTAATTGTAGAAAATAAGGTCGTGAAGCGTTGTGATGAGATTCCAAGTAATTAATTTGACATTTTGAGGGTCAGGGAATTGAAGAGTGATATAATCAGTGACATTTGAAAATAGTGACGTCACTGCAACAGCAAATCAGCTTATTGTTACTTAAAAGTAACAATAAGCTGATTTGCTGTTGCAGTGACGTCACTATTTTCAAATTTTCTTGAAAAATCTAAGCATTTTTTATTATGGACAAAAGTGCTACAATGACGGTATTTGTCACGCAGAAAATAAATTGTGTGACATTGTGCGGCTCCTTGAATTTGGTCTTTACCACGTCCATTTGTTTTGACCATTTACTATAGCTGGAAGACGTAACATTCTTATATGTGTTGTATATTACGGGTAATGAGGTATGGGTTAGGAGCCAGACAGAAAGGAACGTGGTAACCTGAAATAGATTAACAGAGTGGCCGGAAATGGTGATGATACGTCTTTTAACAATGTATTACAAACGGGGGCTCGATAGTCCGAAGGTCCAATAGTCCGAAGGTTCTTTAGTCCGAAGGTTCGATAGTTCAAATGCACAAAATTTCCATAAGGGGGGTTCGTTAGTCCGAAAATGAAATAAGGTTCGTTAATCCGAACATTTGATGCAAAAGTCCGAAGGTTCATTAATCCGAAGGTTCATCAGTCTGAAGGTTTATTTATCCGAAGGTTCGATAGTCCGAATTTAGAATAAGGTTAATCAGTCCGAAGGTTCAATAGTCCGAGACGAAAATAACAAGCCCGCGGGAACGGGGGGTGCTGTGGGTGCTGCAACACCCCCAACTTTTTGGATTGGGGTGCTGAAATATGCTTAAGCACCCCCTACTCCCGGGCAAAAATGTGTTCCAGCCAGCAGTGTTCTACGACGTTGAAATTGCGCCGCTGCGCTATACATTATGCTTGCTCTAAAAATATCTCCCTCGTTTTGTTCGTTTCTAGTTTTGCCGCGGCTTAGCGCGGCGCTTCGAACGTCTAGCACAAAGTAACACTGTAAAATATCAGGAGGAGGTATTTTCTAAATTTTCAGGCAGTGCAGAATCGATATTTCTCTCAATGTATCTAAAATCATGACATGTCTATGATATTTCCGCCATTATGGAAGCTTTGACCTGAAAAAAATAACCTTTTCCATGACAATGGTGGCAAAGTTGATTATGCTTGTCACAATTTTTTTCATTCGATCTTTCAATAGGGGCAAAGTTCATACCTTTCCCCTGAAGGTTTTTCTTTTCATTTAAAAATTTCATTGACGTTGCTAGCTAGCTAGCGCTTCGAGCGTCTAGCACAAAGTAACACTGTAAAATATCAGGAGGAGGTATTTTCTAAATGTTCAGGCAGTGCAGAATCGATATTTCTCTCAATGTATCTAAAATCATGACATGTCTATGATATTTCCGCCATTATGGAAGCTTTGACCCGAAAAAATAACCTTTTCCATGACAATGGTGGCAAAGTTGATTATGCTTGCCACGATGTTTTTCTTTCAATAGGGGCAAAGTTCATACCTTTCCCCTGAAGGTTTTTCTTTTCATTTAAAAGTTTCATTGACGTTGCTAGCATTCTGTACTCAACATTAACAAATATTAAGGTTTACACACATCCCAACCTAATAGGAGTGGGACGGGCTTCCATTGAAACTAGTTCCAGTGTAGTTTCGTTTTAATAAAAAAGCTATTCATGTGTTACCCTTTGCAAGTTTTTCCTCATAAAAACTCAGTAGACCGATAAATCCTTGCCTAGCCGCAAACTTGCCACCTACCGATCATAAACATAAAGATGCATTTGGTCTGTTAGTCTTTTATATTTGCCATTCCCTGTAACAAACAAATAACACTGCAAATATATCAAGAGCTACATCGTTTAGGCCTATGTGAATATTTTTATGAACAGAAATTCACCCGCTTCCAGTGGAACCATTTTGTTTTAACTTGAACCAAAAACACCCTTTCGGGTTTTATAAGTTTAAGTATATACTTCAGTATATTTCATCACAGTGCATCCAGAATCCAACATTTTCAGGGGCCTTAAAGCAGGCCCCTGGCCCTGTGGCCTCACACCGTAAGGGCTCGGGGAAAAAAAACATACACGACGGAATTTACTAAATGTAAGAAAGCAGCCTAGCAACAATAATATTTACGTGCGATGTCATGCATAATGATACAATTCTTTGTCCAGAATTAAATGGAACAAAGAATGGAGATAAAAAATACAGGGTTTTCGACTTTTCAGTACAGTAGAAACGTCATAAGAGCAACAGTATATTCTAAACAAAAAAGTAAAATTAATTTTCTTTATAATCTCAAAAAAACCTTTGCTAAAAAAGTCATATGAAAGTGGCCAGGAATCGCCTCATATTGCACCACAGAGCATCAATATTCCAAAGCTTTTAGGGGCCCTTTAAGCCACGCCGTAAGGGCTTTGTGCTCCGCGTTAGCATTAATTTTGTCCGTCCTTTAGAAATTCCAGCACCCCCTGGCAAAACTTTGTTCCAGCGGGCTTGAAAATAAGATTCAATAGTCCGAAGGTTCGATAGTCCGAATTGACAATAAGGTTCGATAGTCCGAATCGACAGTAAGGTCCGAGAGTCCGAATCAACAGTAAGGTCCGATAGTCCAAAGAGTCATACTGACGAACCGTGTTGCCCATTCGGACAATCGAACCTTATTCTCAATTCGGACTATCGAACCTTTTTCTCAATTCGGACTATCGAACCCTATCGTCTATTCGGACTATCGAACCTTCGGATTAATTAACCGTATTCTATGTTCGGACTAATGGGACCTTCGGACTATCGAACCTTCGGATTATCGAACCTTCGGACTATTGAACCTTCGGACTAACGAACCTTTGGACTATTGAACCTTTGGACTAACGAACCTTTGGACTAATGACCCTTCGGACTAGAGAACCTTCGTACTTTCGGGCTGTAACCATTACAAACACAATACCAGTGCAGCAAGTCATGTCCTGCAGTTTGTAAAGGTTTTTAGTTTGGGACGTGAAAAAGACAAACAATTATCCATGATGCACAAGCACAAGTGTGTTTCTCGATTAAATACACTATCCTTGTCGTTGATGGACCGTCTATCCTATTCCATCCATCTATCCATCAGACATCATCTTCTGTGTGACACGGGCAGAGCATCTCTGAAGGTCCACTGTGTGAGTAGTTTATCCTTTCTTGTTTACACGAAGCTGGATTGCGACTGAGATCGTGCAAATAAATAATCTTTAAATAAGCTTCATCTGTAGTCTTGTTTATTAATTATTAGAGATTTTGGTAAAAATGAACAGAAGTCTTCGTAGAAATTGTAGATATAATTCATCTTGCGTAAAATATACCTTTGCAAGTTTACAAACTTCCACAAAACGTATTATTTTGCAACATTCGAACGTATAATTGGTTTGAACATTCTACCTTTTTATTGCTTATGTGAACAGTTACTATCGTATTTCAGGACAGTCATCATGGATTGGACTGCTTGCATTATCTGCATGCAAACTACACCAGAAAAACTACGTTGTCCACAAAAAGGTTTAAATTGTAACGCCGGAGAAGTATATGCTCAATTCCTGGCTAATGTTGAAGGGTTTAGGGCAATAAATCCATTGCCAGTTGATGTAGAATACGGAGCCGAAGGGACAGTAGAAACTTTTGTGGAAAATAATGCCTTGTGGCATCATTCCTGAGGTAACATTTATGAGATAATCATGACGTAAGACATTGCATTTTAACGAATCATTGATCACAACAGGGGATAGGAGCGAGAGTCAAATGTACATGTACATACATGTTTAATATAATACATTAAATTAGAAAACATCCCTCATTTTATCAAACTATTTGTATTTAAATCTTTTAAAGAACTAAGAACAAAATTGGTAACTGCACAGCTTTCCTTGATCTCAGAAACGTATATTAAATGAAAAAAAACGATCCATGGCTTATTCCTAACTAATATCTCCATTTTAATGTATAAGTGTGTAATAATTAGCCGATGACGTCATAATGATGTAATAAATGGCCCTTCCCATCATCCAATTTTTGTATCCTACCTTGTTTTCGAAAAGGTAAATAATGGAGATGCTTTGGTGTGAAAATGGTGCTTTTGTCCACCCGTGTCACGATTTTATCACTATTGGTACCTCACTTCTCCGCTTATCTTTGGAACAAGTTTAAACATTTAAGATACTAATAATCAATTACAAAAAATCTTTTGGCATAGAATTTGAGCCTTTCTCTCTGACTTAAAAACAACATCTCACAATACCACATACTGTTTGCATGTTAAAACCAGGTGTCAAAGTGACTACCCAAAATCCATGATTTTAGCCGAAAAAACAGGTCTTTTGACCAAAAAGGTTTTTTTGACCCACAAAATCACCCTCAACTATATTCCATCCCAATGACATACCACTCAAATGAAAGATCTTGTTGTCCCCTTTAATTTGATACCAAATTTGTTGTTGAGATGCTTGCAGTTCTGAAGATTATTATTAATTTATATTTTTTCATGTAATAATTAGCTGATGACGTCATAATAACGTCATACATGCCCTTTCCATCATCCAATTTTTTGCGTCCGTCTTTTTTTCGAAAAGGTATACCATGGAGATGCTTTGGTGAAAAAATGGTGCTTTTGTCCACTGTGTAACGATCCTTAGCATTTTTGTTACTAATGTACCTCACTAATGTGGGTCTTGACTCCATAGAACTATGCATTCAAGTTTGTTTTCTTTAAAAGAAACCCTGGTTGTTGATTAACATGAATGTTGTTCTTAATTGATGACCAAGATTGACTGTACCTTCTCCAGCCTCTGTCAATGAGGTCTTGATAATCCTGAGCGCTAAGAGAATGTGCCCACATTCCTATAAAATGCATGCAAACAAATATTGAATAAATATATTGACACCATCAAATGAAGATATTATGTCTCATAAATTATCTGACAGTGACACGTTACTTTTTTTGTTAACCATGTATAACCATGTTGGAAAAATTAATTTGGGACTGGGAAACGTTTCCAAGTTTGTTCGAAAACATTTCAGAAGTTTTCACAACTCCACATTTTCACTGACTGTTGTACACAATACAATTACTACATTTCTGAACATCTCTTTTTTTCTTGAAATATTAATATTTTTATGGATTTCTATCAATGATAGAAATCCGGTATTTTAATGAGATAAATTGCGGGTGTTTAATAGGCCTATAGATTAACCTCAGCCACCCCATATCCACAATTTTGGTTGATGTCCGAATAAAATCCATTTTTAATTTTTAAATACTGGGCCTAAAATGTTTACACACGGGAGCCGTCAAACTAACAAACATGACTAAGGCGAAGTAAAAAAAAAACCATGTTTCTCGTCCCCGCCCGCTTCCTTTTTGGAGTCCGCCTGGATTTTTTTATTATTTTTTATTCTTGAAAAATGCAGTAAAAAAAACACCGAAAAAGTCCACAAATTCATCGGAAGATAAATTGTAGACCAAAACAAGTCTAAATGACACTGTAAATATGTTCAGTTCTCTTGTCCAACTTATCTTTCATTTTAAAAGTTTCTTTGAACAGTGGAAACACCAACGGTTGCAGGAAATTTTTAAATGGCGGCCATCTTGAAACAAATAAAAAATAAGAAATAAAAAGCCCAGCGTCCTCCTTTTTTTCAAAAACCCGGACGAGAAATATGTTTTTTTTTTTATTCGGCCTAAGTTGACATGTAAACAATATTTGGAAAGGATATTGCAAATTGAGGCCAATTTTTTCTTCATACATCATCTCAATGAAGGTCAGTCATTGCAAAAATGATGACATGAATCTGGGACTGAGAAATATTTCTAATTTTGTTAGGAATCCATGGAAATTACCATAGAGCACTATAAATTTCCTTGACTCTCCATAGACTTTGTACACAACCGAGGTGGTGTCAGGTTGCAACACTTCTCTCCCAATATTTTACCAAGGTAAATTCTGAATGACATTCACAAAGAGATGAACAACTAATTTCTATGATTAACTGCCCTCCTTTCTAAAACCTACCGTGGGAAAAATTGGTGCTGGAACCGCCGCAATAACCACATCTATAGCCGCCATGTTCGTGCATGTACTCGACTATCGTGTTCGCCATCTTGTCTGAAAGCGGAAGTTTTAAAGGGAAATACCCTGCCCATCCCTTTTACGATGATGTCATTGCTATTTATCGCACATATGGATGGAGCCAGTTGTCATTTTTTTCTTGATTATATTTAATTATTGGTTGATTTTTTAAAATTTATTTTTATTTTTTTTGGCGGGGGGGGGGGGGGAGGGGGTGTCTTGTTATGGTGTAGGGTTTCATGAAAAAGTGTGTTTCATGGGCTTTATTTACAATCTTTATTTTTGGAACCAGCAAAGAGAAATAAAAACATTAACATACAGTTAATTACACATTAACAACGGCCAACTATGATGAAAACTTTAAAATGTGTGATTAAACATATCCTAATGTTTTAAAGCTATATTAAAAAAAAAATGAAAGTAATTAGGCTAGAATGCATAAAATAATAGTCTGGCACCCTCCATTCAGAAGTTCATAATTTATAAAATACATTCCGGGAACACGACCAAATGACTTCCTCACTGAAATAAGGTCCACTATGCCAATCTGACGATTTGACAATCTCAATGGCATTTTCACCTTCAAGTTCCTTGCATTTGTTAACATCATGCTAAGTTTATTATCATTGGTCGTGAAATATTTTCATATAAATGAGTTGAATGGTCTTTGATTTTGTCATCTTTTCTTTTAAAGATGTGTTTTGGTTACTGAGGGGATGGGGGGGGGGGGGGGGTGGGTGGAAGATGCGTTCCGAGATGGAGGCAGACCGGGGGTAGTGAAGGGGGGGGGTCGGGGGGGGGGGGGGGGGGTCTTCAACAACAAAAGTAGACCTCGTCATTCAAACCCAACCCCAGCATACGGAATTATTGTGTAAATTATGATTAATCAAGGTTTTTTCTTCTGTGATCTGTGATGAGGAATGTTGTTGTTAAAAAAAGGCTTTATTGTAATTATTAAAATTATGAATTGATAGCACTGTCCCCAAATGTATCACTGATATTGTCGCTCATATGACACAAGTGGACGAATGTTTAATTACTAAGTTACTCATTCATTAATTGATTTCAAAACATTATGGAATATCACCCTGAAGTGGAATACCCCTTTAATATCACACTGTACTGCATGGATTGTAGGGCTGAGTTAATTTCTTCCACTTACACACGCAAAGTAACGCAAACCCTGTATTCCATACGTTTTGTATCTTATTTTAAATTCTCCAAAATGGCGGCCATCAGTGCGCTGCAAGCGTACGGAAACAGCGACGAAAGTGATAATGGCAGCGAAACAGAAGAAGTTCAGGAAGATCTTACTGCACATTTGAAGCCCTTGGATCAGGGGAATAATGTCCGTACACTCCAGTCGAGATTTCAACTCAATTCGGCCCCCGAAGTGGATAGTAAGGTAACGTCGTTTTCTCGTTTTCAATTTTGAAGCAAATCGAATGGTAAAGACGTGCATTTCCGACACATTATTTTTAGATAGTGGGTAATCCTTAGGACACCTCTATTTTGTACGAATTCTGTTAAAAACTGATGCAGATGACTGTCCAGTACCCAAAGTGACTTTTGCAGGCTAAATCAGTCTTTTTTTCTTCAAACTCATGTTACATTGTTAGTTGTAATTTTGAAAGCACTTTCAAAGAAAATGTGACTAAACTCTACCTCTTTTTGCAGTTCGCCATCTTGCTTTTTTAATATATTTTCTGTTTGTCATCGTCGTCTTTTACCCCTCATAAATCAAAGCCCTGCCCTCTTTCTACAAAATTAAACCTGCTGATATTCAAGAGGTGTCATTGCCAAATGTTCAAATGTGCCAAGAAATATCAGAATGTCACTTTTGATTGTCATTTAGTCAGCTGTTTTGGTGAGTCTCTAACCTTATATAGGAAAGGGGTCCTAAAGGTAAGGATTACCAGATAGTGGATATATTGCCGGCGGTAAACCCGGCAAGCTAACGTTTACTAAAGGTTTGCCGGCGGCAATCCCTATCAACAGAGGGCGCTGTACTCTCTAAGATATGGCTGAATTAAAATTAGCCCCATAAATGTGGCCAATTTAATACTGGACTAACTCCGTAAATAAAGGCCACACTTCCACCATGTACAAAAACATGTCGAACTTTGTCAAATTTTGATTTTCACATTTAGGCTTAGTTTGTAGGGTTTTTTGCTTTAGAAGCATACTCACCCTCTTCATAGGCTAATCAGAAAGTGCTGCCATTTTCAAATGTCTATTTTCGTGAAATTTCCAGATTCGTTTGCACACATTTGCGTATCAAAACTTTCCTTTTTTTGGTTATTTTACAGGAGGATGTTGGGACAATACAGCCTTTGGATCCATCAACAAAAGAACTTAGCTACAATCCACAGTATGAGCAGCTCTTTGCACCAACGGTATTTATTACTATTCTTATTTTTAAAGTTCTGGCAGGAGCTTGTACATGTCACTTGGTGGTCGGTCTGTCTGTCTGTCCCCGGAAATTTGACCAAAGGTATGGTGTTCTATATGTGCCATTGGCATCGCATTTTCAGCTCTAGCAGTGATCATTTTGATCAATTTCATGCAAGACTGTCATACAAGACTTCTTGCAACACGGCCTGAGCTTATTGTGCACTCGCACTTGCGCTGTACGACATCTTCCTCGAACAAGGTGGACGCAATTTTATGAAGTGGAAATGTCCCCAAAATTGACCAAAAATATGGTGTTCCATATGTGCCATCGGCGCCCCATTTTTCGTCAGAGCTTATTGTGCACTCGCACTTGTTACTTATCCTTTAGCCAACATCCCAAATCCCCAACCGATGTAATCTAAGCTGCCTTCTGAATCCAAACAGATAGAAAATTTTTTTTTGGTTCTCAACCGAGATCAACTGACTCCAACAAAAATTGGGCGCTATTAGATCATGTCGTCTTCTGCGTGGTTGGTAGAAAAGACTCTTATTCCAAGATTCCAAAGTTATGGACAAGTATTGTATCGAAAAACTCAACAACAACACAATCTTTGAACTACAGAGAAATATGCAGTTGTGATATTTTGGGATGATTCTATCACTAGGTGGGGCCAGCAAACCCTTTCAAGACCCAACAGCAAGCAGCCCAGAAGAACATGCTGTCTGGCTACGTAGAGGAAGCACACTTCAACCACTTCCAGTTTGAGAACCAGAGAAGAACGTTCAACAGCTATGGTAAGCCACAAAGCAGCAACACAGTCCAGAAAGCGTTTGGTAATTTTTTTCAAAAGAGACAATAATTATTATTATTAAATTTCAAACTGTATCTTTAACTTTCAGTTTAAAAGAAAGCCACATCTATGCCTGAGTTATCAAGTTCCTGCCACTTGTTGCTTACTCGGGAAAGCCAATGGGAGCAATATTTTGTTTTAAGATTTTTTCATGAGTGAGTAGACATTTGAGTGTGTTAAATTGTGAGTCTTTGTTACTTTGATTCAAGGTTTTGCTGTTGATCCGAGCGTCAGAGAGACAGCAGAGACCAAAATCATCGGCACAGCTGAATCTGGGGATACAGCTGAAGGTGACATTTTACTTCCAATTTTTTTAATGGATACAATTGGAAATTCAGTGCAAATTTGAATGACGGTTAAAAACCATGGTACTTCCAAAATTCTTGAACAGCGTTTGGTGGGTTTTGTAAGGAGGTACAGCCCACGCACAGTTACTTTACATAGGATTGGATTTCCCTTAGTCCTGTGTGACTAGTAAAATCCACTAGTCGCGTAGTCATGTGACTAAAAGTTGTGACTAGTCACGTCTGTTTCTGTACTTAGGTTTTAGGAAATGTATCTGATTGTTATACCTCTGTCTTGAATACTGTATTTTCATTGGCCTAGAACGATCACGTGTTAAGTTTATAAAAAGTCATGGCACACTCCCTGTGGAGTGATATCCCACAGGGAGTGTGCTATGACTTGTACGTACGGTACATACGATGTAAAATGCTTGTATCGTTGGTACCCACGCTATTTTCACCATGTTTTCACTCATGAGTGGGAGCAGCGAACTAGCAGACGATCAGCTGTTTCTAGCACGCGACATGCATGTGAGTTGACGTTTGATTGTCATGATTGGGCGCTGTGGTCCAATGGTTACGGTGTTCGACTCGTGTGCCATGGTGCATGGGTTCGAATCCTGACCGTGGGAACATGGTGCTTGTGCACTTGAGCAAGGCACTTTACCATTCTTGCTTCGTTCTTCGGATGGACGTAAAGCCGTAGGTCCCGTGTGTTGTGTAATGCACGTTAAAGAACCCAGTAACACTTATCGCTAAGAGAAGGGGTTTGCCCGGTGTTTCTGGCAGTGGCTGCAATGTGCGCCGCAGCACCTTGTAAACCATTATAAGGTGCTACATAATGGGTCTCATATTTCTCATAAACTTTATTTACCTTTCTTTAATAATTGACATAATTTCCAGCGCCTTGAGTACCTAATTGTTGGTAGATACGTGCGCTATATAAGACTCCAAGAAGACTCCAAGAAAGAGGTATAACAGAACAATTGTTGACTGCTGTGATGTGGGAAATGACGTTTTGAACCCCTTCGGGGTGCATAACACCCTCGGCTTAGCCTCAGGTGCTATGCGCCCCTCGGGTGTTCAAAACGTCATATCCCACATCACAGTCAACAATTGCTAAATCGTGGAGTACTACATAGACACGGCTGGGTCTACATATGCTAAGAAAGCAATTTTGACAATATCCCACTCTGCCAGCTTCTTGGTGGTGGTGGAGTTTTATTTCAGTTTCTACGGAGAAATTTTCTTTGATGAAACATGCATTCAAAGGATCATGTAATGAATTCTAAATGTATTATAAACATGTACATTGATGTTCAGATAAACTAGTCGTGGGTCCAAAACTATTAGGGGCACTACAACAAGTCAACTAATAAAATAAATCGAAGTTGAGAATTTGAGTAATAGTCACCAGTGACAAATACAGCGTGTGTCAATAAAAACGCAGGATTAGAAACAAAAATATTAAGAATATAAACCACCCCTATTCATCATAATGTTAACCCTCTTTTCAAAGTACCTTTCCTTCTCTTCACTATGCTTTTTATCCCATCTCATTTGGACAATCCTGTCCAGAGATAGAGTACATTGAAGAAGGGTTATAAATTCCAAGCTGGTCTGATTTGTGAAATCACACATACCTAATGAAAGGTTTGAATTCAGTACTGGTGAAAGTATTTGTGGATCACAAAGAAGGACATGTGTGGCAGGATTAGGCTTACATAATCCTTTAGTCCACAATCAATGTTATTAGTCAATAATTCATGATGCTTTGAAACAATGATAGTCCAGTTATTAAATTTAAGTGATACTTATCATCCGTTGTTTTCAAAGAAAGTTTTGTTCTGGTTTAATTGTCTTCAATGCATACCTGCATTGTACATAACTGGTCGTTGTGTTAAGGTCATTGAATCAGACCAACCCGCTTCAGAAGGGCTTCACAAAACTTGTCATAACTTTTGAACCAAAAGTCCAAATTCCACCAAACAAAAATCTTGTCAAAGATGAAATTATGGACAATCAAATCCTTATCAAATTAGGCACACCAGTAGCATAATTTTCTCAGAAAAAAAAATCGCTTTGAATCCTGCGTTTTTATTGACACACGTTGTAGTCAACCAAACTAGTGGCGTCGCACAAAGCTATTTCCGTCACAGTGGAGAATTTTGGAGGATACGGGAAAGTCCAATATTTCTGACATCCTATTAAAGCCCCAATGTGTAAAAAGAACATATGCCAAGTGAAACATCTTCACACCTTTTTTTTGTGTGTGAAAAGCTGAAGTAGATTTCCTTATTTCCCAAAAGTTTAAAAAGTAACTTTGATTCTATATTTCCCAGCCAAGACTGTGTTTGAAAAGACAAAAGTCCGCCCAGGAGACAAGCGGAAAAGAGTGCGCAAGAACGACGCGTCAGAGATTGACGACTTTGAAGGACCGTGGGGCAAATACGTTGATGAGGCAACAGTCTCCAAACCTTCAGAAGTAAACCCAAAAACTATTCCAACTTCTTTTGTTTTTATTTGTCAAAACGCTGTCATTATTTCCATCTATCACAACAGTAGATGAATATAGAACTTTTAAAACTAAGAAGGACTGTTTAAACAGAAATCAAAACTATTTAAAGCAAAAGTTGATAATAAGCAGGACACGTTCTTATCAGAACTAAATATCTACTGAGCGGCAGTAGTTATAACCACGTGGTGTTACCGCAAACAGAAATGATACTGATACTACACCATGCAAAATCTAAAATGTCTCTTTTTATGGCCATCTATGTTCTGTGATTGCTATTTATTATTTGGTGTAAAATAATTTAATCTTTAACATTAAAAAGAGTGGAATTTAGGAAACCTACTGGTTTGTTTTACGTTATTTCTTCTACTACAATGGCAAAATCAATTTCTAAAATATTTAACAGAGTGTACTTATTCCAAATTTGATTTGTCTTAGATTTGTGAAGTGTAATTTTTCTGTGACTGTTTTATGTAGCAAAATATGACCAAATCATCAGGGAGAGAAACAAATGTAGTGTGCTGCCATGTGAGACCTGACACATGAAACGGCCGTTGTGTCATCCTTGGGGCAAAACGTTTACAAGACAATTTGATTTGTGTGTACAGGACGAACAGGTAGAATTGGACGAGATACTATCCAAGAGGAACAAGAAGGGTAAAAAAGCGGAGGAAAAGCCAGCTGAAGAAAAGACGACACTCCACCGTAAGTTTCTAGCAAAATGAATCTGATTGTCAATAGACACTTTGCATTCAACCGGCCATCTTTTTTTTTGGAGTTGTTTGTTTTGTTAATTCATTAACAATGAATGCACAAGGTATCCCTGCCTATTGCAGTGGAACAAACGCACGCACCTCAAAGGCGCCTGCAGTATAAAGCATCTACTTAATATTCGAGGCATCATGGCAAAATGAGTCGGAACTGGGCACATGCCATAGTGGAGCAAAATGCAAAAAACTGATTGGGGGTTTTGTTTTTTGTGATTTTTCAGATTTATTGTAAAGAGATAGTATAAAATATCATAGAATGCAAGAGTTTTGAGGAAAAACACTTCGCATCTTTCATTGTCACGAATACAAAACTCGAAACTTTAAAGGCCATTTTCTCGGTATTCTAATATTTTTGACACGTGAACTTTAAACAGCCGTTGCTTGTCGACAAAGTGCTCAAATGAAGTGCAACAAACAGTATTGTAAAGAGAATTTGATTCCTTCCTTACGCCCGCAAATCCTCGTTTTGTCAGATCGCCACACATTTATGGATCTTGTTTTCTATTAAGGAGTAATGTTCCCCCTCTAGTTCCAAACATGAAGGTTCATTGTTTGTGGATTTTTCCATTTGAAGTAACAGAATTGCCCAAACTCTTCAGTCAAAAGGTGTGCCCGCTAGCACACTTTTTTTCTACTGAAGGATATCATAACAGGCACAGTAATTTCACTGGACTTTTAGTAGCAGCCCTATCTTCAGACTATCCTCATTAATTCAGTAACCTCATTTCTGGGGTAATTATCAATAATCGTACGTGCCTTTCATAAACCTGTTCCTGTTTCTACCTTTCCCGTTGTCCACACAGTCAAGGACATGTACGACTACATGGGCCGCTCCTACCTCCACGTCCCGCAAGACTTGGACGTGGACCTACGGACCACCGAACTACCGGAGAAATGCTTCCTACCCAAGAAGCATATCCACACCTGGGCGGGGCACACAAAGGGCGTGGCCGCTATCAGGTTATTCCCGCAGTCTGGTCATCTGTTGCTGTCGTGTGGTATGGATAGCAAGATCAAGGTAGGTGGTAGCACCGGGGATGTAAACCCCCCCCCCCCATCATTCATTTTTGTCATCAAAATTGTTGTCATGTCAACACAATGGTGTATGTTGGCAGATTGGCAGATAAGTTGAGACACATAGCACCGCCTACTATCTTATCACAAGATTAAATGAAAATAGTTCCCCATAAAGTGGAGTGTCATGGCCTAGAGGTTAAGAGCACCGGACTCATGTTCTGGTGTTTCAGAGGCAACAGTGATGTGGGTTCGAGCCCGCCGGCGGACACTTGTGCCCTTAAGCAAGGCACTTAACCATTCTTGCTTCGTCCTTCGGATGGGACTTAAACCCGTAGGTCCCGTGTTGTGTGTAATGCACGTTAAAGAACCCAGTAACACTTGTCGTTAAGAGAAGGGGTTCGCCCCGGTGTCCTGGCAGTGGCCGCGCAGCACCTTGTAAACCCTAATAAGGTGCTACATAATGGGTCTCATATTTCTCATGTACTTCATTCATCTAATAATAGACATAACTTCCAGTGCCTTGAGTACCTATACTCCGTTGCGATAATGCCTGAATAGGTTTCTGCAACGTAACCATACAGATACAGACGGTTACGGATATAATTTTCGACTACAATTATTTTTTTCACTCACATGAGAGGTTCCCACATCCAGGCACTCATTCCATTATTGGGCTTTATGCAAGTAACTCCCCCCTCCTCCCCCCCCCCCCTCCCCCGAAAAAAACTTATAAAGAAATACATAAATAAATATATTGATAGATTTTCATTTTCATGTACATACGGGTCCAAGAAGTCCTGACCTTGTATTAAAAAATTTGCTAAATGAAAAATATTCTTTTCCAAATTTATGAATCTGTAAACTAAGGCTCTAAACATTCAGTTTGTTTTCAAAACTGTTTGGGTCTTGCGCCAAGCTTTTTAACCAGCATCTCAATGAATAAAACAGAGATCAGGTTTTTTATAATTTTTCTGTTGTCTTATATCCTTCTTTTTTCGTTTTGCCAAAAAAAACCAAATCAGTTATGGGACGTGTACCATGAACGGAAACTCATCCGAACGTTCAACGGGCACAAGCAAGCCGTGCGAGATGCCTGCTTCAGCAACGATGGCACCAAGTTTATCAGCGCTTCCTACGACCGCTATCTGAAAGTCTGGGACACGGAAACAGGTACTAATCAGAGATGCCACAGGGTCTGCTTGAAAAAAACGGAACTGGGTCTGCTTGAAAAAAAACGGAGCGGCTGCTTGAAAAAACCGGAACTTTTTTGTGTGTGAAAAAGCCACTCCGTGTCCGACACAAAGTCCCCGTTGTCATCTTTATCTTGTAGCCAAGCCAAGTTCTGTTTATTTTTCAATTTTGCTTCTATGGCCTTTAAGCTGTCGGTTCGTTCAATCACTTTGACTTTTTCCATATTCCTAATATTTATTCTGCCTACCCGAATTTCCAACGTAATATTCGACACGAAACATGCACGATTCCACAACACTGCTGTCGGTGTACATGATCCTTGCATACGCGATGCGCTGAACGAAAACATGGTTGGTACCCGCATTTTTTGTATTCACATATATCACTGTGATCGGAAACCACCGATAGCTGAAATGAAAGACTTGATTTCCAGGCTGAATGCTACGTGTGCTTAGCACACAACACGCCCGCACGCGGTGAAGCACGCGCGAGGCGCCGTTGTATACTGCGTGCAAGTACGTTGGCCGCTTGTATCGCATGCAGGCTCGGCAACAACATACACAAAGACGTTGTGCCATGCGTGCGCCTAAATGTACTAAATCGAGGTAAAAATCAATGCATTTCCACAGTTTTTCTTCTCTTTTTCTGGTTAATTTGACGGCCGGAAAAACGGAATTTTGTGAGATTTTTTTTAAAAAACGGAATTCCGGTTAAAACCGGAAAAGTGGCATCTCTGACTAATGACATCATACTGAAAAAAACTTACATGTCCTCAAATTCTCTGTTATTAGAGGGTTTTATGGCCTCTGCCCAGGACTTGGAGCTCGTATTTCTGTGAAATTTGGACGGAATTAGGCCCTAAAATTGCTGTATTTTCCAATGGAGCGGAGAGATCATTTTTTTTTCAAAATGGCGCCGAACCTCAAGACTACTTTTAGGGGTGATCATCTTTGCCGTAAAATTTTCCCCAAAATTCATTGGTTAACACCTTCCCCCCCAAAAAATGTTGAACAGAAAGTGAGAGATGATGAAATAAGCTTTAATTTGATGTGTGTCTCGAGCACCCTGGAGAGTTGTGAGAATTTTTTCCTGATTTTCGGAAGTGAGGGCATTTACCATTGGGGTCTATGGCAGTTTATTTACTGGTCTGCACTTGATACTAGTGTGTAGGGAATGGCGCCCTCTATCGTTCTTGCGCAGAGGCTATGCAATCTGTACACAAGTACCCCAGCAGTGGTGAAAAAAGTTGATGGATAATTAAGGACCACCTCCACTGGTAGATTAAATGTCCAGTGAATGGCAAGTGTAGACCAATGAAGTGCAAGCGTCCTTCACGTGGGGTGTTGTTGCTTGGTGACAGCGCCCTCTATTGTTCACACAATGTCCATAGTATCCCCAGTGTGCTGTGTCAGTACTCTAGAAATATTAATAACCAATAAATTATGAGAGACTTTTGAGAATACCGTTAAGTCTTATAAGAATAATTGATTTTTGGTTTGCATTCAATTTTCATCTTTCTTTTTCTACCTAGGTCAGTGTCTGGGCCGTTACACCAATCGTAAGGTGCCTTACTGCGTCAAGTACCATCCAGAAGAGGAAAAACAACACATCTTTGTCGCTGGAATGTCCGACAAAAAGATTGTGCAAGTAAGTCCTTTAGCAAAATATCCACTTGCATTTCTTGCTAGAAAATGTCCCAGATCCTCAAAAATCCACTGGTTTTTCTTTGTACTAAAAGAAAATTGGGACATTAAACCCCATTTAGATATTACAATCCTGAATCTTTCATAATCGAACTAACTTGGTGTTGGATTTTGAAAGAATTTAAAGGTTTAGGGTGCATTTTTTCCTCCAATTTATGCAACTTCAAAAAAGTCCTGATTCTATCAAAATCAAACATAAAAGGTGTTGGATCTTGAAAGATTTTCAAAGGATAGGGTAAATAAGGCTTTCTCCAATTCATGCAAGAAAGAAAAAGAGAGTCCTGTATCTGTCGAAATCAAAATAACCTGGTGTTGGAGCTTGAAAGATTTCAGAGGGTTGGGGAAAAGACATTTTTCTCCAATTTGTACAAGTTAAAAAAGAGAGTCCTGAATCTTTTAAAATCAAATAAAACCGTATCTTGAAAGATTTGAGGCTAGGTGTAAAATTATTATTTTTTTTTTGCGTGTTTACGGTAACCCGACCTACCTTGATTTTTTAGGCCAATTGCCAGCCTCAAAAAGTTTATTGGCACATTTGGCCAAAAATTTAAAATGACATGAAAATATGAAATAATATAAAAAAAATATTTAGAAAAGAAAATTATTTTCCCACATACCTACCTGAATAATTTTTAGGGCATTACCGTAAGCAAACAAGTTTTTTCTTGGCCATGGGGAAACGCATTTTTTTCACTTCATGCTTAGTTCAGTCTATTTTGGCAAAAGTCAACAAAGTTTGGCAAAACAATGAAAATTATAACTGTTTATTTGTTGAAAATCCTAATTACACCTTTTTTTATGCTGTTCTATCAATTACAGTGGGACATGCGAGAGAATGAGATCGTGCAGGAATACGACAGACACTTGGGGGCAGTCAACACCATCACGTTTGTAGACCAGGGCCGGCGATTCGTGTCGACGTCAGACGACAAGAGCATGAGGGTGTGGGAGTGGGATATTCCCGTGGACTACAAGTACATCGCTGATCCAACCATGCATTCTATGCCTAGCGTCTCTCTCAGCCATAACGGTAAGGCATTGCCGTCCCCAACACATCAACAACGAAAAGCCCCCCAAAAACAAACACCCAAAACGTGAAAGAATAACAATTAAGGCTGATCAAATTCCTAGCTACTTTTAAAGTTAAGCAAATTGTTCAGTTTAACAATTGTACCACCCCACACCACCCTGCCTATCATACTCTGTACCACCCCAAACCGCCCCGACTGTTACACCCTGTGCCCCTCCCCCAAACCAACCTGCCTGTTACACCCTGTAATCATCCCCAAACCACCCTGCCTGTTACACCCTGTACTGCCCGAACCACCCTGCCTGTTTCACCCTGTATCTTCCCAAAACCACCCTGCCTGCTACACCCTGTATCGTCCAAAACCACCCTACCTGTTACACCTCGTACTGCCCCAAACTACCCTGCCTGTTACTCCCTGTACCACCCCAAACCACCCTGCCTGTTACACCCTATACTGCCCCAAAACCATCCTGCCTGTTACACCCTATACTGCCCCAAACCACCCTGCCTGTTACTCCCTGTACTGCCCCAAACCACCCTGCCTGTTACACACTATACTGCCCCAAACCACCCTGCCTATTACACAGGCATGCAACTTGTCCTCGGATCCGCTGATTTCCTCGTTTTTTACTTCTCATGAGTGCCATTACAAATTGAAAAATACTGTACAAAATCTTGTGTGGTTTGGAGTTTCCTCGTTTTTTCTAAATTCCCAGTTGCATGCCTGATTACACACTATACTGCCCCAAACCACCCTGCATGTTACACCCTGCCTGTTACACCCTGTACTACCCTAAATCACCCTGCCTGTTACACCCTGTACTGCCCCGAACCACCCCGTCTGTTTCACCCTGTATCGTCCCAAAACCACCCTGCCTGCTACACCCTGTATCGTCCAAAACCACCCTGCCTGTTATACCCTGTACTGCCCCAAACCACCCTGCCTGTTACACCCTGTATCGTCCCAAAACCACCCTGCCTGTTACACCTTGTACTGCCCCAAACCACCCTGCCTATCATATCCTGTACCACCCCAAACCGCCCTGCTTGTTACACCCTGTGCCCCTCCCCCAAACCTCCCTGCCTGTTACACCCTATACTGCCCCGACCACCCTGCCTGTTACCCCCTGTAATCGTCCCAAAACCACCCTGACTGTTACACCCTGTACCACCCCAAGCCACCCTGCCTATATATACCACCCCAAACCGCCCCGCTTGTCACACCCTGTGCCCCTCCGCCAAACCACCCTCCCTGTTAGACCCTGTACCGCCCCAACTACCTTGCCTGTTACCTCCTGTAATCGTCCCAAAACCACCCTGACTGTTATACCCTGTACCCGTCCCCCAAACCACCCAGCTTGTTACACCCCCTCACCCCCCCCCCCAAAAAAAAAAACACAAAAAAAGAAGTTGAAGAAAGTTCAGTGAAAATAGAAAAACAATTCTTTTAAACTGTGCAGAGAAACTGTTTAAAGGGTTTTTTGCTGATATTATTAATTTCTGGTAATGAAACCAAGGATTCCTCAAAAGCACTGCAGCTCGCAAGCCTAAAGAAAACTGTACAGAGAAGACAATTAGAAGAAATTCCAGTTTTGGAGGTGGGAGAAAACCCCTGCAAGAATATACAGGGAAAACCCACAGAATCAGGTAGGGACTGAAAACCCAATCCACATGTGGACCAGGGCAGGAATCGAACCCGGGCCATAGAGGTGGAAGGCGAAGAATCAACCGCTACACCAACCCGACTCCCCAGTTTTGATGTTTTCAACCAGTTTTGATGTTGCATTGTTGTTTGATCAACTTAGGTAAATGGCTGGGGTGCCAGTCGATGGACAACCAGATTCTGATCTACGGCGCTCACAATCGCTTCCGCCTCAACAAGAAAAAGATCTTCAAAGGTCACATGGTGGCTGGCTATGCCTGCCAGATGGACTTCTCCCCAGATATGAGGTATGAGCTCCGCGCATGGACTATAGAGGGCGCTATGCAGCCTAAGAATGAACGCAAAGGTTGCTGGTTCCTTGCCCCTTGTATTGTGTTCTACATATGAACCTGAACCCTCATAGGCAAACATACATTGTGTGCACAGTTGTCCTTTCAGTCAAAACCAGTCAAGTGACTGTTTTGAACAGTTGAGTGCTCCATGCCCACACAAAGCAGGATTGACTGGCTGTGACTGTTTATGTAACTTGATACAGCTATGCTTTGACTGTAGGTGATTGATCGCACACAAGCCAACAAGACATACCATTTGTCACACGCATGCATTGTTCTTTACATCCAAGAAATGAACAAATATGGCGACCGGACAGCCAAAAAACTCAGCTGTACCCCAAAATCATCTTTATTTGAAGCCTAAACGTAAATACTTATTGGGCTCTTTGCTCGTTTTTGTGATTGATGGAAAAGCAGTAAATTTTATAGGAAGACTCAGTCTAAAATGGGCGTTTTGTCAATGACTACTGCTGTGGCTAGCTACGGATGTCACGCGAGGATCATGATGGCCTACGTTGAAGCGTTTGATTAGCATGGCTCCAGTGGCTAACTCGTCTGCCTTTACCCGAGTCGATCCAGGTGATCTACTCAAAACGCAGCCAGTATTTCTACTAATCTTTCATTTTCATTCTTGCCTTTGCCTTTCTCTCTGCAGCTATGTGGTGTCTGGCGACGCCGATGGCAAACTCAACATCTGGGACTGGAAATCCACCAAGCTGTACAGCCGCATCAAGGCCCACGACGGAGTCTGCATCGGCTGCCTCTGGCATCCTCACGAAACCTCCAAAGTCATCACGTGTGGCTGGGATGGACAGATTAAACTGTGGGACTAAACCACACCAAACAGTGCTTGATTTGTTCCATAACGTAAGACTAAACCACACCAAACAGTGCTCGATTTGTTCCATAACATAAGCCTGCCCATGATAGTAACGTGGGATTGTTGTCTCCAATCAATCGATGGTCAAAATGTCATCTCGGAATTGCTTGGTCCTGGCTCCCTGATGTGCCTAAGGATGCGCACTGCTATTGGTTACCAGCGATGCAACTGTGCCCTGTGGTCAAGTTCTAAATAGTCAACTAGCATGGTGCAACTGTCTTTCATTCAAGCAAAGTTGGTCAAACTATGATTAAGTATACATTGCCCCGGAACTTGCTGAATCATTGAGACAAGTTGTTGATTTGTTACGTAAGTGCGGACTCATAGCAACGTGGGAACATCTCTAATCAATCTATGGTCAAAACGTCATCATGAAATTTCTTGGTCTTGGCCCCTCGCTGTGCATTGTGATGCCCGCTGATAGAACCAAATTGCAGCCACCCTTACTTGGCTGGTCGCAAATACACGTAGTCAACTTGACTAGTCCAACTATCATTGACTATTATACTAGCGGTGATCAGAGTTAATCGGACAATGGTTAACTATAACTCTATATAACTCTGGTAATAACCACAGACAAAAAAACCCAACCTAGACCTGTCATTTGCCTGAAATTTCCATTATAAAAATGCTGCATCCTATAACCGCCAAATTACGCAAACGCTCATTGAAGGCGGCTGAACGCAGGAGACATTTGCAGGACACGCGCACGTTATTTATGAGCAAGATGAGCATTCACTTAACATGGTGGTTACAAGACGCAGTATTTTGCTAATGGAAACACACAACATACAAGTATATAAATGGCCGATCTAGATTTTTGTTTTTGTTTAAATATGTGTGGTAATAACTGAGTGCACAACAGTGCCCTCTATTGGTAAAACAAATGCGCATCAAGTACCTTTTGGTAAGGGCACTTCATTGTGCATTCTTGTTTTTGATGCATTCCTGTGATGTGAAAAAAAAAGTTGCGCTGCAAGTTATGAGTTTGTATTTAACCCATTTTACCGCCTCATACTGCCCCAAACCACCCCGGCAATTTATGGTACTGTACAGACAGTATAATACAGTGCAGTACAATGTAATACAAGTACTAAAGGGTTCAATCTCGGCTGGTGTAAACACTGGTTTGATTTTGGTCTTCCACATTAGCACGTCTTTATTGGTTAAAAATGAAAAGCTTTATTACTGTGAGTAAACCAAATGACACTATCCAAGGCCCCCCCCAAAAGTCTCCGGTTTCTGGTATGGAGCTTGCCCAAAAAGTGGTGCGGCGACGCGCCTTTTTTTTTTTTTACCTGATTTTTTTTGCCTCAAATGTCAGCTGATGACTGCAAATGGTGCCTGACTAAACTTAGTGCAAATATATGGGAGTCCAGAGAGGCCACATAAAGCTTATACTCGATCATAACCCCATCCAAAAACACGTTAAAATTGTGCAGCAGCAGGATTTTAGTCAAACCAGTGAGTTTGGCAGTTTTGAGACATCATCTTTTGCATACCAGAAACCGGAGACTTTTTTTTTTTGGCCTAAGGGGATATACAATGTACATGTATTGGCATATATTCACGCAGAGTATGCTTTTCTGCAAAGACATTACGGGTTTCATAATATTGTTGAAAATTAATCATGGTTTCTCACATTTGTGAACTAACCTAACTCCGCTCTTGCGTTTAGGCCACACAGAGTACTTGCCCAGAGTTTTAAACTATGTTTACTGTTGCTAGGTCTGGCACGTCGGTGGAGGATCTAGGGGGGGCTTGGAGATTGCAACCCACCCCCTTTAGCCACTGACTAATGTTAAACTAGAAAAAATAGCCCCAAAAATAATAAACAGAATGCTAAAGTTCCTAAGTTTATTCTCAAATTGTCATATAATGCCGGAAAAGGCATCATAGATTTCCAAATTTTCGGGGGGGGGGGGGGCATGCCCAAGGAACCCTCAAGCAAAGCCCACCTTTGACATGCATTCACTCAAACCAACCCCCTTATTTGTTGAATGCAGGTTTTGAATGTAATTTTTAACCATCCAGTAGATTTGTTTCATTTTGGCCACCTGTGCTAAGCACACGATTTTATGCCAACAGAGCCTCCGTCTATTTCATGGAGACCGTAAGCAAAAGCACAGCAATAGTTGGCTTACTGCAGTGGAAAAGTTTGCTTAACTTAGTGACGTAACAATAGAAATCTGCATGCATGCGCGACTGCTAGCACATACACGCCATGAAGTAGTGCTTAAGGTTAGCAAATTGTTCTGCTTTGCCAAGTTAAGCACAACTTTTTCTGCTAACTGATAAAGCAGCGCCGTGAAATTGGGCCATAATGTAATGTAGAGCCTTGCACTGCCACAATTTTTTTTTTTGCGGATGATGCCCTAAGAACAGTACAACTGAATTTGTTGCAGTTGTACTTTTTATTACTCTGGAAAACAATACTGGGGTGAAATTTTGTAAATCTCTAGAATTCCGTGCTGTTGGAGAAATGTACAGTTGTATATTAATGCTTCAATAAAAAAAATGTAAATACAGGTACTATGTGTTTGTCACTTATTCATTTATTCAAGTTTTCTTTTTTTCTGAGAGGGGGATTCCATACTATTTCACTTCTGTTGAGGTTTTTTTAATTACCGTGATAATATATAATTTACAATATTCTGGAACATTTCTTCCATTTTCAGAGACTTTTTTAGGGTGAATTCAAGTTAACGTTTGCTACATTAATGTCAGTGTTTGATGGAACAAAAACACATATTAATGTGGAAGAATTTATTCATTCAGTCATAATTGGTTTATTAAATCAGCTTTCTCGCCACCTATAGCGGAATTGTGTGAAGCTGTAACAATATATAATGCATTAATTTAAAAATACTAAAAAGTAATCATTACAATTATACTATTAGAAATGATAAGCTAAATTTAAGGACCCCAAAATTGATAAAATTGCAAATCAACAATTACATGTTTAGCACATTAAGATGCAGTAAGAAATTGGGTGAGTGGTAGGGGAAAAGGACATATGGTGGGAAGGGAAAGGCTACATTATTCGGAAAGGGAATAAGAATCCACAGTGAAATTTGGAATATAATTTGGGATATTAGGATGAGGAAGTTTAAAAATCCAAATTATCCTTTAACATTTAAAAATCTCAGACACAGTGTACAATGAATAAAAATCTCAAAGCATGAGCTGCTGTCAAAAGTTACCTTTAACCAATGCACAATTAAGTCATGGAATTAATTAAGAATGGAGCTTTTTTTGGGGGGGGGCTTTTGGATGCTCTTGGGACACAAACTTCAGATAGGATATCATGAACACAACTTTTTTGAAACACATTTTACTGTTTCAAATTAATTTTCATACATAAAGAATGGAATACAGCAACAGAAGGAATATCTTGCGCATCACTGCTTAGGAATCAGTGTTGCAACAGAGGTTTCTTTTGTCTTACAGCTCATTGTCAGCTGCTGGCAGTAGATTACTGTGTAAAAACCTGCAACTTGCATCAAATACAATGATAAAAGCTTAAAGCTATAGTCCATCATTTGCAGCAATCCGAAAAGTAACTGGCGTAATTATTGTTGAAAAACATACTTGGTTGAAAGATAGTAAGTGGACTATTAAACTCCCTTTGAAATTTTTCTTTCTGGCAAGCTGTCATTTTGAAGTAATCAACGAAAGAAGGCCTTTCCAACGGTGCGTCTTAAGACGCACCGTATGAAAATGTAAATTAGTACAATGTAGTTCGTTTTGTTATTCACGAAGCGCGCGCAAGCATTGGCATGACGCGCACACACGCGCGCTGCTATAATTCGTCGGATCAGTGCGCGACATCGCGTAGCTGCAATCGGCTCAGTGAGAACGTGTCTCGGACACTGAATTCAGGCCCAATTCAAAACATGATTCAGCAACTTTCGATTTGAAATTGAGATCCTAGAATGCTGTTTTTCTCGGAATATACAGCTGAAGCCGAGCTGAAACTTCATCAGGTTAGTTGTTCAGTATCCTTCATTCGATTTTGAACACTTTTGTTGCTTCAAACGAACAAAATGCACAAATTACAAATGATGGACTATATCTTTAATATGAGGTACACTTTTGACATAAAACCAAAGTTTCTGCGCCATCTAAAAAGACAATTTTCAGGTTAAAATCTTTCAGTTTATTCAGTAATATAAACAATGTCGGACATCACTGTAATTTGAATGAATGCCAATTTCTTGCTGTTTTCGCATTCTACAACTACTCCCCCCCTCTCTTTTTTTAATCCCCTCCACCCCCCCCCCCCCCATGTCAAATGTCAAACATGAGATGCTGTAAAATCAAGTTAACTTTGTTATCGTCTTTTCATGTATTTATAAAACAACATGTAAACTCTTTTGGACTAATACTGTACTTAGCATGCATGTCTTTTAAAAGCTACTAATGCAATTTGCTTGCACTGACTCAATTGCTGAGTTTTGAATGGACATTATAAGAAATAAACAAGAGAAACACCACACCCCAAATACAAAAGTGGGTTCCTAGCATTAAAAAAAAAATAAAAAAAAAAAATTATAAGAAATAAACAAGAGAAAAACCAAACCCCAAATACAAAAGTGGGTTCCTAGCATTAAAAAAATAAAATAATTTTTTTTTTTTATAAGAAATAAACAAGAGAAACACCAAACCCCAAATATAAAAATGGGTTCATAGGGTAAACCAACCTTCATAAAGGTGTTGACATAACAATGAACTCTTTTTGTATGTCACAGGAAAATCTTACTTGTAAAATATCTGCTACAAAAACATGTCATAGGGATAAGATTTTGGCAGTGCATATAGGCGTGAATTATTTGGTGCGTTTAAAGATTTTTCTTCATTCAGCAGCTTTTCTTGCAAACATCACCCGTGGATGCTCATCAGTGTGTGTCCCTTGATGGCGCACAAAGTGCTGCTTTCTCCTGAAACCCTTGCTACAAAGGTTACAGCCCGGTAGTCCGAAGGTTCGATAGTCCAAAGGCTCTTTAGTCCGAAGGGTCAGTAGTCCGAAGGTTCGTTAGTCTGAAGGTTCAATAGTCCGAAGGTTTAATAGTCCGAAGGTTCGATAGTACGAAGGGTCCATTAGTCCCCAAACAGACGAAGGTTTAATAGTTCGATAGTCCGAATAGACGAAAGGGTTTGATAGTCCGAATGGACAATAAGGTTCCATAGTCCGAATTGACAATCGGACCTTGTCGATTCGGACTATCGGTCGTAATTGTCGATTCGGACTATCAGACCTCATTTTCAATTCGGAATAATGAACCTTCGGACTAGTGAACCTCATTTTCGTTTCAGACTATTGAACCTTCGGACTAATTAACCTTTTTCTAAATTAGGACTACCGAACCTTCGGACAAATGAACCTTCGGACTAATGAACCTTCGGACAAGTGAACCTTCTGACTAATGAACCTTCGGACTATTGCATCAAATGTTCAGATTAACGAACCTTATTTTTATTTTCGGACTATCGAACCCCCTCTTATGGGAATTTCGGACCTTATTGTCGATTCGGACTATTGTACCTTATTTTCAATTCGGAATAATGAACCTTCGGACTTGTGAACCTCATTTTCGTTTCGGACTATTGAACCTTCGGACTAATTAACCTTTTTCTAAATTAGGACTACCGAACCTTCGGACAAATGAACCTTCGGACTAATGAACCTTCAGACCAAAGAACCTTCGAACTATCGGGCGGACCCCACTACAAATGTCGTGGCTTTTCCTCTGTGTGTGACCGGAGGTGCCTTGTCAGCGATCGCTGGTCTTTATAGCTCTTGTGACAAATGTCACATTGGTACGGTTTTGTTGTTGAGTGGAATTTTTGATGCCTGCGAAGATGACCCTGCCGTTTGAAAGCTCCGTCACAGATGGTGCATTTATAAGGCTTCTCTTCCAAATGAATACTCTGGTGTCTCGACAGGTACGCTATGTTCGCAAAACTCTGGCCACATATGTCACAGTTATTTGATCTGGCTGTTGCATGGACTTTTTGGTGCATGCGAAGACGATCCTGCCTTGAGAAAGCTTTGTTACAGATGGTACATTTATAAGGCTTCTCCTCCAAATGAATACTCTGGTGTCTAACAAGGTCACTTGTCTGTGAAAAACTCTGGCCACAAATGTCACAGTCGTGTCTTGCTGTTGCATGGACCTTCTGATGCCTGCGAAGATGACCCTGCCTTGTGAAAGCTCTTTCACAGATGCTGCATTTATAAGGCTTCTCCTCCAAATGAACACTCTGGTGTACCGACAGGTACTTTGCCCGGGCAAAACTCTGGCCACAAATGTCACATTCGTATGGTCTTCCTGTTCCGTGGACTTTTTGGTGCCTGCGAAGTTTATCCCGCCGTCTGAAAGCTGTGTCACAGGAAGTGCATTTATAAGGCTTCTCCTCCAAATGAATACTCCGGTGTCTCAACAGGTACGCGGTCTTTGCAAAACTCTGGCCACAAATGTCACATACGTTTGATCTGGCTAATGCATGGAATTTTTGGTGCCTGCGAAGATGATCCTGCCGTTTGAAAGCTCCGTCACAGATGGTGCATTTATAAGGCTTCTCCTCCAAATGAATACTCTGGTGTCTAACAAGGTCACTTGTCTGTGAAAAACTCTGGCCACAAATGCCACAGTCGTGTCTTTCTGTTGCATGGACCTTCTGATGCCTGCGAAGATGACCCTGCCTTGTGAAAGCTCTTTCACAGATGCTGCATTTATAAGGCTTCTCCAAATGAACACTCTGGTGTCTCCACAGGTACGCTGTCTGTTCAAAACTCTGGCCACAAATGTCACATCCATATGGTTTTTCCTCGGTATGAATGGGACTATGCCGTTCCACCTCAGCGGCTGTGAAGAAAGCCTTACCGCAAGCTTCAAAGACATACAGCTTTTCGTCGGTGTGTCTTCGTCTGTGACATGTCAGTTGGTCATGAGTTATAAACCCCATGTCACAAAATTCACACACATACGGCTTCTCCATTCTGTGGACAGCTCCTCTATCACAGCCCTGTGACTCTTCATTGGTTGGATTTTCTCTGTCTGGTCCAATGGAAGACTTCTGCTGGTCACACACTGGGCGACTCTTCTTAATTGACATCGTTCAGATGTCGCAAGACCAATTTTCTCTGTTTAATGTTTGTTTGTACATGTATTTGGAGAACACAATCTACACACAAAAAAAAATAGAGTTTCAATAGTTGATTTGGTTTTAAATATAAAGAAGAAAAATAGAATTAGATATGTAGGGTAAGTAGCTTCCACTGTAGGAATAACAAGTGGACAAACAGTAAGGATTTTGATTTCAGGGAACATCGGCCTTTTCAGGAAATTTAGCACGCATTCCTGGGTGGCTCACAAGTTACTATGGGGGTCCTTGCCCCCATAGTTCTAGGGTATAGCTCACAAATACAGAGGAAGTCCATTTTGTTTATTTTTAGTTAAGGTAAAACTAGTGGTTTAGCCTAGGACACCTCTATATTTTACTAGTTCCATTCAAAAATGACTTTTTCAGCCTCAAGCGGTAGGCCTATTTTATAATTTAGATTCATAAATACCTAAGACAGTTTACGCATTCCTATTGGTCGGGTCTTAAACGGATGATAAAGACATGGCTAGCTGGTCTTAAACACTTTTGCAGTGTCACAATAAAATGTGGACTACTAAAAATCCAGTGCATCTTATCGTTTCATTGGTTGAACGTTCACAATCCTCACGTAGGCATGCGCAACACTACCAGGGAGTCAGAATTTTATAGTTCTAAATTCAAAATGCAACGCGCCAGGTGCGTTCTGCGCGACATCGCGCAGAACATGATACGCGCGCGTCAATCTCCATAAAAGGGTTGTTTACATCTTATACTCGCCAGCTGAACACACCATTATTTTACAAGAGGGATGTTTCAAAAAGCATAAAGTGAATTTGTTGGACAAAATCTGGATGTTTTGAACGAAATATATGAATTTTTTTTACCGAAAAGGTATTTATGAATGGGAATAAATATGTGCTCCGTCGGTATTTATCACTCTGTTTAAGACCAATTAGAGACTGGGTGCTGATAATTACCCTCGCCTCCGGCTCGGGTAATTATCAATACCCAGACTCTAAGTGGTCTTAAACAGAGTGATAAAAACCTCCGGAGTACACATTTATTCCCTTATTATACATGTACATGTATAACTCTCAGCTCTACACGTACATGTACTGTTAGTTACTTAGTTAGTAGCAAATGTTCACATGTCATTGTCTATTGCTCCCACATATTTTGATCGATTTTAGCCAAACTTTGTCAAAAGTATCAGTAGCCCAGCCCCAACATATCACATGACCCAAATGGGGTGAAAGATCATCATGGGGTCAAGGCCATAATGTCATATTGCTAAGCTCAAAGGTCCTTGGAAAGCTAAACTCAAAGCCTTTCACAAAATTTCTATAGATGTTTGCAAACGAGATCCAGTCTACTCATTATCATAATCGATGCATCGCGCTCGGTAACGGAATCGCACTCGGGATACAGGGACCGTTGAATGTACGCTGGGCATGATGACCACATCGCATCGTTCAAACATTAACACGAGTCGGAAATGTAACGTGTTCACGATCGCGAGGGGAGCTCTCGGAATTGAACGAGAAATTTCACTTTTCATGCAGATCGTAAGTAAACTTCAGTACATCCATCTTAATCATCGATGTCTACTTGTACCTCAGGTGGCATATCTAGTAATTTGTAAGACATTTTGAGGGTGAAATCTGATGTTTTTTGTTGGAAAATGTTGGTTTTTGGGACGGTGTTGTCCAGCTCGCGGTATTAGCTTGGACCTTACTATCGCCAGACCATGTCCAAATGTTAAAAAAGGCGATAGGTTGGGTCCAAGTTACTCGGACTAGGCTTAAATCAATTGGGTACAGCGGTTATCGTTAAGGTACTTGGGTGCAAGTTTGGGAAAGAATGTTGCAACCTGAAGGCGCTTTTTTCTTCATATATATAATCTCAATGAAGGTCATTCGTTGCAAAAATGATGATAAGACATGAATCTGGGACTGAGAAATATTTCCAATTTTGTTAGGAAATAGGGCCTAGCCTAATTTTCTTGACTCTCCATAGACTTTGTACACAAGCACAGAAGTGGCGTCAGGTTGCAACATTTTTTCCCAAGTTTGTGTGCGGTCTGTAAGATTACAAGCAAAGGGAATAGAAATGGGGAAAATGTCCATACTGGCTCACCACTTTACCTGCTGCCAAACACATCAATTTTCACCTCACCTTTGTGATTTCACCCAAGAGGAATCCAGGAAGCTGTGCAAATGCGAAAAAAAAATAGGCAAAATGTGTTTTTAGAGCACATTTTGGATGCACACGTCGTGCAAAACTAAGTTGAAGCAGCCAGTCAAAACTGATTGAGTGGCTAAAAGACAGCGGTACGTTATACGCATGACATCAACAACCATGACGTCGCATACTCCTAGAACTATGAGGCTCCACGTACTCATAGAGTCAGAACCCCGCAAAATTGTTGTCAGCACAAAACACTAATTAAGTACAAAAACGTCCATCCCAACCAAGCTTTTTCCCACAGAACCGCTGCACAGTTTGCCCCTAAACTCCGTACAATACCTCATGACATACTCACGTTATGTGCACCGAACAAACATCGGTGGATTCTGTCGGTTTTTCGGCAAAAATGATGAAAAATATGCCTTTTCCGCACTGAGCCGCGGGCGCGGGGGGTATGGTCACGGAGCGGAACGATAGTATGCGCATGCGTACAAGTGCAAGTACGTACCCCCCGCGGCGCGCTCCGAGCGATCGAACCTGAAAATGACTGCGATCATTCTGCACGCGTGCACGTTTCAAGTGTCAGGTTGGCTCAGTGCGGAAAAGGCATATTTTTCATCATTTTTGCCGAAAAACCGACAGAATCCACCGATGTTTGTTGGGTGCACATAACGTGAGTATGTCATGAGGTATTGTACGGAGTTTAGGGGCAAACTGTGTGGGGAAAAAGCTTGGTTGGGATGGACGTTTTTGTACTTAATTAGTGTTTTGTGCTGACAACAATTTTGCGGGGTTCTGACTCTATGAAGTATGAGGCTCCACTACGTGGAGCCTCATAGTTCTAGGAGTAGACGTCGCATGAGCCAGCCAATGATAGTGCAATACATCATTATGAATATTTATTTTCTCATGAATATTTAGTTTATTTCAATGGCTACTTCAAATACGTCCAATGATTGATTATTGCAACAGTGATCGTGCGCGGCCTAGCAGTTAAGAGTCTCGTGTTTCAAGCAAGAGTCCGAGGTTCGAATCTCGACGAAGTAAGTAAAGTGACTGATTAATAATAATACTAGAAATAAAGGAAAGGAGAGGGTGAGAGTAGAGGAGGAAAGTGGAGGGAATAACCATAAAGGATGCAACTTTTGGCACTTGAAAAAAAGGTGGTGATCCAGTATGGAATTTTTTCCCAGAAATGCATTAAGTAACAAATTAGAACCATTCTGCAACGGCAAGTCACATAAACACGATGCAGGACGAGAACATAGAGGAATGCGTCTATTTCCGACACCTTGGCGATCGTCCCCTATTTAACTATCAATTCGGCGACAGCATTGCTTTGATATATGGTCTAGGATAAATGGTCAATCAGAAAACAGATACTTATAATCATAAGAATGTGCAAAAACCACGTAATTACAACAAATTAGCCATTATCTTACCATCCGATCGCCCGATCCAACCTGCCTGCTTCTAATTCCGCGCCTTTTTAGTTTAAATAGAGGGCGCGCTTCACGCTCAGCGGTTGTTGCTTCACGCAGATCAGAACATGAGAACTCAGATCATAACTAATGCGAGTGTGGATCGAGCGCGAAGCCCTTACCGTACGGTGGGCCTGGGGTTCAGGGCCCGCCTAAGGGCCCCGAAAAAAATTATTCTATATAGGTGCTCTCTGTGGTGCGATTTGAGGCAATTCCTGACCACCGTGATTATAACCTTTTTAGCAGAAGGTATTCATTGAAACATCATTTTCGAGGTTGGAGTAATTGAATCAGCTAATCTGAGCTATAGGTGAGGGGTTCGGGGCCCGCTTATTAAGGGCCCCGAAAAAAATTGATTCCAGCCTGGTCTGTTGTGCGATCTATTTCTGACCACTTTAACCAATATTTTCTTAGCAAAGATACATTTTATGTAATAGGGCCCTGTAAATGAGACACACGAGTTCAGAAATCTAGTGGGGGGGGGGACATTTGATATTGTGCCCCCCATCCTTCAAAAAGTGCGGGAAGACATGTCCCCCTGTCCCCCTTCACTTAATTCGGACTTCAGTTTCCCTTAAAAAAATCCTTAATTAAATTAGAAAAAAGAGAGGCCAGGCGTGACAATTATTCCCGACGCTCACGTCTAAATATTGAAGGTCATAACGAGGCTAAAAATAAACATGACATTGACGGCCTTTTTTCAAAGCATTAAATGTCATTATGTTCCGATCATTTTTTTTTAAAAATAAATCACTTGCTTCGAAAAAGAAAACATTGACTATTGTTGCCCTGGCCCTGAAATCGCAAAGCTAGGCACCCTAGTATAGCACTGTTAGCAGGCGGAGCCGAATGAAGACCATGCCGAGTTTTGGAAAATCCCTGTAACGGAATAGAAGTACTACGCAGCAAAAAGTTCGACCCTCGTACACGATCCGAGTGCACTCTTGATGCACAAAATCATTGTTGAATTTCAAGTTTTCTAAATGCAAGCAATGAATATTATTTATCCACTCATTTTTTAAGTTTGGAATAAGCAATTAGGCAGTTAATAAAACCTTTATTATACTCGGAAATACCCGGGCGCAATCCGATTGTCGACGAAATGAATTCGGCAAACTTTGGACATTTTCGGAAAAAGGAGGCATTCCTCCCGTTTTAGTCATGTGACTTTTTTTTATATATTGTATAGATACCAGTGGCTACCTCAGGCCCGGATTAAGTGTTTCGTAGGCCCTAGAGCACACAAAGCACTGTACAAATCAAGCCAGGCCAAACTCAGCCTCGTCCCCAGGGTGTTGAACAGTACGCGCCCACCTTTACCTGCTCTCTTGGAAACGAAGTTGGAAATAAAGTAAGCACTGGGGACGAGGTCGGGCCAAACTGGTATAGGTCCTAGTATGAATGCCTGTTGGCACCGGCACCAAGGGCGTCAATCGCTTCTCAAAAGTGTGTGTGTGTGGGTGTGTATGGTGGTGGTGTGGGTGTGAGCTTGTCTTACATACGCAGTGTGGACTTCCGAATAAAACACGTCCAAATAATGTAGGTAGCAGCGACGAAGTGTGGACTTGCCCACGTCCACACTTTGTTTCCCCATTTCTGGAAAACAGGTTTAGAGGCATTTTTGGGTTAGGTTTATCCGTAGCAGAATGAAGAGAAACACTAAAGGGAATCATAGGAAAAAAATGGGTTGAAAGAGTTTTCACAGTTTGAGAAAAATGAGTTTTTCCACTGGTGTTCCTTAACTACACGAAAAGAAAGGAAAGTCCACACTGCGTATGTGAAAAAAACTGTGTGTGTGTGTGTGTGTGTGTGGGGGGGGGGGGGGGGGGGGGTTACAAACATGTGTATCCTGATGAGAACTAAATTCGAGTGCGAAGCCTAAACGGCGTGGGGTTGGCGGGGCTCAGTTTAGGCCCCCCCCCCCTCGGGGAGGGGGGGGGTGGATTCTAGACGCTTTGCGGTAGTACATAATTGATGTAGGCTACAGTTATTTAGTCAGGGAGGAAAACAGTTGGGGGAACATGTCCCCCCGCCCCCCACCGATCGACGCCAATGGTTGGCACCATGATTCAGAACGACAACCTTTACACGTAAATACGTAGGGCCTGCATGTATGTCTATGCTAACCAGCGTCAGTTGGTGAAATCAAAAACTCTGAGAGTCCCTAGAACTTTTTAAAAACTTTTCTGTGCGCGTGGTTGTGGTGTGGGTATATTATAGGCTTATACAGTCGACTCTCATTATAAAGAGCACTTTTATAAAGAGGTTCTGCTTATAAAGAGCAAATTCTGAGGTCCCAAATCTCAGGTTCTCTTTGTGTTTCTTTGTTTCGCTGTCCTTTTATAACAACATTCCTGTTATAAAGAGGTAATTTGGCTAGTCCCATCGACCATGTTATAACGAGAGTCGATTATAATATAAAACACATCAACATATTTCCAATGTCTGCAGTTTTCAGCTGATGCATCATTAACCAAAATCAGAAACAGAATTTGACCCAATTTGGTGCCTTGAGAAACCCCACAAGAAATACCAGAGTCTTTGACAAATGGCCGCAGAGCTTAGTATTATGCATACGCTCAGTGAGGAAACTGCAGACAGTGGGAATGATAGAATGTCTAACTCCAAGTTTAATGAGCTTTCGAATGACAATGTTATGGTTCACCCGATCAAAAGCCTTCGTAAAATCTATGGTACAAAGGTTAGCAAAATGACAAGGTTTATTAAATCCCTCACGCACAAAGTTAAGCATGTCCACGAGATAGAGCACAGTGGAGCTGCCTTTGACATTGCCATACTGATTGACATCCAGCTTTGAAGAAATGCCTTCGAGGATCCACTTTGCGAGAAAGGTTTCAAACACTCTTGCAAAAATCGGTGTGAGGGAGATTGGCCGAAGCTGGTCAAAGCTTGATATATTCCTCTCATTAGGAATGGACACAATAGTTGCTGTCTTCCAAACTGAGGGAAATTTTCCTTCAAGAAGGCAGCTAGGCGTTGTACAAGTCGGTGAGAGGGTCAGCCAATTCAGGAGCAAACTCACTTTGAAACGAATGATGGAAGGCAATGCAAGTTGCAAGTGATTTTGCTGTCATGCCTGCGGGATGGTGTCCTGAACTCTATGATACATGTAGTAAGACAGCATGTCTGCAGTGAGTGCCGAGCTTAAGTCTGACAAAGGCTGGGTAGGAGACTAGGAGCATCGGCTGATGTGCATTCGCAAGTTGGACAATGCACCGTATGTGCAAGGAGGAAATCACCTGGCAAGAAACCCCATGCTCCTCTCTAGCAATACACAGTAGGCACACCGATAGAGAGAATCGCTCTGGACGTTATGGGTCCCCTTACCAGGAGCGGCTAAGACAATGGGTATGTAATGGTCGTAGGAGATCCATTTAGGAAGTTGATTGATGCACTGCCAGACCAAAAGACACCAACCATAGCAGAAACTCTGGTGGAGCAATTTATTTGCAGATATGGCTGTCCAAAGGAGATCCACAGCAACCAAGGCATGAACTTCCAGTCTGCTGTGTTCCAAGAAGTGTGCATATTGCTTGAGATCGACCTGGAACCCTAAATCCGACAGGTTCAAGTATAGATTCAACCGAAGCTTGATGAATTTGGTTAGGCCGTTTGTAAAGCAAGACCAGAAGGATTGGGATGTCCAGTTGGCCTACTTGATGATGGCATACCTAAGTACGGCTCAAGAAAGCCCTGGAGAGTCAACTTGCACCATGCTTATGGGGCGGGAGATAACACTACCACTACACGCCTTTACTGAGCTACCTTGCGACAGTGATGACCCCCTGTCAACTGACTATGCTCACAATCTGAGACAGAAGATGAGCGTGGCACACCAAAGAGGTCAGAGCAAAATGAAGTTGAATCGTCGAAGGCAAAAGCGCAACTATGATCCCCATATTTGGGTAGCAAGATCCAAGCTGGAATGTTTGTAGGGTTGCACAACACTGCACGCAAGAAAGGGTCGTCTCCAAAGCTCCAGTTCAAATGGATTGGGCCGTATTTTGCCTTACAGAGGTTATCAGATGTGACCTTCCGGTTTCAGGAGAAACCAAAATAAAAGTTAAAGGTTGTGCATTATGACAAAATGAAGATCTACACAGGCCCAGAGAAAATAAAATGGTGAACAGGAGGAAGAGATAGCATTCCTGTGGAGCTGGAGACCGAGGATGAACAAGAGCCTCCACCTGATGATGAAGATGGTGTTCAATTGTAGAAGATGTTCCACAAGGTGAGACAGCAAACGACACTTAAGAAATCCAAGAGGATCAACCCAACTTCGAGTCATTAGCTGAACGAACTGAGGAACAAGAACCAGTGGAGAGTTCAACCCGAGGATACAACCAGCAACACACGAAAAGCTCAAAAACTGCTAACTGGTCTCCGTGCACCCAATGTTTCACAATGGGTGTCCAGCAGGTACCACCGCGCTGCATAGCAGAACATATATGTACATACGTAAGTGTGTGCATTATGTGCACGAAACAAATATGGTGAAATATCCATTAAATGTGTACATGTCAGGCTGTATTTCAACTTCATGTCGTCAACATCACCTCCACTGCATATACATCGCTCATCCAACGTTTATCCACAGCTTATCCACCTCGTATCTACCACTTCTGCATTAGTTATCCGCCCCTGTGCATAAGCCTAACATTAGATCATGCCAGGTGGATAACAACTCACGGGCAGCCAAGGAGAGGGGTGACCGCGACAGAAAACGAGGACAATCGGACACCATACCACACCACACAAGAAACAAAAGAAAGAACAGAACAGCAGCCCAAGTGCAACCACCAGCCGAGACTGATCCCAACATCAGCACCAGCAGATTGAGCAGCAGCAGCTGCGTCGTCCTCACCAAACTCAGTCATCCACCAGTAGCAGACAGGCGCACACCCTCAGCAAGCTACGAAGCACGCCAGTCAGTTTCCCAACTGTGGAAAAGACTTTTTGCTGAAAGGCAACCTTGTGAGGCATGCCAAGGAGGCCCATCATCAGAGTGACGATTCCTCAAGGTTCATATATCAAACCTGCAGCGAAGTATTCATCCGGAATGCCAGCCTTCACCGTCATGAAGAACATCACAACATGCAGCAGGCCCCTCCTTCATCCAGTCTCCACGCCAGCCGTTCCCCCCACAGAACCCATCAACCTCCCTCTGCCTCTGCCAACGGAACCAAAGCTAGAGCTTCTTTCACCCCCATGCGCATCCCCATTGACCGCAACATCAGGTGGTCATCCCATGACAGGGGCTTCAGCAACTTCAAGGGGAGAGTGCCAAAACCAGATCGTCAACAGAGAGTGAGGAGCCTGGGGAAATATCTGAGCGGATCGAAGTAACTACCACCACCAGAGTCTTCCATAGTGGCATCCTCTTCCACCAAAAACAGTCCAAGCAAGTCTTTGACATGTAGGCCCAAGCCTTGAGGTTATTTACCTCGTTATCTGGTTATGTTTAACATCATAAAGTGAAAAGTTCACCCATTAGAAATATTTATATTGTTTTCAAAAATAATAGGAAAACTTTTGTATTTATTGTAAAGAAAGAGAGAAAGGAAGAAGATATTCACTGGTTGTTTCAAAATATAAAGATCAAAAGGCTATGATCTATCCTTCATTTTTTTGATGCAAGAACACATTTGGAAAAACATTTGTTCTAACATTTATATAGTTTAACATTGAGGTCTGGTGTAACCAAGTTGAATTTAAAGTTGTAACTGGTTAGATATTTTTTATTTGTAACCAAGTTTGCGTTTTTTTGTAGCCAAGTTTTATACTCGAAGTTTATAACATGCAAGATTTAAAAATCAACTCTTGGTCAGACTAATCGCACTAATCGATACCAACTTTGTGACGTATAACTGAACTGTACTGTGCAATTTCTTAGTGTAAGTCACTCATGTCAGAATAGCAGACTCCAATTGGCCAGCACTGTCAGTGGGCGTGGCTTAAGTTATCTTCTGAGCAATACTACATTTTGATTGGTTAATGCATCCTATGTACTTTGGTAATAGTGTGCATTTATTGTACAGGGTGTCCCCCCAAATAATAAACTGAAATAACAGTGTAAATACAAACTGTTCCACTGAGCCAGTGACCTGTGAGATTGTGACTGTAGCTTGAAGAGCGCCCTCTATTGACTGTAGTTTATTGTTTACATGTGGTTTTGTATTGTTTACATGTACATGCAACTTGTTTACAAATTACATGCAGATGAAGTACATGAACGTATAAGAAGTTTCCCAGCTTTTGCCAGTTTCAGACCAGATAAGAGAAATTAGGGATTGTTTATTAACGAAGGACGTTACTGAGAACTAAGGAAAGTTTGATATGTTTCCCAAGTATTTTCTGGATTATTATGAAGGTTAAAGGAGAGTTTTAAGAACCACTTTCTTACTGATAAGTTAGCACCCTTGATTTAGGATGACATGTATTAAGGATCTCTTTTTTGTTTGTTTATTTACAGTTCGAATTACATTAAAATACGAAAGCAAGATTTCTAGTCCGTGTCACACCTGTATGCCTTACTCCTCGATGAGCCACAACATTCGAATTCTGTTCTGCTAACCTGGGATCAGAAGGGAGTACAGCACAGCACCTGTATCAGAATGACCGACTCCACAGTAAAGGAGTTGAAGGTCAAAAGACGGAATGCCAAGGCGGCACTGACAAGACAGGGAAAAGCCCTACGCTTGATGATTGAAGGTAACAGGGCAACCGTTGAAATTTCAAGTCAGCTTGAAAAGTTTGAACTGGTGTATGACAACCTAGTTCAGAAGCATGAGGCTTATACCGAGCAGATTTTTGATGATGATGAATTTATTGCCGAAGAGGAATGGTTGGAAGAATGCCAACAAATGTTCATAGCGTTGCAGTGTGAGGCAAAAGATCATCTAACTCCAACACCTACTGAAAAGGAGTTAAACCCGAAAGCAGATAACAGTGCCAGTACAGAGAAAACTAGTTCCAGTAATGAGCAGTCCAGTTCCAGTGCAGAGCAGTCCAGTTCCAGTGCAGAGCAAATATCCAGTGCGGAGCAAACCAGTACAACTTCCAGTGTCAAGCAGATAACAGAATCTGATAGCCATATCAGCATAAATGAAGCAGGTGATCAGGAGGAAGAGCAGAAGAAAGTGAATACAGCAACCCATGATGTCGACAAATTCTGTGGGTTTAAAATGGAAAAGCCAAAGATGCCCAAGTACACGGGGGATGTCAGAGAATACGCCATCTTTAAAGATGACTTCAAGCACATGGTCGATAAGAGGTATGGTAAGAGGGATGCCATCACACTGTTACGTACATGCCTACAAGGAAGCCGTTGGAGCTGATTAAGGGAATTGGGTCCGACTACGATGCAGCCTGGGAGTATCTCGACTCCATATATGGTGATCCACGATTCATTACTGACACCGTCACCCAAGACATCATGAAGTTTAAGCCACTCCGAGACGGAGAAGACGCCAGATTCTGTGAGTTAGTTCATCTTGTGAGAAGGAGTTATAACACATTGAAGGAGGTGGGGCGACGGAACGACATGGATAATAATCATATGCTAGCAGTCATTGAGCAGAAAATGAACTCCGACGACCGGAAGGTGTGGTCCAGACACTTGGAAAGGGAAAAAGAAATGGCGACACTACAAGGACTTCTAGACTGGATGTCATCCGAAATGAAATCGAGGATGAGGGCAACGGCATCAGTACGATGTGAAGCTCAAAGTCCCTGATCAAGCATCAATCACATTCAGCAGAAAGACCCAAAGTCAATGCCGCTCCGTGACAAGTGCTGGATTTGTCACGCTTCCAGCCACTGGACAGACTAGTGTGAGAAGTTCAAGGGGATGAGTCCAGAAAACCGATTTAAGATGGTTAAAGAGAACCATGTCTGCTTCAGCTGCCTCAAAAGGGCAGGAAAAGGCCATAATGTGTCTACATGTTCGAGAAGACGACAGTGCACGGAGATGATGAACGGAATCCAGTGTAAACACTTTCACCATCAGTTACTGCATCTTACTCCCCAGCAAGCCACCGGTTCAGTCAGCGTTGCAGTAAGTACAACCCGAGCAGAAGTATTACTACCAGTCCTACAAGTGCAGATCATGGGAACCCAGATTACTCAACCAGCAAATGTCCTTCTTGACTCCGGGGCACAGATATCATTGATCAGAAAGTCCCTCGCCGAAAGCTTGAAGCTCAAGGGAAAGGATGTCAATACTACCATCACCAAAGTGGGAGGAGAAGAAGAAGAGCTTCAAACAAAAGTCTATGAGGTCCGTCTTCGTCCGAAGCACAAAGGTCCAACTTACACTATTACTGCCATTGGTATCCCCTGCATAAGCGACGATATTGCTGAAGTTGACCTATCAGAGATGGCCAAACTCTTCAAACTGCATCCAAGCAGTCTCCATCGAGGTAGCGGCCCAGTCGATCTACTCATTGGCATTGATCATGCAAGCATACATGCTGGTGAAACCCATGAAGCCCAGAATCTGATTGCCCGCCAATCACCACTTGGTTGGGTGATTTTTGGAACCGGCCCTGGGGACCAAACCAAGACAAGCTGAGTTCTCCATGTGAAGTTCTCAGCACCAGTAGACATGACAGATTTCTGGAAAACTGAAGCTATGGGAGTAGCTGTGAAGTCCTGCACATGTGAACCAGAAAAGCTCAGCCCAGCAGAACTAAAGGAAGCCAAAATAATAGAAGAATCCTGTACCAGAGATGGAAACCGATGGACCGTCCCTTACCCTTGGAAAAGGGATCCGAAACAGCTACCGGATAACAAGATCCAGATAGAGAAGAGGCTCTATTCAACAGAACGCCGACTTGCAAAAAACGCAACTCATGCAGAAACCTATGATGCCCAGATGAAGGAAATGGTGGAAAAGAAGTTTGCCCGGAAGCTGTCTGAGGCTGAGCTGAAGTCATACAAAGGTCCTGTACACTACATCTCTCATCATGGAGTTCTGAGGCCAGAAAGTAAGAGCACACCTCTCCGAATCGTCTTCAATTCTTCTGCAACTTACCATGGGCAATGTCTAAATGACTACTGGTACAAGGGGCCTGACCTTCTAAACAACTTATTTGGAGTCATTATGAAGTTCCGTGAAAATGAAGTGGCAGTCATTGCAGACATCTCAAAGATGTACCACCAAATTCTGATTCCAGAGCGTGATCAGCATGTTCATCGCTTCTTGTGGAGAAACCTGAATGCTGACCGTACACCTGATGTTTACGTCAAGACAGTTCTGACGTTTGGGGATAAGCCAGCTCCCGCCATGGCACAGATCGCCCTGAAGAAAACAGCTGAGGCTGCCGAGAAACAATCTCCAGATGCAGCACGAGTCCTAAAAGAGAACACGTATATGGACGACATATGCGATTCCGTCCACACTGTAAATGAGGCCAAGAAGCTGACGAGTGAAATAGATGAGGTGTTAGCCAGCCTTTTACTCGGAATCCCCCTTCAGCTATCTAACAAAGCTCTGGAAGAAAACTATAACAGTGACAAGGAAGATGAGACAATGAAGTTTCTGGACACCACAACTGATGAAAAAGTGCTGGGGACAGTATGGAACCGCAAAACTGACGAATTCCACTACAAGGTCAACTTGGACTTGGACAAGAATTTGTCCACCGATGACCGAGAAGTGATGCAGAGAAAGTTAACAAAGCGTCAAATCCTGAGCCAGATTGCACAGATCTTTGACCCGATTGGATTTGCTGCAGCCTTTCTAATCCGTTACAAGATTGGAATGCAGCATCTATGGCAACAGGGTCTAGACTGGGACCAAGAAATACCCAAGGCAGATCATGACCACTGGATTCAACTATTCAAAGAGATGAAAGGGTTGAACGAGATCAGTTTCAAAAGATGTCTCACCCCGTCGAATGCTGTTGGTGTACCCATGCTGTGTATCTTCTGCGATGCTTCAGAGGAAGCTTTCGGAGCCTGTGCCTTTGTTCGATGGCAAATATATGATGGCACCTATGATGTCCGATTCGTTGCAGCCAAGTCTAGAGTAGCACCACTGAAGAGGCTCACCATCCCACGATTGGAACTGCAGGCAGCAGTTATGGGTACAAGGCTGTACCAGGCCATCATGGAAGAAATGCGCCTACCAGTGAAGGAAGCAGTGTTTATGACTGACAGTATGATTGCCCTATCTTGGATTCGAAGCCAAGCCAGAGGTTTCAAACCATTTGTATCCAACCGAGTAAGCGAGATTCAGAGCCAAACAGATCCGTCACAGTGGAGGCATGTTCCAGGAGAGCTGAATGTAGCAGATGACGTCTCTCGTGGAGTACCTGTGAAACAATTGACCCAGCGTTGGAAAAATGGTCCAGAATTCCTGCGCTTCCCAGAAGAAAGTTGGCCACAAGAAGCAGAGAGGGTGAACCAGATAGAGGTAGATAAGGAACGACACAAGACCCAAGCTGTATTCATAACAACCGAAACTCAGGAAGTCATTGACGGCAAGAAGTATTCCAGCTGGAGAAAGCTAATCAGAGTCACAGCCTACGTTCATCGATTTGTCCAGAACATACGAGCCAAGATGCAGTCTTGTGTAAACAAGGAGTCTAAACAGGGTCCACTCTCACCCCAAGAGCTGACAGAAGCTGCCAACTACTGGATTATCAAGGCACAGAAAAATCTACACAAACGCATGGCCAACGGAGAGTTCAAGTCATTGAGTCCCTTCACCGATGATGCAGGAATCTTAAGGGTTGGAGGCCGACTGCAGGAGTCTACGATGTTGTACACTACAAAGCACCCAGCACTGCTTCCCCATGATCATCACATTTCCATTCTGATTGTGCGGAATATACACCAACAGGGCCACACTGGTGTTGCCACCACTGTTGCGAAAACAAGGCAAAGATACTGGATCCTAAAGGCACACAACCTAGCCAAGACGATCAAATACCGCTGTGTGGTTTGCAGAGAAGCAGAGCACAAACTTGAGACACAGATCATGGCTGATTTACCGAAGCAACGCCTGGCACCATACACGCCACCATTCTACTTCACGTCATGCGACTACTTTGGACCCTACCAAGTGAAGATTGGACGTAACAAAACAGCCAAACACTATGGAGTGATCTTTACTTGCCTGAACACCAGAGCAGTGCACCTAGAGCTAGCAGTAGACTGTTCCACTATGGAATACATTCAAGTGCTCCGCAGATTCTTCTCTATGAGAGGCTATCCAGCTAAGATGATTAGTGACAACAGAACCCAACTGGTCGGAGCACAACGGGAACTTCAAAAGATGATTCAAGGTTGGAACATCGAAGAGCTGAAACAGTTCGGGGCAGAGAAAGGCATGGAATGGAAGTTCATCACACCAAGAGCACCACATCAAAATGGGTGTGCAGAGGCATTAGTCAAGAGCTGCAAGACCGCGCTGAAAAGGGCTGTTGGGGCTCAGGTGCTGACTCCATTTGAGCTTTACACAGTTTTACTAGAAGTTGCGAACCTCGTAAACCAACGCCCGATTGGAAGGATCCCAAATGACCCAGATGATGGTTCCTACCTGAGTCCGAATGATATACTACTTGGAAGAGCATCGACTGATGCTCCTCAGGGGCCATTCCAGGAGACCAAAAATCCTAGGCACCGCGTGGAGTTTGTGCAGAAGATCATTGACTCTTTCTGGAAGCGCTGGAGCCGAGATGTTCTACCCTGCCTGGTACCATGCAAGAAATGGAGAGCTGAAAGGCGTAACGTACGGGTTGGTGATGTGGTAACTGTGTCAGATACCAATGCAGTCCGGGGCAAGTGGTGTGTCGGTAGGGTTCTCGAGGTCTTCCCTGGATTGGATGGCATGGTGAGGAACGTGAAGGTGAAGACTGAGAGCGGAGAGTACCAGAGGACTATCACAAAGATAGCAGTGATCTACTCGGCAGAAGGTTATGATGAGGACTAGTCGCTCATCGGGGCGAGGATGTTCCACTGAGCCAGTGACCTGTGAGATTGTGACTGTAGCTTGAAGAGCTGTAGTTTGTGACTGTAGTTTATTGTTTACATGTGGTTTTGTCAGCCATGTTTCAGCATGTTTTACTGTAGCAGTTTTTAGCCGAAAAGTTTGTAGTCAAACCAGCAGTTAATCAGTTTCTACTTCAGAGATTATGGACACCTGGTTATCCTAGAGTCTTGCCAAAGAAGTGAGTAGTTTTTCAGTTGTTTTTTATGATGATATAAGCCCTTATAAAAGCAGACATATTTCACCAGTTTTCATGTTGAACTTAAGGTACATGTACATGTACATGCAACTTGTTTACAAATTACATGCAGATGAAGTACATGAACGTATAAGAAGTTTCCCAGCTTTTGCCAGTTTCAGACCAGATAAGAGAAATTAGGGATTGTTTATTAATGAAGGACGTTACTGAGAACTAAGGAAAGTTTGATATGTTTCCTAAGTATTTTCTGGATTATTATGAAGGTTAACGGAGAGTTTTAAGAACCACTTTCTTACTGATAAGTTAGCACCCTTGATTTAGGATGACATGTATTAAGGATCTCTTTTTTGTTTGTTTATTTACAGTTCGAATTACATTAAAATACGAAAGCAAGATTTCTAGTCCGTGTCACACCTGTATGCCTTACTCCTCGATGAGCCAAACTCTACAATGTGTTTTTAAATTTATTTGTTTATTCATTCTTTTATTGCAAACGATATTGCGGGCAAAGGATTCCTTCACAACCATTCGCTCATTTCACACTTCTGCCATGGGCATGCACAGCCTCGATCTGGCAACTTTACACAATAAATATAGCCGGTTCAGTGATTCCCGTGTCGGGGTTCAGATCACTGAACCGGCTATTTTTATTGTGTAAAGTTGCCACATCGAGGCTGTGCATGCTCAATGGCGGAGCGTGAAAAGAGCAAATTACTCAAAAGTGTTTGCTACATTAATATTTGATGGAATGAAAGTGCACATTTTCATGTAGACTTGAAATCTAGTCAGTAATTGGCCGGGTTTTGTTTGACCCCGTGAACCATGCCGCGATACGGACAGATACCACATACCATCCCTACGTAACATGTTTAGTATGGCATTAACACGTGGAGACGATTTCGGTTTGTACACCCGGGACCCCACTTTGTATGTTCATCAATGTTGAACTTAGCATATGAAACACAACACACTGCGCCGTTCTTGTCGATATTGGGGCACTGGCAGACAAACTTCTGTCTAGTGACTTTTTTCTGTTCCTCGAGTGGAGAGATGGTGGTTTGGTCTTGCTGTTGAATGGACCTTTTGGTGCTTGTGAAGATAACCCTGCTGTTTGAAAGTTTTGTCACAGTTGGGGCATTTATAAGGCTTCTCCTCCAAATGAACAACCTGCTGGTGTCTCGACAGGTGCCTTGTCCGTGCAAAACTCTGGCCACAAATGTCACATTTGTATGGTCTTGCTCTTGCATGGAATTTTTGGTGCTTGCGAAGATAACTGCGCTGTTTGAAAGCTTTGTCACAGATGGTGCATTTATAAGGCTTCTCCTCCACATGAACTCTCTGGTGTCTTAACAGGTACCTTTTCCGTGCAAAACTGTGACCACAAATGTCACATTTGTATGGTGTTCCTGTTCCATGGATTATTTGGTGCTTGCGAAGATAATCCTGGCGTCTGAAAGCTCTGTCACAGGAAGTGCATTTATAAGGCTTCTCCCCCGAATGAATACTCTGGTGTCTAAGCAGGTAGCATGACTGTGAAAATGTCCGGCCACATTTCTCACATACATGTGGTCTTTCTGTTGCATGGACATATTGGTGCTTGCGAAGATAACTCGGCCGTTCGAAAACTCTGTCACAGGTGGTGCATTTATAAGGCTTCTCCTTCAAATTATCGCTCTGATATTTCAACAGGTAGTTTGTCAGTTCAAACCTCTGGCCCCAAATGTCACAGTCGTATTGTTCTTCATGGGTATGAGTGTAACTGTGGTGTCTTACCTCGACAGCTGTGTAGAAAGCCTTACCGCAAGCTTCACAAACATGCGGCTTTTCGTTGGTGTGTCTCCGTCTGTGACGATTCATTTGGTTACGATTTATAAATGCCTTGCTACAAAAGTCACAAACGTATGGCTTCTCTTTTGTATGGACAGCTCTTCTGTGGTACACAAGAGCATCACTGTATGCAAATGCTTGATTGCAAAATTCACACACAAACATCTTTTTGTTGTCGTGATGGACTCTCTTGTGTACAGACAGACTGGCCCTCTGCTTGAAAGCCTTGTCACAAATGTCACACTTATGGGGTTTCTCATTACTGTGACTGACTTGATGACATTTCAGATCATCTCTCAGACGGAAGGTCATGCCACAGGTGTCGCATTTAAATGGCCTTTCAAGGGTATGAGTACTAACGTGTCGATGGAGACTTGACCCATCAGCAAAGGCTTTGCGACAGATGTTGCACACGTAAGGATTTTCCTTAGAATGTGACTTGTCATGGCTTTCGAGACTCCTTATGTCATAGAAAGCTCGGTCACAAGTGTAACACTTAAACGGCGTGTCTGTGTGAATTCTCTTGTGTGTCGCAAAAAAACTGTCGTGTTTGAAATGTCGGTTACAGACATTACAAGCGAGGGGTTTTGAGCTTGTCTGCGACCACCTGCGGTATGTGATATGCTCAGTATCCAAACAATCTTTGTCAGGGATGTGCCACTTAGATGGTCTTTTATTGATGCCAAGATGACTTCTCTGCAGAAGCACGACAGGATACTGATGGGAAAAACCTTTGTCGCAGACCGAACAGCCCTGTGACTCTTCACTGGTTGGATTTTCTCTGTCTGGGCTGATAGAAGAATTCTGCTGGTCACATACTGGTCGATTCTCCTTTGCCATTGTTCAGATGTTGCAAGACTAATTTTCTCAGTTTTTCAATTTTTGGTTGTTTGGAGAACACAATCTGCAAGAAAAAGTAGAGATTAAAACTGATATTCTTTAAAACTTAAAATGGGGGCAAAATAGAATTTCTTTGCAAGTTTGCATGGATATAATTTCTCAATTAACCTGTAATTTTCAGTGGGGCATTTGTAAAGAGACTTGTCGAAAATGTCTGCAGGATTTCTAATGAAATCGTAGAGGTCTAGAGGTAGGGAATTTTGATTTTTCCTGCCTTATTATCAAATAAGTAGCATCCATAAATGAATATGAAGCTGACAGACAGTCAGGATTTTGATTTCAGGTAACAACAGACTTTTCAAGAAATTTAGCACAAGTTCCAGTGTGCTCACAATCACCCCTAGAATTCTAGGTTATAGCTCACAAATACAAAGTAAGTTCATTTTGTTAATTTGTAGTTATGGTAAAAGTATTTTTTTTTAGCCTCAAGCAGCCCCCCCCCCCCTTCTACCTGGCAATGACTGTATGTTCTCAAATAAGGTCATTTTTCACTTGATAGCACCCTTCTGCCACCCGGCACACCCTCCACCCCCGACATCGGTGTTTTTATCTGCAGCACACATTGTCAATGGATCATGATTATTCAGCTAGTTAGATGTTTATTCATAAGAAAATAACAATGACGTCACAACGCTGCTATCACTCAGTCATGCATGTACTTTTGTCGAGTAGTGGCCTAGTGGATAGTGGAAAGAACTATAAATCGCACGATCTGAGGTTCGAACCGATGTCGAGAGTTGTGATGCGACGGCTGTTTCCTGTACAATTGATTTGCCCATACTGTATGGCTGCGCGCTATATTATCTTACTATACCTCATAAATATTCATCAGGCAGCCACGGCATTTCATTGGTACATTCCAGTAACTCAACCGTGTGAAAATTTTACTATTTTCCTGCGTCTACGTACACGTGCGTGACGCGCAAAAACCAGGGAGGTACTATCACACACCTGGGTCGCAGCCTTAGATTTGTTCGAGTACTGTGCTATCTTTTTACCAACGATGCATGCACTTTACGTGAGTACCGTTGAGATCACTGGTGAGGACAGTAATATGTGCCAGTCTATTACGGCACACATCAAAATGGTGACCGGTGGTGCTCGCTTTGTGCTTTTTTGCTGAGGAAGAACTGGGTGAAATTGTGGACAACAATAATAAATCCAGCGTTTTGTGTGAATGTTAAAACCCCCTAGGCCCTTGTTGCTTACAACCATCCTCAATCCTCCAAAATCCTCCAAAATTTTCCAAAATTTTGCAAATCCGCCTAAATTTTTCAAAATTGTCAGACAGTCCTGCCTCAAAATGCATTCATCCTCAATCCTCCAAAATCCTCCTCATCCCAAAACTTTGCACTCGTGTTTAAATGAAGGATAACCAACGCCAAATCCTTCAAAATCATCAGACAGTCCTGCCTCAAAATGCATTCATCCTCAATCCTCCAAAATCCTCTTGTGCTTCAATCACCATTCATCCTCAATCCTCCAAAATCCTCATGTGCTTCAATCACCATTCATCCTCAATCCTCCAGAATCCTCATTTGATTCAATCACCATTCATCCTCAATCCTCTAGAATCCTCCAAAACCGCCAGGAGGATTTTGGAGGAGTGAGGTGGGTTAGGGTTAGAGTTATTAATAAAATGACACAACATTAACTTTCTTTTCTGTTTGTCTCCATAAAATTAAAATTAATGTTTCAGTTTATCCAAATACTACACAATCAAAAACATGGTGGAATGAACCAATATACAGCAGCTGCCTAATGAATGTTTATGAGGTTGAGGTATAGTAAAACATCCAACACCTCAGGGGTCATTAGTTTCCACTATTTCCCCACAAACCATGTTGTATCTGTATACTATCGGTTGAGAGATTGTACAAGAAACAGCCATCGCATTGCAACTCGCGCGCCTGAGCGACAAGATCGATTTGCATTAACAGGACGTCACAGCTTTGGGGTCATTGCTTCTTACATTCAAAATGGCTGCTATCAACAGTCAATTCCTTTTTGGAGGCCGCCTCCTTTTTTTTTCTTCTTTTTTTTACCCAAAACAATGATAATTTTTAACAGTGACATCATTTTGGCCTCTTTATCGGTTGCATCTACTGATCTAGCCCATATAAAGCTGTTCATTCCTGAGTCCAAAAAAAAGGGCCTCTTGCTTCCTTTTTCAAAAAGCAGGATGCTAAACATGTTTTTTTTTTAATTTCGCCTTATTGTTGAAAAACATATTTTGTTGAAGGATAGTTTAGTAACAGTGGCGTAGCAAGGTCATTTTTATTGGGGGGTAAAAATTTCTTGAAAAGGGCACTTGCACATCCGTGCTGAAATGTAGACACCTTTTTTTTTTTTCTCCCGACACTTGTCCTTCGTATAATAAAATAGTGGAGGGGGGGGGGGGGCTGGTACCATCTGTCGATGGGGGCGCTGTTCAAAACTTACGATTATGCACACTAACGGACAGAAATGGTGCTTTTCAGGGCAATACATGCGTGAAATTAAAAAAAAGACACCCGGAACGGCCGATGGCACAAAAAAGGGCACGACTACTTTTTAAAAAGGGCACTTGTTAAAAAAAAAATGGGCACTTGTTAAAAATAAAGGGCACTCTTTATAAAATATTGGGGGGGGGGGGGTAAGCACTGGTAAAAAAAATAGGGCATTTGAATAGAAAAGGGCAGTCTCTACAAAATATTGGGGGGGGGGGGGTTAATACCCTTACCCCCCCATGCCTATGAATAAAGGGACTAAACTCCCTGTGAAATTAGTCTTTCTAGCAGCATGCTGTCATTTTGAAGAAATCAGCGTAAGAAGGCCTTTCCAATGATTTTGGGTCAACTCGTACCCGAGTTAACTCGTACCCGAGTCAACTCGTACTCTAGTCAACTCGTACCCGAGTCAACTCGTACCCAAGTTACCTCGTACCCGAGTTAACTCGTACCCAGGTTAGCTCGTACCCGAGTCAACTCGTACCCGGGTCAACTCGCACCCAGGTCAACTCGTACTCCCCTCCTTTTTTAGTTTGGAAGTACGGATGGATGGTTAACAAAACTTCCGATTTTACCCTCAAAAACGGCGACTGAGAAATAGTAGTTACGCCGCCAGAAATACAAATATTGAAAAGGGAAAATGTACCGTTCATCGGCAAGGGCTTCATCGCGAACGGACGGGTACCGCGCGGAGAACATTTTCAAAACGGCATCAGTGTGGTACTCGCGAGTCGACGGAGCCCTCGCTGATAAACGGTAAATTTCACTTTTCATCCAGATCATCAGATGTGTTATTTTAAAATTTGTGTAGTATTTTCTCTTAGTAATGATGTTTTTTCTTTCTTTTTTCAGAGACCCTGGATCACTGAGATTGCGGAGTGACAGTGCGAACTGCTACGTCTTTTTTTTTTTCGGTCGAACGTGTTTTAAGGGCATAGTTTTCTTTTTACGAATTTGGTATTTAAGACCTTTTTTTTTAAAGAAAGCTGCTATTAAAAAATGAATTTTGTAATGTAAAAGTAATATTTTTCAACGTTCACTCACTCCATTTTTGGCATCATTTATTGAATAAAAACTGCACATGGCACAAATCTCTTTGGGAAGATTTGGGGCCCTGAAAGTACAAATCTGAAGAGAAAATATATTACAGGAAACTTAAAAGAGTCACACGGACATCGTTATTTAATTTATAATGATTCTTTAATATGTTGGTCATTTTTTGTACAATTAGTTCGGTAAATGTAAAAAAAATCTTGTGCAGCTTAAATAAAGTTTCTGCGATAAGTTCAACTAGAATATTATTTTGGTAACAGAAATGTAGGATTTTTAATTATTTGTTTACATTTGAGGCATCAAGGAAGTAAACACGATAAAGGAAAATGATGGCTCGTTTCATTCAGAGATGCTCTTTCTATAAGTTTTAGGGGACCAATTTGTTAGTTGATCCTTGGGTGTGCAAGGGCGGATCCAGGGGGGGGGGGCCAAAGGGGGCCATGGCCCCCCCCAAAACGAAATCAATTTTTTTTTTTTTTATGTGACATCGCAATAACGGCAGGCAATGAGTACACCACCATCTTTTCCTCAAAAAAAACCCATTGGTTAAAGTGGTCAGAAATTGCCTCAGATCGCACCACAGAGCATCTTGAATCCAACATTTTTTCGGGGCCCTTAAGCGGGCCCCGAACCCCACGCTGTAATTTTTTTGACCCACTTTTTGACATTGCAATAAAGGCAGGCAATGAGTACACCACCATCTTTTCCTCAAAAAAAACATTGGTTAAAGTTGTCAGAAATTGCCTCAGATCGCACCACAGAGCATCTAGAATCCAAAATTTTTTCGGGGCCCTTAAGCGGGCCCCGAACCCCACGCCGTAATTTTTTTTACCCACTTTTTGGGGGGACCAAAATTTTGTTGGCCCCCCCAAAATTGTGTTCTGGATCCGCCCTTGTGGGTGTGAAAGATTGTTTGACATTAGCAAATTGTAATTCAAGTGCAAGAGAAAGTTTTATTATCTTAAACAAAACTGAGCTAATCGGCCCGGCAAAAACGATGTCACCGTGCACGGTACGACCACGTTGGCCGATGAGTGCGCGCACAGGCCCGGCAAAAACGATGTCACCGTGCACGGTACGACCACGTGGACCGGCGAGTGCGCGCACGGGCCCGGCAAAAACGATGTCACCGTGCACGGTACGACCACGTTGGCCGATGAGTGCGCGCACAGGCCCGGCACAAACGATGTCACCGTGCACGGACAACCGGCCATATCCCTCCGATCTTCCGTTCGTTTCACTGATTTTCTTTTCGAAAATAGGCAACTATTTTGAGCTGCGGGTACGAGTTGACTCGGGTACGAGTCAACTCGGGTACGACTTGACTCGGGTACGAGTTGACTGGGGTACGACTTGACTCGGGTACGACCTAACTCGGGTACGACTTGACTTGGGTGTCAATTTTGGGGTACGAGTTGACTCGGGTACGAGTTAACTCGGGTACGAGTTGACCCATTTCCTTTCCAATGATGCGTCTAAAATGTACTAGCCCCAAAAAATGGTCGTTTAGTACTTCAAATTGCGATAAAAACTTACCTCGCTTAAGCACTGCTGCTAATAAGAAATGGAGAACGTATTTCTGAGTTTTTTATGAACAGAAAAAGGAAGAAAACATCACGGTTATTCTGGGTAAACCCGGCGCATGCAGCTCAGACCGTCCTTTGTCATGTTTGTAAACAATGCACTGGTAGTGTTTGTACACGTGGCATGGCAACTCGTCCCCAGAGCTTACTTTATTTCCAACCTTGTTTCCTATAGTAAGCAGGTAGTGGTGGGAGCGTACTACTCGATGCCCTAGAAACGAGGCAGGTGGCGCGGGTCGGCAAAGGCCACATGTCCTTGTTTGAACAATGGAGGGCAGCATCGCGGAAACCCGTCTTTGCCATGTGCGTACAGCTATGCCATAGTCCTAGCTCTATCACAGACTAGTTGATTTAGTCGGCGTTTTTGCCGGCCTCCTGCCTGTTTTCCGCAATACCCTTTTGTTGATTTTTGATCGAAAATAAGATGGCGTCGAAAATAAGCATATAATTCTGTCAATAAGCGTTAAGCGAACGTTTGAGCTTAATTGCTAAGGGCTTTAAGCCAAAAAAAGTTGCTTTATGAAAAAGAAATATTTCTATTTCATACTGTACAAGTACTATTACTATACTAAAGGACGCTCCGTAAGCACAAAACGTTTAAAGAACAAGGATATAGGCTCCGTTTTCCTTGCTCCATGGCTAAATCGAGCTGGAGTCCCCAAACTCCGGGCCATAAAACCCCCTGAAACTAAATCTCCTGAATCTGCAAAAATATAAAGGTGCATTGCATGCATGAAGCTCATTTTCCTTACCCAATTCTGAGCCTAGGTGTGGGAGGGAACTGGTGGGGGGGGGGGGGGGGGGGGGGGGGGGGCACAGGCCTCGAGTACGCCCCCCCCCCAGTTGAGTTTAATACGCCACTATACGTATCTAGCCTAGTGTACATTTGTTCTACTTCAGCCCCCCCCCCCCCTGTTCGTTTTATTTATGCACCACATGGTCCACAATACAAAGTCACATAATTATGAAGCCTGGTGCAGGTAATTACATTATTATCGATACCTCCCACTCTCGATCACACTAATCGCACTAATCGATACAAACTTAGTGACGTAGGCCCAAGCCTTTAAGCCATCTCTTCTCCGGACGTCCAGCCGAGAAGTTATGTTCTTGTTTCGGTTGATACATCATGACGTTTGCCTTCTGTTAAATTCGATTAATGCAACATTAGCCAAAGTGACCGCGACTTTATCGAGTTAGTAATTGGCTCATTTTTATCGATCCTTTTTGACGTCTGTGTGCGGAGTCAAGTATGTTGCCATGCTGGTATCGGCGCAGTTTTAACTTTACGAAAGCATACAGGGTGAGTTTAAAAAAAAAAGAGGGAAACCCGAATGGCAGGACCAATTATTTAATGAAGTTCTGCATGTAGCACTTTGAAAATCTAGGATAGGAAAGCCCAATTAATAAGCTTTCTTTTAGTACAAGAATCATTCCAATCGCTAATGTACCTTTCAAGTTACGAAATTTTGAACACAACCACCGTTTAAAAATTCGTCCACTGATCAAAAAAGGGGAGTGTTCTTTCGGCAAAACGAGAACAATTCACATAGGGATGTTTGTAAATTGTTTTCGTTTACTGAAAGAAACCTTACCTTTTTGTGATCCGTGCAAAGTGTAACACAGTGTTTATGTTTAAAATTCCATAACTTGAAAAGTACACAAGTGATTTGAATGATTCTTATACTAAAAGAAAGCTTATGAATTGGGCTTTCATGTCCTAGATTTTGAAAGCGCTACCTGAAGGACTTCATTTGAAAAAGGGTCCTGACATTTGGGTTCCGTTTTTTTTTTACTCAATATGTAATACAGAAGTTAATACATTTTCCTGTTTGGCTATCATTAAAAGCCCTCATTTTGGTAATAATTTCCCCTCTGAGGGAAAGACCTTCCCTATGAGGAAGTGGTTACACCTTGGTGGTGGGTTGGGTGGTGATAAGGTGGTACTCGTGGTGAAATGAGATGGTGCTGGTGGTGATTAAAAAGAGACAAATCATATTTTGGAAGTTGTGGCTGGCAGTAATTCCTGACTGCGATGTCACAGATCGTACGTCAACGGAAACACTGAAGTTCGGGCAGTAAATATCTTCATTTGTCGTATATTAAAGCAGGAACATTTGTAGGCCTACCTACGTGGAAACAGACCTACCAATTTCAAGAGAAAAATCTTGCTCGAAGTGAAGATAGGACTGGTACCAAATATATACTCTGTGAAATTATTCCACCTGAAATGGTATCATTCGGAAGAAAACAATACTTGAAGGTGTTTTTAAACAAGTATGCCCGCTGGCACAGTTTTTTTTACGTTATCAACGGAATCCAGTTACTAGATCCCATGCATAAACTGTGCATGTTTTTCTCAAAATGTACGGTAGAGACTGAGCTATAAATCCGCCACAGGTAGTCTGCACACACCAACAATTGTAAACAAGTACAAAACAATCCTTTTAAAAACAATCCCAGACTATTTTTTTTAACATGCAGTTAATACATTGGATATCCATCCAAGACCTTCGGTAATGCGGAGGTTGCAGGTTCTAATCCCGCTATATATGTATACAATCAATTTCTTTTCTCAACTTTACCCATAATTTCTCATGAACTATATAATATAATTTATAATAGGCCTGAATTGCGTTCATTCGTGTGGGGCCTAAACCAATTTCCTATATTGTCTGCCATATAAACTGTCCCTCCGCTAAAAGTGGGTAGGCCTATTTGAACTATAATAGGAGAGACAAGACATTTTCCAAAGATTTGACTTCAGCAATGTCTACAAAATACATTTTAGGCCATCAGCTTGGGGGTTTGGTCAGTATCAAATCAGGGCATTAATTATTATAGTGCGCATGCGCAAGGTATACCGCCCCTAGAGTGGTAACAAGCATTTTGATGGACATTTAAAAAAAAAAAAAAAAAAAAGGTGATAACACCTAAAAAGCTGCCACCGCTGCAATGCTATCGCATATTTTCCAACTCTGGAGGTGTATACCGTGCCAAAAATCGCTGTGACGAGTATTCCCCTCATTTGATACCGGTTGCCAAAATTTTGGACCGAGGCTGATGGCCTATTGCAACCTCAGTCTGTACATTCCACATAAGTTCCTATTGCATTCTGTTTCAGCATAGCAGACTGATTATTGCTGATTGTCATCATCATCATCTACATCTACAGCACATCATCGCCATCATTGACGACGTTAATCAGATTCCTTCCGATTTCCTGAGGTAAAAAAAAAAATCAAGGCAAGAGAAGATCACACAGTCTTGTGCTGCATTACGCGCATGCAATGGACCATTATGTAAATCAATATTCAAGCCGGGTTTCACGTTACGCATGTATTCCGTATCAATTAAACAAACAAACCTGCCAGGATCGCGTAATTAAGACTGACGCATCAGTACTGCAGCGGGCTCAAGATTGGACGTGATGTTTCTGTAGAGATTCTTAGTGCAGAGTGCCGAGTTTGAATCCGTGATGATTTTACATCGGCGTGACTGCACATGCGCTCGGGGGCTCATTAGGGATGCACGTGAATGATAAGGTGAGGCGGCATGCGAAGTTTTATTGAAACAAATAATTGGTCACGGACACATTCTGAGCACTTTACGTCAGGACTTCGTCACACGACTAGCGCTCCCCTAACAAATTAGATCGGGGTCGGAGATGGGGGGGGGGGGGGGGGGGGGGGAGGATGCAGTGGTAAAAATCCCTAATTTGGATGAAATGTAATTCATTACAGCCGCTATAGCGCCACCAACGACCTGAAGAGCAGTGAAAACCACCGACTTGTCGATTGACCGATCACAATGCTAGTTGACAATTTCTGCATCCGTTGTGTAGATACCCCCCTTTGGGATCCAACAACAAAAATCCATTAAGTTTAGTTGTTTTATAAAAGTAACGTATATTTCACCTCAATTTTAAACCGTTCATATGAGAAGAATCGGGAACAACAAAGACTTGAATCAAACTACCTTAAAGTTGCATTTCTAAGAGTTGTCTGAAAAGGTTTATTATAATTGTTTACAAATTCAAAGGGCCTCCTACCATTGTGCCTAAATGCAGGAAGCCTTAATTTGAGAATATTTTTAGCTGTTTTCTCCACAAAATGATTAGCCGTCTTTCAAGCCTCACTAAACACCACTCTTTGATATTAGATCGCAGACAATGAATAATCTATGAATAATTTAGTATTTGAAAACCAAACACGGACAAACGGACAAATAAAAAAGACCCTCGATTTTTTTTACACTGTGTGATCATTGATCTCCATTAATATGTTGGTGATGCTTAATTTGCGTGTGGTGATGTATTATGTGGAGCATGCGCAGGATGTACTGATGATCTTCGGCACGCCATCACCACGCGCATCATCAACATCAAAAAGTCCGGCCTGTAAGTACATCAGCAAGCGCGCTGCTTGGCCAATCAGCGCCGTGCTTGAGCGCTGCTCAGCCCCCCTCGCCATCAGCTGACAACCACCTGGGGAATTCCCATGGCTTCGGTGTTTGTAACTTTCTCTATTAATGATAGTAAAATAATCAAATAAAAAAGTAACGAAAATCACCCAAGATACCTCTCGTTTAAATGCGGCACAGTTGATGCGAATTCCCAGAGAAATACAGGAGGACCTGTTTGCAGATTTCGGAGAGGATCACGCGAACGATCAATACACATTCCGCCCAAGATTGTGACAATTACTAAGAAGCTGTCAAGATACACCGGAAGACTCGACGGGCTCGGCAAGTATACAGAAGGGAAAGATTTGCCCAAATCTAAGGAGGACCGTCTTGTGTTTTTGCTGCCGCATCAGCTGTCCGCGATGACTGAGTTGGTATCGTCTTCGGCTTGTGGCGGGGTGATAGCGTCGCTTCACCCCATTCCAAAGACAGGTGAGTTGGTCTCGTGTACCGTACCCAACCCCGGGCGCTTAGACCTCTGATAACATGAAATTAACTGAACTTTAATAATATAGTGCATATTTTTATGTACATGTAATATTCTCTCCATAAACTGCTTGTCGTTCAATATTGAATACCTTCATTTTTTAACAGTCGTTTTTAATTGTATTGTTTTAATTTTCCGAAACTCAACTTCTTGCTCAATTGCTCCTACAA